TCAAGAAAAACAAAAGAAACAAATGAGGGAATTATTTTAACTCCAAAAGGAGCATGATCCGGGTGCATTGACTGGGTAATAATCTTCTGTTGCAAACTTTTCAAACATTACGTTGTAAATATGCGCAAATAAAGCAAATAAATTTTACAAGTCAAACTAAAATATTCAAACTAACTTGTAATTGAAAGCCCAGGAGATGAACTTGTAGTTGACACTTGAGTTGGTGTTGTAACTTTTCCACTTGATACTGAAAAATAATTATTCAAACAGTCAAATATATCAGAACAACCGAAAATTTCCAATTGAGTTTGCATCATATTATTCCACAAATGTTGCATCTTTCAATTTCTTTCTAAAATATCTTTGTAAAATGTTAAACATTAATGACGATCATATTATTTTGTAATCATTTACAGAAATAAAGCTTTAGCCTGCTAATAATATATTTCCGGAAATACTACTGACACTATGAAAGTTTTTTAACAATTACCCTTTAATGTTTGAGTAGTTTCAGTTGAAATTTCTGGTGTAGCTGTAGGTGTTGGTGTAACCTCGGCTGTAGTGATGACTGCTGAAGACGCTGTCTGTGGAACTGTTGTTGTACTTGGAATTGACGTAGACACTGAAAAAATGAAACAATCAAAGTTTGAATAGCTTTCACCCATTTTAGTCAAGAAGAGATTTCAAACATCTTTTGGATAACAGTTTATCGACCACTACCATGCATACACATTTACCACAATTAATTCTGTACGTATAGTTTTATTTCGACATGGAACACCAAGACATTTAACAGACAAATAGACTACACGAGTGTTAAATTGATAAGAAATACTTCTGAAGTTAAAACACATGTGGTTATATTTACTTACTGACTTCAAAACAGGCGTGGACACTTAATTGAAGCTGAACAGGTTTGTATGAATCTTCTTTGTCATCAGGTGTGATAATTACATTCACTTTTCTCACGTCAGGTTTAGTTCCAACACTTGTAGCCTTTTCGCCAACATTCACCTACAGAACAGAAAATAAAAGTTTAAAGATTTACAGGGAAAACATATACAAGTTTCACGTACCACATTAGCAGCAATTGAATTTTCATTTGACGAAGTTAAAGGAAATTTAATGCCATTTATCTTAATGATTTAGTGAGAGTCATACTAACCTTTCTCGTTGTCACAGTTCCATCTGCATTAAAGAATTGCACTGTATATGTCTTAACATTATCAGTAGAAACCAGTTCAACATTGGCTATTGGTCTTGTCTTCGTAGGCACGTACTCTATAACCAATTTGTCTTCAGAACTTTTAAACGGTGTCTTAGACGAAGGTCGCAGATTTTCAATGTCTGCTGTCTTGTCATTTGTTGTAATTTCAGTTGAAGGTATTGTTGTTATTGAATCCATTCCATCCGTTTCTTCACAGATGGGAGTTGTTGTCGCTATTGCTACAGAAGAAACATTTTACCATGTTACCACTTATCAAACTATATTGATAGTTCATGCATTAACACTGTAAAAAGTGAAAAGTAACTCGAGTTTCATTCATTATTTTGAACCAACAGTAGTTTAACGATGTTAAAATCTAATCAATTCATTAAGACAATACAAATCAAGAAAAACAAAAGAAACAAATGCGGGAATTATTTTAACTCCAAAAGGAGCATGATCCGGGTGCATTGACTGGGTAATAATCTTCTGTTGCAAACTTTTCAAACATTACGTTGTAAATATGCTCAAATAAAGCAAATAAATTTTACAAGTCAAACTAAAATATTCAAACTAACTTGTAATTGAAAGCCCAGGAGATGCACTTGTAGTTGACACTTGAGTTGGTGTTGTAACTTTTCCACTTGATACTGAAAAATAATTATTCAAACAGTCAAATATATCAGAACAACCGAAAATTTCCAATTGAGTTTGCATCATATTATTCCACAAATGTTGCATCTTTTAATTTCTTTCTAAAATATCTTTGTAAAATGTTAAACATTAATGACGATCATATTATTTTGTAATCATTTACAGAAATAAAGCTTTAGCCTGCTAATAACATATTTCCGAAAATACCACTGACACTATGAAAGTTTTTTAACAATTACCCTTTAATGTTTGAGTAGTTTCAGTTGAAATTTCTGGTGTAGCTGTAGGTGTTGGTGTAACCTCGGCTGTAGTGATGACTGCTGAAGACGCTGTCTGTGGAACTGTTGTTGTACTTGGAATTGACGTAGACACTGAAAAAATGAAACAATCAAAGTTTGAATAGCTTTCACCCATTTTAGTCAAGAAGAGATTTCAAACATCTTTTGGATAACAGTTTATCGACCACTACCATGCATACACATTTACCACAATTAATTCTGTACGTATAGTTTCATTTCGACAAGGAACACCAAGACATTTAACAGACAAATAGACTACACGAGTGTTAAATTGATAAGAAATACTTCTGAAGTTAAAACACATGTGGTTATATTTACTTACTGACTTCAAAGCAGGCGTGGACACTTAATTGAAGCTGAACAGGTTTGTATGAATCTTCTTTGTCATCAGGTGTAATAATTACATTCACTTTTCTCACGTCAGGTTTAGTTCCAACACTTGTAGCCTTTTCGCCAACATTCACCTACAGAACAGAAAATAAAAGTTTAAAGATTTACAGGGAAAACATATTCAAGTTTCACGTACCACATTAGCAGCAATTGAATTTTCATTTGACGAAGTTAAAGTAAATTTAATGCCATTTATCTTAATGATTTAGTGAGAGTCATACTAACCTTTCTCGTTGTCACAGTTCCATCTGCATTAAAGAATTGCACTGTATATGTCTTAACATTATCAGTAGAAACCAGTTCAACATTGGCTATTGGTCTTGTCTTCGTAGGCACGTACTCTATAACCAATTTGTCTTCAGAACTTTTAAACGGTGTCTTAGACGAAGGTCGCAGATTATCAATGTCTGCTGTCTTGTCATTTGTTGTAATTTCAGTTGAAGGTATTGTTGTTATTGAATCCATTCCATCCGTTTCTTCACAGATGGGAGTTGTTGTCGCTATTGCTACAGAAAAAATATTTCACCATGTTACCACTTATCAAACTATAATGATAGTGCATACATTAACACTGTAAAAAGTGAAAAGAAACTCGAGTTTCATTCATTATTTTGAACCAACAGTACTTTAACGATGTTAAAATCTAATCAATCCATTAAGACAATACAAATCAAGAAAAACAAAAGAAACAAATGAGGGAATTATTTTAACTCCAAAAGGAGCATGATCCGGGTGCATTGACTGGGTAATAATCTCCCGTTGCAAACTTTTCAAACATTACGTTGTAAATATGCTCAAATAAAGCAAATAAATTTTACAAGTCAAACTAAAATATTCAAACTAACTTGTAATTGAAAGCCCAGGAGATGCACTTGTAGTTGACACTTGAGTTGGTGTTGTAACTTTTCCACTTGATACTGAAAAATAATTATTCAAACAGTCAAATATATCAGAACAACCGAAAATTTCCAATTGAGTTTGCATCATATTATTCCACAAATGTTGCAACTTTCAATTTCTTTCTAAAATATCTTTGTAAAATGTTAAACATTAATGACGATCATATTATTTTGTAATCATTTAGAGAAATAAAGCTTTAGCCTGCTAATAATATATTTCCGAAAATACCACTGACACTATGAAAGTTTTTTAACAATTACCCTTTAATGTTTGAGTAGTTTCAGTTGAAATTTCTGGTGTAGCTGTAGGTGTTGGTGTAACCTCGGCTGTAGTGATGACTGCTGAAGACGCTGTCTGTGGAACTGTTGTTGTACTTGAAATTGACGTAGACACTGAAAAAATGAAACAATCAAAGTTTGAATAGCTTTCACCCATTTTAGTCAAGAAGATATTTCAAACATCTTTTGGATAACAGTTTATCGACCACTACCATGCATACACATTTACCACAATTAATTCTGTACGTATAGTTTTATTTCGACAAGGAACACCAAGACATTTAACAGACAAATAGACTACACGAGTGTTAAATTGATAAGAAATACTTCTGAAGTTAAAACACATGTGGTTATATTTACTTACTGACTTCAAAACAGGCGTGGACACTTAATTGAAGCTGAACAGGTTTGTATGAATCTTCTTTGTCATCAGGTGTGATAATTACATTCACTTTTCTCACGTCAGGTTTAGTTCCAACACTTGTAGCCTTTTCGCCAACATTCACCTACAGAACAGAAAATAAAAGTTTAAAGATTTACAGGGAAAACATGTTCAAGTTTCACGTACCACATTAGCAGCAATTGAATTTTCATTTGACGAAGTTAAAGTAAATTTAATGCCATTTATCTTAATGATTTAGTGAGAGTCATACTAACCTTTCTCGTTGTCACAGTTCCATCTGCATTAAAGAATTGCACTGTATATGTCTTAACATTATCAGTAGAAACCAGTTCAACATTGGCTATTGGTCTTGTCTTCGTAGGCACGTACTCTATAACCAATTTGTCTTCAGAACTTTTAAACGGTGTCTTAGACGAAGGTCGCAGATTTTCAATGTCTGCTGTCTTGTCATTTGTTGTAATTTCAGTTGAAGGTATTGTTGTTATTGAATCCATTCCATCCGTTTCTTCACAGATGGGAGTTGTTGTCGCTATTGCTACAGAAGAAATATTTTACCATGTTACCACTTATCAAACTATATTGATAGTTCATGCATTAACACTGTAAAAAGTGAAAAGTAGCTCGAGTTTCATTCATTATTTTGAACCAACAGTAGTTTAACGATGTTAAAATCTAATCAATCCATTAAGACAATACAAATCAAGAAAAACAAAAGAAACAAATGAGGGAATTATTTTAACTCCAAAAGGAGAATGATACGGGTGCATTGACTGGGTAATAATCTTCTGTTGCAAACTTTTCAAACATTACGTTGTAAATATGCGCAAATAAAGCAAATAAATTTTACAAGTCAAACTAAAATATTCAAACTAACTTGTAATTGAAAGCCCAGGAGATGCACTTGTAGTTGACACTTGAGTTGGTGTTGTAACTTTTCCACTTGATACTGAAAAATAATTATTCAAACAGTCAAATATATCAGAACAACCGAAAACTTCCAATTGAGTTTGCATCATATTATTCCACAAATGTTGCATCTTTTAATTTCTTTCTAAAATATCTTTGTAAAATGTTGAACATTAATGACGATCATATTATTTTGTAATCATTTACAGAAATTAAGCTTTAGCCTGCTAATAATATATTTCCGAAAATACCACTGACACTATGAAAGTTTTTTAACAATTACCCTTTAATGTTTGAGTAGTTTCAGTTGAAATTTCTGGTGTAGCTGTAGGTGTTGGTGTAACCTCGGCTGTAGTGATGACTGCTGACGACGCTGTCTGTGGAACTGTTGTTGTACTTGGAATTGACGTAGACACTGAAAAAATGAAACAATCAAAGTTTGAATAGCTTTCACCCATTTTAGTCAAGAAGAGATTTCAAACATCTTTTGGATAACAGTTTATCGACCACTACCATGCATACACATTTACCACAATTAATTCTGTACGTATAATTTCATTTCGACAAGGAACACCAAGACATTTAACTGACAAATAGACTACACAAGTGTTAAATTGATAAGAAATACTTCTGAAGTTAAAACACATGTGGTTATATTTACTTACTGACTTCAAAACAGGCGTGGACACTTAATTGAAGCTGAACAGGTTTGTATGAATCTTCTTTGTCATCAGGTGTGATAATTACATTCACTTTTCTCACGTCAGGTTTAGTTCCAACACTTGTAGCCTTTTCGGCAACATTCACCTACAGAACAGAAAATAAAAGTTTAAAGATTTACAGGGAAAACATATTCAAGTTTCACGTACCACATTAGCAGCAATTGAATTTTCATTTGACGAAGTTAAAGTAAATTCAATGCCATTTATCTTAATGATTTAGTGAGAGTCATACTAACCTTTCTCGTTGTCACAGTTCCATCTGCATTAAAGAATTGCACTGTATATGTCTTAACATTATCAGTAGAAACCAGTTCAACATTGGCTATTGGTCTTGTCTTCGTAGGCACGTACTCTATAACCAATTTGTCTTCAGAACTTTTAAACGGTGTCTTAGACGAAGGTCGCAGATTTTCAATGTCTGCTGTCTTGTCATTTGTTGTAATTTCAGTTGAAGGTATTGTTGTTATTGAATCCATTCCATCCGTTTCTTCACAGATGGGAGTTGTTGTCGCTATTGCTACAGAAGAAATATTTCACCATGTTACCACTTATCAAACTATATTGATAGTTCATGCATTAACACTGTAAAAAGTGAAAAGTAACTAGAGTTTCATTCATTATTTTGAACCAACAGTAGTTTAACGATGTTAAAATCTAATCAATCTATTAAGACAATACAAATCAAGAAAAACAAAAGAAACAAATGAGGGAATTATTTTAACTCCAAAAGGAGCATGATCCGGTTGCATTGACTGGGTAATAATCTTCTGTTGCAAACTTTTCAAACATTACGTTGTAAATATGCGCAAATAAAGCAAATAAATTTTACAAGTCAAACTAAAATATTCAAACTAACTTGTAATTGAAAGCCCAGGAGATGCACTTGTAGTTGACACTTGAGTTGGTGTTGTAACTTTTCCACTTGATACTGAAAAATAATTATTCAAACAGTCAAATATATCAGAACAACCGAAAATTTCCAATTGAGTTTGCATCATATTATTCCACAAATGTTGCATCTTTCAATTTCTTTCTAAAATATCTTTGTAAAATGTTAAACATTAATGACGATCATATTATTTTGTAATCATTTACAGAAATAAAGCTTTAGCCTGCTAATAATATATTTCCAAAAATACCACTAACACTATGAAAGTTTTTTAACAATTACCCTTTAATGTTTGAGTAGTTTCAGTTGAAATTTCTGGTGTAGCTGTAGGTGTTGGTGTAACCTCGGCTGTAGTGATGACTGCTGAAGACGCTGTCTGTGGAACTGTTGTTGTACTTGGAATTGACGTAGACACTGAAAAAATGAAACAATCAAAGTTTGAATAGCTTTCACCCATTTTAGTCAAGAAGAGATTTCAAACATCTTTTGGATAACAGTTTATCGACCACTACCATGCATACACATTTACCACAATTAATTCTGTACGTATAATTTCATTTCGACAAGGAACACCAAGACATTTAACTGACAAATAGACTACACAAGTGTTAAATTGATAAGAAATACTTCTGAAGTTAAAACACATGTGGTTATATTTACTTACTGACTTCAAAACAGGCGTGGACACTTAATTGAAGCTGAACAGGTTTGTATGAATCTTCTTTGTCATCAGGTGTGATAATTACATTCACTTTTCTCACGTCAGGTTTAGTTCCAACACTTGTAGCCTTTTCGGCAACATTCACCTACAGAACAGAAAATAAAAGTTTAAAGATTTACAGGGAAAACATATTCAAGTTTCACGTACCACATTAGCAGCAATCCAATTTTCATTTGACGAAGTTAAAGTAAATTCAATGCCATTTATCTTAATGATTTAGTGAGAGTCATACTAACCTTTCTCGTTGTCACAGTTCCATCTGCATTAAAGAATTGCACTGTATATGTCTTAACATTATCAGTAGAAACCAGTTCAACATTGGCTATTGGTCTTGTCTTCGTAGGCACGTACTCTATAACCAATTTGTCTTCAGAACTTTTAAACGGTGTCTTAGACGAAGGTCGCAGATTTTCAATGTCTGCTGTCTTGTCATTTGTTGTAATTTCAGTTGAAGGTATTGTTGTTATTGAATCCATTCCATCCGTTTCTTCACAGATGGGAGTTGTTGTCGCTATTGCTACAGAAGAAATATTTCACCATGTTACCACTTATCAAACTATATTGATAGTTCATGCATTAACACTGTAAAAAGTGAAAAGTAACTAGAGTTTCATTCATTATTTTGAACCAACAGTAGTTTAACGATGTTAAAATCTAATCAATCCATTAAGACAATACAAATCAAGAAAAACAAAAGAAACAAATGAGGGAATTATTTTAACTCCAAAAGGAGCATGATCCGGTTGCATTGACTGGGTAATAATCTTCTGTTGCAAACTTTTCAAACATTACGTTGTAAATATGCGCAAATAAAGCAAATAAATTTTACAAGTCAAACTAAAATATTCAAACTAACTTGTAATTGAAAGCCCAGGAGATGCACTTGTAGTTGACACTTGAGTTGGTGTTGTAACTTTTCCACTTGATACTGAAAAATAATTATTCAAACAGTCAAATATATCAGAACAACCGAAAATTTCCAATTGAGTTTGCATCATATTATTCCACAAATGTTGCATCTTTCAATTTCTTTCTAAAATATCTTTGTAAAATGTTAAACATTAATGACGATCATATTATTTTGTAATCATTTACAGAAATAAAGCTTTAGCCTGCTAATAATATATTTCCAAAAATACCACTAACACTATGAAAGTTTTTTAACAATTACCCTTTAATGTTTGAGTAGTTTCAGTTGAAATTTCTGGTGTAGCTGTAGGTGTTGGTGTAACCTCGGCTGTAGTGATGACTGCTGAAGACGCTGTCTGTGGAACTGTTGTTGTACTTGGAATTGACGTAGACACTGAAAAAATGAAACAATCAAAGTTTGAATAGCTTTCACCCATTTTAGTCAAGAAGAGATTTCAAACATCTTTTGGATAACAGTTTATCGACCACTACCATGCATACACATTTACCACAATTAATTCTGTACGTATAGTTTTATTTCGACAAGGAACACCAAGACATTTAACAGACAAATAGACTACACAAGTGTTAAATTGATAAGAAATACTTCTGAAGTTAAAACACATGTGGTTATATTTACTTACTGACTTCAAAACAGGCGTGGACACTTAATTGAAGCTGAACAGGTTTGTATGAATCTTCTTTGTCATCAGGTGTGATAATTACATTCACTTTTCTCACGTCAGGTTTAGTTCCAACACTTGTAGCCTTTTCGCCAACATTCACCTACAGAACAGAAAATAAAAGTTTAAAGATTTACAGGGAAAACATATTCAAGTTTCACGTACCACATTAGCAGCAATCGAATTTTCATTTGACGAATTTAAAGTAAATTCAATGCCATTTATCTTAATGATTTAGTGAGAGTCATACTAACCTTTCTCGTTGTCACAGTTCCATCTGCATTAAAGAATTGCACTGTATATGTCTTAACATTATCAGTAGAAACCAGTTCAACATTGGCTATTGGTCTTGTCTTCGTAGGCACGTACTCTATAACCAATTTGTCTTCAGAACTTTTAAACGGTGTCTTAGACGAAGGTCGCAGATTTTCAATGTCTGCTGTCTTGTCATTTGTTGTAATTACAGTTGAAGGTATTGTTGTTATTGAATCCATTCCATCCGTTTCTTCACAGATGGGAGTTGTTGTCGCTATTGCTACAGAAGAAATATTTCACCATGTTACCACTTATCAAACTATATTGATAGTTCATGCATTAACACTGTAAAAAGTGAAAAGTAACTCGAGTTTCATTCATTATTTTGAACCAACAGTAGTTTAACGATTTTAAAATCTAATCAATCCATTAAGACAATACAAATCAAGAAAAACAAAAGAAACAAATGAGGGAATAATTTTAACTCCAAAAGGAGCATGATACGGGTGCATTGACTGGGTAATAATCTTCTGTTGCAAACTTTTCAAACATTACGTTGTAAATATGCGCAAATAAAGCAAATAAATTTTACAAGTCATACTAAAATATTCAAACTAACTTGTAATTGAAAGCCCAGGAGATGCACTTGTAGTTGACACTTGAGTTGGTGTTGTAACTTTTCCACTTGATACTGAAAAATAATTATTCAAACAGTCAAATATATCAGAACAACCGAAAATTTCCAATTGAGTTTGCATCATATTATTCCACAAATGTTGCATCTTTCAATTTCTTTCTAAAATATCTTTGTAAAATGTTAAACATTAATGACGATCATATTATTTTGTAATCATTTACAGAAATAAAGCTTTAGCCTGCTAATAATATATTTCCAAAAATACCACTAACACTATGAAAGTTTTTTAACAATTACCCTTTAATGTTTGAGTAGTTTCAGTTGAAATTTCTGGTGTAGCTGTAGGTGTTGGTGTAACCTCGGCTGTAGTGACGACTGCTGAAGACGCTGTCTGTGGAACTGTTGTTGTACTTGGAATTGACGTAGACACTGAAAAAATGAAACAATCAAAGTTTGAATAGCTTTCACCCATTTCAGTCAAGAAGAGATTTCAAACATCTTTTGGATAACAGTTTATCGACCACTACCATGCATACACATTTACCACAATTAATTCTGTACGTATAGTTTCATTTCGACAAGGACACCAAGACATTTAACAGACAAATAGACTACACGAGTGTTAAATTGATAAGAAATACTTCTGAAGTTAAAACACATGTGGTTATATTTACTTACTGACTTCAAAACAGGCGTGGACACTTAATTGAAGCTGAACAGGTTTGTATGAATCTTCTTTGTCAGCAGGTGTGATAATTACATTCACTTTTCTCACGTCAGGTTTAGTTCCAACACTTGTAGCCTTTTCGCCAACATTCACCTACAGAACAGAAAATAAAAGTTTAAAGATTTACAGGGAAAACATATTCAAGTTTCACGTACCACATTAGCAGCAATCCAATTTTCATTTGACGAAGTTAAAGTAAATTCAATGCCATTTATCTTAATGATTTAGTGAGAGTCATACTAACCTTTCTCGTTGTCACAGTTCCATCTGCATTAAAGAATTGCACTGTATATGTCTTAACATTATCAGTAGAAACCAGTTCAACATTGGCTATTGGTCTTGTCTTCGTAGGCACGTACTCTATAACCAATTTGTCTTCAGAACTTTTAAACGGTGTCTTAGACGAAGGTCGCAGATTTTCAATGTCTGCTGTCTTGTCATTTGTTGTAATTTCAGTTGAAGGTATTGTTGTTATTGAATCCATTCCATCCGTTTCTTCACAGATGGAAGTTGTTGTCGCTATTGCTACAGAAGAAATATTTCACCATGTTACCACTTATCAAACTATATTGATAGTTCATGCATTAACACTGTAAAAAGTGAAAAGTAACTCGAGTTTCATTCATTATTTTGAACCAACAGTAGTTGAACGATGTTAAAATCTAATCAATCCATTAAGACAATACAAATCAAGAAAAACAAAAGAAACAAATGAGGGAATTATTTTAACTCCAAAAGGAGCATGATCCGGGTGCATTGACTGGGTAATAATCTTCTGTTGCAAACTTTTCAAACATTACGTTGTAAATATGCGCAAATAAAGCAAATAAATTTTACAAGTCAAACTAAAATATTCAAACTAACTTGTAATTGAAAGCCCAGGAGATGCACTTGTAGTTGACACTTGAGTTGGTGTTGTAACTTTTCCACTTGATACTGAAAAATAATTATTCAAACAGTCAAATATATCAGAACAACCGAAAATTTCCAATTGAGTTTGCATCATATTATTCCACAAATGTTGCATCTTTCAATTTCTTTCTAAAATATCTTTGTAAAATGTTAAACATTAATGACGATCATATTATTTTGTAATCATTTACAGAAATAAAGCTTTAGCCTGCTAATAATATATTTCCAAAAATACCACTAACACTATGAAAGTTTTTTAACAATTACCCTTTAATGTTTGAGTAGTTTCAGTTGAAATTTCTGGTGGAGCTGTAGGTGTTGGTGTAACCTCGGCTGTAGTGACGACTGCTGAAGACGCTGTCTGTGGAACTGTTGTTGTACTTGGAATTGACGTAGACACTGAAAAAATGAAACAATCAAAGTTTGAATAGCTTTCACCCATTTTAGTCAAGAAGAGATTTCAAACATCTTTTGGATAACAGTTTATCGACCACTACCATGCATACACATTTACCACAATTAATTCTGTACGTATAGTTTCATTTCGACAAGGAACACCAAGACATTTAACAGACAAATAGACTACACGAGTGTTAAATTGATAAGAAATACTTCTGAAGTTAAAACACATGTGGTTATATTTACTTACTGACTTCAAAACAGGCGTGGACACTAAATTGAAGCTGAACAGGTTTGTATGAATCTTCTTTGTCATCAGGTGTGATAATTACATTCACTTTTCTCACGTCAGGTTTAGTTCCAACACTTGTAGCCTTTTCGCCAACATTCACCTACAGAACAGAAAATAAAAGTTTAAAGATTTACAGGGAAAACATATTCAAGTTTCACGTACCACATTAGCAGCAATCGAATTTTCATTTGACGAAGTTAAAGTAAATTCAATGCCATTTATCTTAATGATTTAGTGAGAGTCATACTAACCTTTCTCGTTGTCACAGTTCCATCTGCATTAAAGAATTGCACTGTATATGTCTTAACATTATCAGTAGAAACCAGTTCAACATTGGCTATTGGTCTTGTCTTCGTAGGCACGTACTCTATAACCAATTTGTCTTCAGAACTTTTAAACGGTGTCTTAGACGAAGGTCGCAGATTTTCAATGTCTGCTGTCTTGTCATTTGTTGTAATTTCAGTTGAAGGTATTGTTGTTATTGAATCCATTCCATCCGTTTCTTCACAGATGGGAGTTGTTGTCGCTATTGCTACAGAAGAAATATTTCACCATGTTACCACTTATCAAACTATATTGATAGTTCATGCATTAACACTGTAAAAAGTGAAAAGTAACTCGAGTTTCATTCATTATTTTGAACCAACAGTAGTTGAACGATGTTAAAATCTAATCAATCCATTAAGACAATACAAATCAAGAAAAACAAAAGAAACAAATGAGGGAATTATTTTAACTCCAAAAGGAGCATGATCCGGGTGCATTGACTGGGTAATAATCTTCTGTTGCAAACTTTTCAAACATTACGTTGTAAATATGCGCAAATAAAGCAAATAAATTTTACAAGTCAAACTAAAATATTCAAACTAACTTGTAATTGAAAGCCCAGGAGATGCACTTGTAGTTGACACTTGAGTTGGTGTTGTAACTTTTCCACTTGATACTGAAAAATAATTATTCAAACAGTCAAATATATCAGAACAACCGAAAATTTCCAATTGAGTTTGCATCATATTATTCCACAAATGTTGCATCTTTCAATTTCTTTCTAAAATATCTTTGTAAAATGTTAAACATTAATGACGATCATATTATTTTGTAATCATTTACAGAAATAAAGCTTTAGCCTGCTAATAATATATTTCCGAAAATACCACTGATACTATGAAAGTTTTTTAACAATTACCCTTTAATGTTTGAGTAGTTTCAGTTGAAATTTCTGGTGTAGCTGTAGGTGTTGGTGTAACCTCGGCTGTAGTGATGACTGCTGACGACGCTGTCTGTGGAACTGTTGTTGTACTTGGAATTGACGTAGACACTGAAAAAATGAAACAATCAAAGTTTGAATAGCTTTCACCCATTTTAGTCAAGAAGAGATTTCAAACATCTTTTGGATAACAGTTTATCGACCACTACCATGCATACACATTTACCACAATTAATTCTGTACGTATAGTTTCATTTCGACAAGGAACACCAAGACATTTAACAGACAAATTGACTACACGAGTGTTAAATTGATAAGAAATACTTCTGAAGTTAAAACACATGTGGTTATATTTACTTACTGACTTCAAAACAGGCGTGAACACTTAATTGAAGCTGAACAGGTTTGTATGAATCTTCTTTGTCATCAGGTGTGATAATTACATTCACTTTTCTCACGTCAGGTTTAGTTCCAACACTTGTAGCCTTTTCGCCAACATTCACCTACAGAACAGAAAATAAAAGTTTAAAGATTTACAGGGAAAATATATTCAAGTTTCACGTACCACATTAGCAGCAATTGAATTTTCATTTGACAAAGTTAAAGTAAATTTAATGCCATTTATCTTAATGATTTAGTGAGAGTCATACTAACCTTTCTCGTTGTCACAGTTCCATCTGCATTAAAGAATTGCACTGTATATGTCTTAACATTATCAGTAGAAACCAGTTCAACATTGGCTATTGGTCTTGTCTTCGTAGGCACGTACTCTATAACCAATTTGTCTTCAGAACTTTTAAACGGTGTCTTAGACGAAGGTCGCAGATTTTCAATGTCTGCTGTCTTGTCATTTGTTGTAATTTCAGTTGAAGGTATTGTTGTTATTGAATCCATTCCATCCGTTTCTTCACAGATGGGAGTTGTTGTCGCTATTGCTACAGAAGAAATATTTCACCATGTTACCACTTATCAAACTATATTGATAGTTCATGCATTAACACTGTAAAAAGTGAAAAGTAACTCGAGTTTCATTCATTATTTTGAACCAACAGTAGTTGAACGATGTTAAAATCTAATCAATCCATTAAGACAATACAATTCAAGAAAAACAAAAGAAACAAATGAGGGAATTATTTTAACTCCAAAAGGAGCATGATCCGGGTGCATTGACTGGGTAATAATCTTCTGTTGCAAACTTTTCAAACATTACGTTGTAAATATGCGCAAATAAAGCAAATAAATTTTACAAGTCAAACTAAAATATTCAAACTAACTTGTAATTGAAAGCCCAGGAGATGCACTTGTAGTTGACACTTGAGTTGGTGTTGTAACTTTTCCACTTGATACTGAAAAATAATTATTCAAACAGTCAAATATATCAGAACAACCGAAAATTTCCAATTGAGTTTGCATCATATTATTCCACAAATGTTGCATCTTTTAAATTCTTTCTAAAATATCTTTGTAAAATGTTGAACATTAATGACGATCATATTATTTTGTAATCATTTACAGAAATAAAGCTTTAGCCTGCTAATAATATATTTCCGAAAATACCACTGACACTATGAAAGTTTTTTAACAATTACCCTTTAATGTTTGAGTAGTTTCAGTTGAAATTTCTGGTGTAGCTGTAGGTGTTGGTGTAACCTCGGCTGTAGTGATGACTGTTGACGACGCTGTCTGTGGAACTGTTGTTGTACTTGGAATTGACGTAGACACTGAAAAAATGAAACAATCAAAGTTTGAATAGCTTTCACCCATTTTAGTCAAGAAGAGATTTCAAACATCTTTTGGATAACAGTTTATCGACCACTACCATGCATACACATTTACCACAATTAATTCTGTACGTATAATTTCATTTCGACAAGGAACACCAAGACATTTAACTGACAAATAGACTACACAAGTGTTAAATTGATAAGAAATACTTCTGAAGTTAAAACACATGTGGTTATATTTACTTACTGACTTCAAAACAGGCGTGGACACTTAATTGAAGCTGAACAGGTTTGTATGAATCTTCTTTGTCATCAGGTGTGATAATTACATTCACTTTTCTCACGTCAGGTTTAGTTCCAACACTTGTAGTCTTTTCGCCAACATTCACCTACAGAACAGAAAATAAAAGTTTAAAGATTTACAGGGAAAACATATTCAAGTTTCACGTACCACATTAGCAGCAATTGAATTTTCATTTGACGAAGTTAAAGTAAATTCAATGCCATTTATCTTAATGATTTAGTGAGTGTCATACTAACCTTTCTCGTTGTCACAGTTCCATCTGCATTAAAGAATTGCACTGTATATGTCTTAACATTATCAGTAGAAACCAGTTCAACATTGGCTATTGGTCTTGTCTTCGTAGGCACGTACTCTATAACCAATTTGTCTTCAGAACTTTTAAACGGTGTCTTAGACGAAGGTCGCAGATTTTCAATGTCTGCTGTCTTGTCATTTGTTGTAATTTCAGTTGAAGGTATTGTTGTTATTGAATCCATTCCATCCGTTTCTTCACAGATGGGAGTTGTTGTCGCTATTGCTACAGAAGAAATATTTCACCATGTTACCACTTATCAAACTATATTGATAGTTCATGCATTAACACTGTAAAAAGTGAAAAGTAACTAGAGTTTCATTCATTATTTTGAACCAACAGTAGTTTAACGATGTTAAAATCTAATCAATCCATTAAGACAATACAAATCAAGAAAAACAAAAGAAACAAATGAGGGAATTATTTTAACTCCAAAAGGAGCATGATCCGGGTGCATTGACTGGGTAATAATCTTCTGTTGCAAACTTTTCAAACATTACGTTGTAAATATGCGCAAATAAAGCAAATAAATTTTACAAGTCAAACTAAAATATTCAAACTAACTTGTAATTGAAAGCCCAGGAGATGCACTTGTAGTTGACACTTGAGTTGGTGTTGTAACTTTTCCACTTGATACTGAAAAATAATTATTCAAACAGTCAAATATATCAGAACAACCGAAAATTTCCAATTGAGTTTGCATCATATTATTCCACAAATGTTGCATCTTTCAATTTCTTTCTAAAATATCTTTGTAAAATGTTAAACATTAATGACGATCATATTATTTTGTAATCATTTACAGAAATAAAGCTTTAGCCTGCTAATAATATATTTCCGAAAATACCATTGACACTATGAAAGTTTTTCAACAATTACCCTTTAATGTTTGAGTAGTTTCAGTTGAAATTTCTGGTGTAGCTGTAGGTGTTGGTGTAACCTCGGCTGTAGTGATGACTGCTGAAGACGCTGTCTGTGGAACTGTTGTTGTACTTGGAATTGACGTAGACACTGAAAAAATGAAACAATCAAAGTTTGAATAGCTTTCACCCATTTTAGTCAAGAAGAGATTTCAAACATCTTTTGGATAACAGTTTATCGACCACTACCATGCATACACATTTACCACAATTAATTCTGTACGTATAGTTTTATTTCGACAAGGAACACCAAGACATTTAACAGACAAATAGACTACACAAGTGTTAAATTGATAAGAAATACTTCTGAAGTTAAAACACATGTGGTTATATTTACTTACTGACTTCAAAACAGGCGTGGACACTTAATTGAAGCTGAACAGGTTTGTATGAATCTTCTTTGTCATCAGGTGTGATAATTACATTCACTTTTCTCACGTCAGGTTTAGTTCCAACACTTGTAGCCTTTTCGCCAACATTCACCTACAGAACAGAAAATAAAAGTTTAAAGATTTACAGGGAAAACATATTCAAGTTTCACGTACCACATTAGCAGCAATCGAATTTTCATTTGACGAAGTTAAAGTAAATTCAATGCCATTTATCTTAATGATTTAGTGAGAGTCATACTAACCTTTCTCGTTGTCACAGTTCCATCTGCATTAAAGAATTGCACTGTATATGTCTTAACATTATCAGTAAAAACCAGTTCAACATTGGCTATTGGTCTTGTCTTCGTAGGCACGTACTCTATAACCAATTTGTCTTCAGAACTTTTAAACGGTGTCTTAGACGAAGGTCGCAGATTTTCAATGTCTGCTGTCTTGTCATTTGTTGTAATTTCAGTTGAAGGTATTGTTGTTATTGAATCCATTCCATCCGTTTCTTCACAGATGGGAGTTGTTGTCGCTATTGCTACAGAAGAAATATTTCACCATGTTACCACTTATCAAACTATATTGATAGTTCATGCATTAACACTGTAAAAAGTGAAAAGTAACTAGAGTTTCATTCATTATTTTGAACCAACAGTAGTTTAACGATGTTAAAATCTAATCAATCCATTAAGACAATACAAATCAAGAAAAACAAAAGAAACAAATGAGGGAATTATTTTAACTCCAAAAGGAGCATGATCCGGGTGCATTGACTGGGTAATAATCTTCTGTTGCAAACTTTTCAAACATTACGTTGTAAATATGCGCAAATAAAGCAAATAAATTTTACAAGTCAAACTAAAATATTCAAACTAACTTGTAATTGAAAGCCCAGGAGATGCACTTGTAGTTGACACTTGAGTTGGTGTTGTAACTTTTCCACTTGATACTGAAAAATAATTATTCAAACAGTCAAATATATCAGAACAACCGAAAATTTCCAATTGAGTTTGCATCATATTATTCCACAAATGTTGCATCTTTCAATTTCTTTCTAAAATATCTTTGTAAAATGTTAAACATTAATGACGATCATATTATTTTGTAATCATTTACAGAAATAAAGCTTTAGCCTGCTAATAATATATTTCCGAAAATACCATTGACACTATGAAAGTTTTTCAACAATTACCCTTTAATGTTTGAGTAGTTTCAGTTGAAATTTCTGGTGTAGCTGTAGGTGTTGGTGTAACCTCGGCTGTAGTGATGACTGCTGAAGACGCTGTCTGTGGAACTGTTGTTGTACTTGGAATTGACGTAGACACTGAAAAAATGAAACAATCAAAGTTTGAATAGCTTTCACCCATTTTAGTCAAGAAGAGATTTCAAACATTTTTTGGATAACAGTTTATCGACCACTACCATGCATACACATTTACCACAATTAATTCTGTACGTATAGTTTTATTTCGACAAGGAACACCAAGACATTTAACAGACAAATAGACTACACAAGTGTTAAATTGATAAGAAATACTTCTGAAGTTAAAACACATGTGGTTATATTTACTTACTGACTTCAAAACAGGCGTGGACACTTAATTGAAGCTGAACAGGTTTGTATGAATCTTCTTTGTCATCAGGTGTGATAATTACATTCACTTTTCTCACGTCAGGTTTAGTTCTAACACTTGTAGCCTTTTCGCCAACATTCACCTACAGAACAGAAAATAAAAGTTTAAAGATTTACAGGGAAAACATATTCAAGTTTCACGTACCACATTAGCAGCAATCGAATTTTCATTTGACGAAGTTAAAGTAAATTCAATGCCATTTATCTTAATGATTTAGTGAGAGTCATACTAACCTTTCTCGTTGTCACAGTTCCATCTGCATTAAAGAATTGCACTGTATATGTCTTAACATTATCAGTAGAAACCAGTTCAACATTGGCTATTGGTCTTGTCTTCGTAGGCACGTACTCTATAACCAATTTGTCTTCAGAACTTTTAAACGGTGTCTTAGACGAAGGTCGCAGATTTTCAATGTCTGCTGTCTTGTCATTTGTTGTAATTTCAGTTGAAGGTATTGTTGTTATTGAATCCATTCCATCCGTTTCTTCACAGATGGGAGTTGTTGTCGCTATTGCTACAGAAGAAATATTTCACCATGTTACCACTTATCAAACTATATTGATAGTTCATGCATTAACACTGTAAAAAGTGAAAAGTAACTCGAGTTTCATTCATTATTTTGAACCAACAGTAGTTGAACGATGTTAAAATCTAATCAATCCATTAAGACAATACAAATCAAGAAAAACAAAAGAAACAAATGAGGGAATTATTTTAACTCCAAAAGGAGCATGATCCGGGTGCATTGACTGGGTAATAATCTTCTGTTGCAAACTTTTCAAACATTACGTTGTAAATATGCGCAAATAAAGCAAATAAATTTTACAAGTCAAACTAAAATATTCAAACTAACTTGTAATTGAAAGCCCAGGAGATGCACTTGTAGTTGACACTTGAGTTGGTGTTGTAACTTTTCCACTTGATACTGAAAAATAATTATTCAAACAGTCAAATATATCAGAACAACCGAAAATTTCCAATTGAGTTTGCATCATATTATTCCACAAATGTTGCATTTTTCAATTTCTTTCTAAAATATCTTTGTAAAATGTTAAACATTAATGACGATCATATTATTTTGTAATCATTTACAGAAATAAAGCTTTAGCCTGCTAATAATATATTTCCGAAAATACCACTGATACTATGAAAGTTTTTTAACAATTACCCTTTAATGTTTGAGTAGTTTCAGTTGAAATTTCTGGTGTAGCTGTAGGTGTTGGTGTAACCTCGGCTGTAGTGATGACTGCTGACGACGCTGTCTGTGGAACTGTTGTTGTACTTGGAATTGACGTAGACACTGAAAAAATGAAACAATCAAAGTTTGAATAGCTTTCACCCATTTTAGTCAAGAAGAGATTTCAAACATCTTTTGGATAACAGTTTATCGACCACTACCATGCATACACATTTACCACAATTAATTCTGTACGTATAGTTTCATTTCGACAAGGAACACCAAGACATTTAACAGACAAATTGACTACACGAGTGTTAAATTGATAAGAAATACTTCTGAAGTTAAAACACATGTGGTTATATTTACTTACTGACTTCAAAACAGGCGTGAACACTTAATTGAAGCTGAACAGGTTTGTATGAATCTTCTTTGTCATCAGGTGTGATAATTACATTCACTTTTCTCACGTCAGGTTTAGTTCCAACACTTGTAGCCTTTTCGCCAACATTCACCTACAGAACAGAAAATAAAAGTTTAAAGATTTACAGGGAAAATATATTCAAGTTTCACGTACCACATTAGCAGCAATTGAATTTTCATTTGACAAAGTTAAAGTAAATTTAATGCCATTTATCTTAATGATTTAGTGAGAGTCATACTAACCTTTCTCGTTGTCACAGTTCCATCTGCATTAAAGAATTGCACTGTATATGTCTTAACATTATCAGTAGAAACCAGTTCAACATTGGCTATTGGTCTTGTCTTCGTAGGCACGTACTCTATAACCAATTTGTCTTCAGAACTTTTAAACGGTGTCTTAGACGAAGGTCGCAGATTTTCAATGTCTGCTGTCTTGTCATTTGTTGTAATTTCAGTTGAAGGTATTGTTGTTATTGAATCCATTCCATCCGTTTCTTCACAGATGGGAGTTGTTGTCGCTATTGCTACAGAAGAAATATTTCACCATGTTACCACTTATCAAACTATATTGATAGTTCATGCATTAACACTGTAAAAAGTGAAAAGTAACTCGAGTTTCATTCATTATTTTGAACCAACAGTAGTTGAACGATGTTAAAATCTAATCAATCCATTAAGACAATACAAATCAAGAAAAACAAAAGAAACAAATGAGGGAATTATTTTAACTCCAAAAGGAGCATGATCCGGGTGCATTGACTGGGTAATAATCTTCTGTTGCAAACTTTTCAAACATTACGTTGTAAATATGCGCAAATAAAGCAAATAAATTTTACAAGTCAAACTAAAATATTCAAACTAACTTGTAATTGAAAGCCCAGGAGATGCACTTGTAGTTGACACTTGAGTTGGTGTTGTAACTTTTCCACTTGATACTGAAAAATAATTATTCAAACAGTCAAATATATCAGAACAACCGAAAATTTCCAATTGAGTTTGCATCATATTATTCCACAAATGTTGCATCTTTCAATTTCTTTCTAAAATATCTTTGTAAAATGTTAAACATAAATGACGATCATATTATTTTGTAATCATTTACAGAAATAAAGCTTTAGCCAGCTAATAATATATTTCCGAAAATACCACTGACACTATGAAATTTTTTTAACAATTACCCTTTAATGTTTGAGTAGTTTCAGTTGAAATTTCTGGTGTAGCTGTAGGTGTTGGTGTAACCTCGGCTGTAGTGATGACTGCTGACGACGCTGTCTGTGGAACTGTTGTTGTACTTGGAATTGACGTAGACACTGAAAAAATGAAACAATCAAAGTTTGAATAGCTTTCACCCATTTTAGTCAAGAAGAGATTTCAAACATCTTTTGGATAACAGTTTATCGACCACTACCATGCATACACATTTACCACAATTAATTCTGTACGTATAGTTTCATTTCGACAAGGAACACCAAGACATTTAACAGACAAATAGACTACACGAGTGTTAAATTGATAAGAAATACTTCTGAAGTTAAAACACATGTGGTTATATTTACTTACTGACTTCAAAACAGGCGTGAACACTTAATTGAAGCTGAACATGTTTGTATGAATCTTCTTTGTCATCAGGTGTGATAATTACATTCACTTTTCTCACGTCAGGTTTAGTTCCAACACTTGTAGCCTTTTCGCCAACATTCACCTACAGAACAGAAAATAAAAGTTTAAAGATTTACAGGGAAAACATATTCAAGTTTCACGTACCACATTAGAAGCAATTGAATTTTCATTTGACGAAGTTAAAGTAAATTCAATGCCATTTATCTTAATGATTTAGTGAGAGTCATACTAACCTTTCTCGTTGTCACAGTTCCATCTGCATTAAAGAATTGCACTGTATATGTCTTAACATTATCAGTAGAAACCAGTTCAACATTGGCTATTGGTCTTGTCTTCGTAGGCACGTACTCTATAACCAATTTGTCTTCAGAACTTTTAAACGGTGTCTCAGACGAAGGTCGCAGATTTTCAATGTCTGCTGTCTTGTCGTTTGTTGTAATTTCAGTTGAAGGTATTGTTGTTATTGAATCCATTCCATCCGTTTCTTCACAGATGGGAGTTGTTGTCGCTATTGCTACAGAAGAAATATTTCACCATGTTACCACTTATCAAACTATATTGATAGTTCATGCATTAACACTGTAAAAAGTGAAAAGTAACTCGAGTTTCATTCATTATTTTGAACCAACAGTAGTTTAACGATGTTAAAATCTAATCAATCCATTAAGACAATACAAATCAAGAAAAACAAAAGAAACAAATGAGGGAATTATTTTAACTCCAAAAGGAGCATGATCCGGGTGCATTGACTGGGTAATAATCTTCTGTTGCAAACTTTTCAAACATTACGTTGTAAATATGCGCAAATAAAGCAAATAAATTTTACAAGTCAAACTAAAATATTCAAACTAACTTGTAATTGAAAGCCCAGGAGATGCACTTGTAGTTGACACTTGAGTTGGTGTTGTAACTTTTCCACTTGATACTGAAAAATAATTATTCAAACAGTCAAATATATCAGAACAACCGAAAATTTCCAATTGAGTTTGCATCATATTATTCCACAAGTGTTGCATCTTTTAATTTCTTTCTAAAATATCTTTGTAAAATGTTAAACATTAATGACGATCATATTATTTTGTAATCATTTACAGAAATAAAGCTTTAGCCTGCTAATAATATATTTCCGAAAATACCACTGACACTATGAAAGTTTTTTAACAATTACCCTTTAATGTTTGAGTAGTTTCAGTTGAAATTTCTGGTGTAGCTGTAGGTGTTGGTGTAACCTCGGCTGTAGTGATGACTGCTGAAGACGCTGTCTGTGGAACTGTTGTTGTACTTGGAATTGACGTAGACACTGAAAAAATGAAACAATCAAAGTTTGAATAGCTTTCACCCATTTTAGTCAAGAAGAGATTTCAAACATCTTTTGGATAACAGTTTATCGACCACTACCATGCATACACATTTACCACAATTAATTCTGTACGTATAGTTTCATTTCGACAAGGAACACCAAGACATTTAACAGACAAATAGACTACACGAGTGTTAAATTGATAAGAAATACTTCTGAAGTTAAAACACATGTGGTTATATTTACTTACTGACTTCAAAACAGGCGTGGACACTTAATTGAAGCTGAACAGGTTTGTATGAATCTTCTTTGTCATCAGGTGTGATAATTACATTCACTTTTCTCACGTCAGGTTTAGTTCCAACACTTGTAGCCTTTTCGCCAACATTCACCTACAGAACAGAAAATAAAAGTTTAAAGATTTACAGGGAAAACATATTCAAGTTTCACGTACCACATTAGCAGCAATCGAATTTTCATTTGACGAAGTTAAAGTAAATTCAATGCCATTTATCTTAATGATTTAGTGAGAGTCATACTAACCTTTCTCGTTGTCACAGTTCCATCTGCATTAAAGAATTGCACTGTATATGTCTTAACATTATCAGTAGAAACCAGTTCAACATTGGCTATTGGTCTTGTCTTCGTAGGCACGTACTCTATAACCAATTTGTCTTCAGAACTTTTAAACGGTGTCTTAGACGAAGGTCGCAGATTTTCAATGTCTGCTGTCTTGTCATTTGTTGTAATTTCAGTTGAAGGTATTGTTGTTATTGAATCCATTCCATCCGTTTCTTCACAGATGGGAGTTGTTGTCGCTATTGCTACAGAAGAAATATTTCACCATGTTACCACTTATCAAACTATATTGATAGTTCATGCATTAACACTGTAAAAAGTGAAAAGTAACTCGAGTTTCATTCATTATTTTGAACCAACAGTAGTTGAACGATGTTAAAATCTAATCAATCCATTAAGACAATACAAATCAAGAAAAACAAAAGAAACAAATGAGGGAATTATTTTAACTCCAAAAGGAGCATGATCCGGGTGCATTGACTGGGTAATAATCTTCTGTTGCAAACTTTTCAAACATTACGTTGTAAATATGCGCAAATAAAGCAAATAAATTTTACAAGTCAAACTAAAATATTCAAACTAACTTGTAATTGAAAGCCCAGGAGATGCACTTGTAGTTGACACTTGAGTTGGTGTTGTAACTTTTCCACTTGATACTGAAAAATAATTATTCAAACAGTCAAATATATCAGAACAACCGAAAATTTCCAATTGAGTTTGCATCATATTATTCCACAAATGTTGCATCTTTCAATTTCTTTCTAAAATATCTTTGTAAAATGTTAAACATTAATGACGATCATATTATTTTGTAATCATTTACAGAAATAAAGCTTCAGCCTGCTAATAATATATTTCCGAAAATACCACTGACACTATGAAAGTTTTTTAACAATTACCCTTTAATGTTTGAGTAGTTTCAGTTGAAATTTCTGGTGTAGCTGTAGGTGTTGGTGTAACCTCGGCTGTAGTGATGACTGCTGACGACGCTGTCTGTGGAACTGTTGTTGTACTTGGAATTGACGTAGACACTGAAAAAATGAAACAATCAAAGTTTGAATAGCTTTCACCCATTTTAGTCAAGAAGAGATTTCAAACATCTTTTGGATAACAGTTTATCGACCACTACCATGCATACACATTTACCACAATTAATTCTGTACGTATAGTTTCATTTCGACAAGGAACACCAAGACATTTAACAAACAAATTGACTACACGAGTGTTAAATTGATAAGAAATACTTCTGAAGTTAAAACACATGTGGTTATATTTACTTACTGACTTCAAAACAGGCGTGGACACTTAATTGAAGCTGAACAGGTTTGTATGAATCTTCTTTGTCATCAGGTGTGATAATTACATTCACTTTTCTCACGTCAGGTTTAGTTCCAACACTTGTAGCATTTTCGCCAACATTCACCTACAGAACAGAAAATAAAAGTTTAAAGATTTACAGGGAAAACATATTCAAGTTTCACGTACCACATTAGCAGCAATTGAATTTTCATTTGACAAAGTTAAAGTAAATTTAATGCCATTTATCTTAATGATTTAGTGAGAGTCATACTAACCTTTCTCGTTGTCACAGTTCCATCTGCATTAAAGAATTGCACTGTATATGTCTTAACATTATCAGTAGAAACCAGTTCAACATTGGCTATTGGTCTTGTCTTCGTAGGCACGTACTCTATAACCAATTTGTCTTCAGAACTTTTAAACGGTGTCTTAGACGAAGGTCGCAGATTTTCAATGTCTGCTGTCTTGTCATTTGTTGTAATTTCAGTTGAAGGTATTGTTGTTATTGAATCCATTCCATCCGTTTCTTCACAGATGGGAGTTGTTGTCGCTATTGCTACAGAAGAAATATTTCACCATGTTACCACTTATCAAACTATATTGATAGTTCATGCATTAACACTGTAAAAAGTGAAAAGTAACTCGAGTTCATTCATTATTTTGAACCAACAGTAGTTTAACGATGTTAAAATCTAATCAATCCATTAAGACAATACAAATCAAGAAAAACAAAAGAAACAAATGAGGGAATTATTTTAACTCCAAAAGGAGCATGATCCGGGTGCATTGACTGGGTAATAATCTTCTGTTGCAAACTTTTCAAACATTACGTTGTAAATATGCGCAAATAAAGCAAATAAATTTTACAAGTCAAACTAAAATATTCAAACTAACTTGTAATTGAAAGCCCAGGAGATGCACTTGTAGTTGACACTTGAGTTGGTGTTGTAACTTTTCCACTTGATACTGAAAAATAATTATTCAAACAGTCAAATATATCAGAACAACCGAAAATTTCCAATTGAGTTTGCATCATATTATTCCACAAATGTTGCATCTTTCAATTTCTTTCTAAAATATCTTTGTAAAATGTTAAACATAAATGACGATCATATTATTTTGTAATCATTTACAGAAATAAAGCTTTAGCCAGCTAATAATATATTTCCGAAAATACCACTGACACTATGAAATTTTTTTAACAATTACCCTTTAATGTTTGAGTAGTTTCAGTTGAAATTTCTGGTGTAGCTGTAGGTGTTGGTGTAACCTCGGCTGTAGTGATGACTGCTGACGACGCTGTCTGTGGAACTGTTGTTGTACTTGGAATTGACGTAGACACTGAAAAAATGAAACAATCAAAGTTTGAATAGCTTTCACCCATTTTAGTCAAGAAGAGATTTCAAACATCTTTTGGATAACAGTTTATCGACCACTACCATGCATACACATTTACCACAATTAATTCTGTACGTATAGTTTCATTTCGACAAGGAACACCAAGACATTTAACAGACAAATAGACTACACGAGTGTTAAATTGATAAGAAATACTTCTGAAGTTAAAACACATGTGGTTATATTTACTTACTGACTTCAAAACAGGCGTGAACACTTAATTGAAGCTGAACAGGTTTGTATGAATCTTCTTTGTCATCAGGTGTGATAATTACATTCACTTTTCTCACGTCAGGTTTAGTTCCAACACTTGTAGCCTTTTCGCCAACATTCACCTACAGAACAGAAAATAAAAGTTTAAAGATTTACAGGGAAAACATATTCAAGTTTCACGTACCACATTAGAAGCAATTGAATTTTCATTTGACGAAGTTAAAGTAAATTCAATGCCATTTATCTTAATGATTTAGTGAGAGTCATACTAACCTTTCTCGTTGTCACAGTTCCATCTGCATTAAAGAATTGCACTGTATATGTCTTAACATTATCAGTAGAAACCAGTTCAACATTGGCTATTGGTCTTGTCTTCGTAGGCACGTACTCTATAACCAATTTGTCTTCAGAACTTTTAAACGGTGTCTCAGACGAAGGTCGCAGATTTTCTATGTCTGCTGTCTTGTCGTTTGTTGTAATTTCAGTTGAAGGTATTGTTGTTATTGAATCCATTCCATCCGTTTCTTCACAGATGGGAGTTGTTGTCGCTATTGCTACAGAAGAAATATTTCACCATGTTACCACTTATCAAACTATATTGATAGTTCATGCATTAACACTGTAAAAAGTGAAAAGTAACTCGAGTTTCATTCATTATTTTGAACCAACAGTAGTTTAACGATGTTAAAATCTAATCAATCCATTAAGACAATACAAATCAAGAAAAACAAAAGAAACAAATGAGGGAATTATTTTAACTCCAAAAGGAGCATGATCCGGGTGCATTGACTGGGTAATAATCTTCTGTTGCAAACTTTTCAAACATTACGTTGTAAGTATGCGCAAATAAAGCAAATAAATTTTACAAGTCAAACTAAAATATTCAAACTAACTTGTAATTGAAAGCCCAGGAGATGCACTTGTAGTTGACACTTGAGTTGGTGTTGTAACTTTTCCACTTGATACTGAAAAATAATTATTCAAACAGTCAAATATATCAGAACAACCGAAAATTTCCAATTGAGTTTGCATCATATTATTCCACAAATGTTGCATCTTTCAATTTCTTTCTAAAATATCTTTGTAAAATGTTAAACATTAATGACGATCATATTATTTTGTAATCATTTACAGAAATAAAGCTTTAGCCTGCTAATAATATATTTCCGAAAATACCACTGACACTATGAAAGTTTTTTAACAATTACCCTTTAATGTTTGAGTAGTTTCAGTTGAAATTTCTGGTGTAGCTGTAGGTGTTGGTGTAACCTCGGCTGTAGTGATGACTGCTGAAGACGCTGTCTGTGGAACTGTTGTTGTACTTGGAATTGACGTAGACACTGAAAAAATGAAACAATCAAAGTTAGAATAGCTTTCACCCATTTTAGTCAAGAAGAGATTTCAAACATCTTTTGGATAACAGTTTATCGACCACTACCATGCATACACATTTACCACAATTAATTCTGTACGTATAGTTTCATTTCGACAAGGAACACCAAGACATTTAACAGACAAATAGACTACACGAGTGTTAAATTGATAAGAAATAATTCTGAAGTTAAAACACATGTGGTTATATTTACTTACTGACTTCAAAACAGGCGTGGACACTTAATTGAAGCTGAACAGGTTTGTATGAATCTTCTTTGTCATCAGGTGTGATAATTACATTCACTTTTCTCACGTCAGGTTTAGTTCCAACACTTGTAGCCTTTTCGCCAACATTCACCTACAGAACAGAAAATAAAAGTTTAAAGATTTACAGGGAAAACATATTCAAGTTTCACGTACCACATTAGCAGCAATTGAATTTTCATTTGACGAAGTTAAAGTAAATTCAATGCCATTTATCTTAATGATTTAGTGAGAGTCATACTAACCTTTCTCGTTGTCACAGTTCCATCTGCATTAAAGAATTGCACTGTATATGTCTTAACATTATCAGTAGAAACCAGTTCAACATTGGCTATTGGTCTTGTCTTCGTAGGCACGTACTCTATAACCAATTTGTCTTCAGAACTTTTAAACGGTGTCTTAGAGGAAGGTCGCAGATTTTCAATGTCTGCTGTCTTGTCATTTGTTGTAATTTCAGTTGAAGGTATTGTTGTTATTGAATCCATTCCATCCGTTTCTTCACAGATGGGAGTTGTTGTCGCTATTGCTACAGAAGAAATATTTCACCATGTTACCACTTATCAAACTATATTGATAGTTCATGCATTAACACTGTAAAAAGTGAAAAGTAACTCGAGTTTCATTCATTATTTTGAACCAACAGTAGTTTAACGATGTTAAAATCTAATCAATCCATTAAGACAATACAAATCAAGAAAAACAAAAGAAACAAATGAGGGAATTATTTTAACTCCAAAAAGGAGCATGATCCGGGTGCATTGACTGGGTAATAATCTTCTGTTGCAAACTTTTCAAACATTACGTTGTAAATATGCGCAAATAAAGCAAATAAATTTTACAAGTCAAACTAAAATATTCAAACTAACTTGTAATTGAAAGCCCAGGAGATGCACTTGTAGTTGACACTTGAGTTGGTGTTGTAACTTTTCCACTAGATACTGAAAAATAATTATTCAAACAGTCAAATATATCAGAACAACCGAAAATTTCCAATTGAGTTTGCATCATATTATTCCACAAATGTTGCATCTTTCAATTTCTTTCTAAAATATCTTTGTAAAATGTTAAACATTAATGACGATCATATTATTTTGTAATCATTTACAGAAATAAAGCTTTAGCCAGCTAATAATATATTTCCGAAAATACCACTAACACTATGAAAGTTTTTTAACAATTACCCTTTAATGTTTGAGTAGTTTCAGTTGAAATTTCTGGTGTAGCTGTAGGTGTTGGTGTAACCTCGGCTGTAGTGATGACTGCTGAAGACGCTGTCTGTGGAACTGTTGTTGTACTTGGAATTGACGTAGACACTGAAAAAATGAAACAATCAAAGTTTGAATAGCTTTCACCCATTTTAGTCAAGAAGAGATTTCAAACATCTTTTGGATAACAGTTTATCGACCACTACCATGCATACACATTTACCACAATTAATTCTGTACGTATAGTTTCATTTCGACAAGGAACACCAAGACATTTAACAGACAAATAGACTACACGAGTGTTAAATTGATAAGAAATACTTCTGAAGTTAAAACACATGTGGTTATATTTACTTACTGACTTCAAAACAGGCGTGAACACTTAATTGAAGCTGAACAGGTTTGTATGAATCTTCTTTGTCATCAGGTGTGATAATTACATTCACTTTTCTCACGTCAGGTTTAGTTCCAACACTTGTAGCCTTTTCGCCAACATTCACCTACAGAACAGAAAATAAAAGTTTAAAGATTTACAGGGAAAACATATTCAAGTTTCACGTACCACATTAGCAGCAATTGAATTTTCATTTGACAAAGTTAAAGTAAATTTAATGCCATTTATCTTAATGATTTAGTGAGAGTCATACTAACCTTTCTCGTTGTCACAGTTCCATCTGCATTAAAGAATTGCACTGTATATGTCTTAACATTATCAGTAGAAACCAGTTCAACATTGGCTATTGGTCTTGTCTTCGTAGGCACGTACTCTATAACCAATTTGTCTTCAGAACTTTTAAACGGTGTCTTAGACGAAGGTCGCAGATTTTCAATGTCTGCTGTCTTGTCATTTGTTGTAATTTCAGTTGAAGGTATTGTTGTTATTGAATCCATTCCATCCGTTTCTTCACAGATGGGAGTTGTTGTCGCTATTGCTACAGAAGAAATATTTCACCATGTTACCACTTATCAAACTATATTGATAGTTCATGCATTAACACTGTAAAAAGTGAAAAGTAACTCGAGTTCATTCATTATTTTGAACCAACAGTAGTTTAACGATGTTAAAATCTAATCAATCCATTAAGACAATACAAATCAAGAAAAACAAAAGAAACAAATGAGGGAATTATTTTAACTCCAAAAGGAGCATGATCCGGGTGCATTGACTGGGTAATAATCTTCTGTTGCAAACTTTTCAAACATTACGTTGTAAATATGCGCAAATAAAGCAAAAAAATTTTACAAGTCAAACTAAAATATTCAAACTAACTTGTAATTGAAAGCCCAGGAGATGCACTTGTAGTTGACACTTGAGTTGGTGTTGTAACTTTTCCACTTGATACTGAAAAATAATTATTCAAACAGTCAAATATATCAGAACAACCGAAAATTTCCAATTGAGTTTGCATCATATTATTCCACAAATGTTGCATCTTTCAATTTCTTTCTAAAATATCTTTGTAAAATGTTAAACATAAATGACGATCATATTATTTTGTAATCATTTACAGAAATAAAGCTTTAGCCAGCTAATAATATATTTCCGAAAATACCACTGACACTATGAAATTTTTTTAACAATTACCCTTTAATGTTTGAGTAGTTTCAGTTGAAATTTCTGGTGTAGCTGTAGGTGTTGGTGTAACCTCGGCTGTAGTGATGACTGCTGACGACGCTGTCTGTGGAACTGTTGTTGTACTTGGAATTGACGTAGACACTGAAAAAATGAAACAATCAAAGTTAGAATAGCTTTCACCCATTTTAGTCAAGAAGAGATTTCAAACATCTTTTGGATAACAGTTTATCGACCACTACCATGCATACACATTTACCACAATTAATTCTGTACGTATAGTTTCATTTCGACAAGGAACACCAAGACATTTAACAGACAAATAGACTACACGAGTGTTAAATTGATAAGAAATACTTCTGAAGTTAAAACACATGTGGTTATATTTACTTACTGACTTCAAAACAGGCGTGAACACTTAATTGAAGCTGAACAGGTTTGTATGAATCTTCTTTGTCATCAGGTGTGATAATTACATTCACTTTTCTCACGTCAGGTTTAGTTCCAACACTTGTAGCCTTTTCGCCAACATTCACCTACAGAACAGAAAATAAAAGTTTAAAGATTTACAGGGAAAACATATTCAAGTTTCACGTACCACATTAGCAGCAATTGAATTTTCATTTGACAAAGTTAAAGTAAATTTAATGCCATTTATCTTAATGATTTAGTGAGAGTCATACTAACCTTTCTCGTTGTCACAGTTCCATCTCCATTAAAGAATTGCACTGTATATGTCTTAACATTATCAGTAGAAACCAGTTCAACATTGGCTATTGGTCTTGTCTTCGTAGGCACGTACTCTATAACCAATTTGTCTTCAGAACTTTTAAACGGTGTCTTAGACGAAGGTCGCAGATTTTCAATGTCTGCTGTCTTGTCATTTGTTGTAATTTCAGTTGAAGGTATTGTTGTTATTGAATCCATTCCATCCGTTTCTTCACAGATGGGAGTTGTTGTCGCTATTGCTACAGAAGAAATATTTCACCATGTTACCACTTATCAAACTATATTGATAGTTCATGCATTAACACTGTAAAAAGTGAAAAGTAACTCGAGTTCATTCATTATTTTGAACCAACAGTAGTTTAACGATGTTAAAATCTAATCAATCCATTAAGACAATACAAATCAAGAAAAACAAAAGAAACAAATGAGGGAATTATTTTAACTCCAAAAGGAGCATGATCCGGGTGCATTGACTGGGTAATAATCTTCTGTTGCAAACTTTTCAAACATTACGTTGTAAATATGCGCAAATAAAGCAAATAAATTTTACAAGTCAAACTAAAATATTCAAACTAACTTGTAATTGAAAGCCCAGGAGATGCACTTGTAGTTGACACTTGAGTTGGTGTTGTAACTTTTCCACTTGATACTGAAAAATAATTATTCAAACAGTCAAATATATCAGAACAACCGAAAATTTCCAATTGAGTTTGCATCATATTATTCCACAAATGTTGCATCTTTCAATTTCTTTCTAAAATATCTTTGTAAAATGTTAAACATAAATGACGATCATATTATTTTGTAATCATTTACAGAAATAAAGCTTTAGCCAGCTAATAATATATTTCCGAAAATACCACTGACACTATGAAATTTTTTTAACAATTACCCTTTAATGTTTGAGTAGTTTCAGTTGAAATTTCTGGTGTAGCTGTAGGTGTTGGTGTAACCTCGGCTGTAGTGATGACTGCTGACGACGCTGTCTGTGGAACTGTTGTTGTACTTGGAATTGACGTAGACACTGAAAAAATGAAACAATCAAAGTTAGAATAGCTTTCACCCATTTTAGTCAAGAAGAGATTTCAAACATCTTTTGGATAACAGTTTATCGACCACTACCATGCATACACATTTACCACAATTAATTCTGTACGTATAGTTTCATTTCGACAAGGAATACCAAGACATTTAACAGACAAATAGACTACACGAGTGTTAAATTGATAAGAAATACTTCTGAAGTTAAAACACATGTGGTTATATTTACTTACTGACTTCAAAACAGGCGTGAACACTTAATTGAAGCTGAACAGGTTTGTATGAATCTTCTTTGTCATCAGGTGTGATAATTACATTCACTTTTCTCACGTCAGGTTTAGTTCCAACACTTGTAGCCTTTTCGCCAACATTCACCTACAGAACAGAAAATAAAAGTTTAAAGATTTACAGGGAAAACATATTCAAGTTTCACGTACCACATTAGCAGCAATTGAATTTTCTTTTGACAAAGTTAAAGTAAATTTAATGCCATTTATCTTAATGATTTAGTGAGAGTCATACTAACCTTTCTCGTTGTCACAGTTCCATCTGCATTAAAGAATTGCACTGTATATGTCTTAACATTATCAGTAGAAACCAGTTCAACATTGGCTATTGGTCTTGTCTTCGTAGGCACGTACTCTATAACCAATTTGTCTTCAGAACTTTTAAACGGTGTCTTAGACGAAGGTCGCAGATTTTCAATGTCTGCTGTCTTGTCATTTGTTGTAATTTCAGTTGAAGGTATTGTTGTTATTGAATCCATTCCATCCGTTTCTTCACAGATGGGAGTTGTTGTCGCTATTGCTACAGAAGAAATATTTCACCATGTTACCACTTATCAAACTATATTGATAGTTCATGCATTAACACTGTAAAAGTGAAAAGTAACTCGAGTTCATTCATTATTTTGAACCAACAGTAGTTTAACGATGTTAAAATCTAATCAATCCATTAAGACAATACAAATCAAGAAAAACAAAAGAAACAAATGAGGGAATTATTTTAACTCCAAAAGGAGCATGATCCGGGTGCATTGACTGGGTAATAATCTTCTGTTGCAAACTTTTCAAACATTACGTTGTAAATATGCGCAAATAAAGCAAATAAATTTTACAAGTCAAACTAAAATATTCAAACTAACTTGTAATTGAAAGCCCAGGAGATGCACTTGTAGTTGACACTTGAGTTGGTGTTGTAACTTTTCCACTTGATACTGAAAAATAATTATTCAAACAGTCAAATATATCAGAACAACCGAAAATTTCCAATTGAGTTTGCATCATATTATTCCACAAATGTTGCATCTTTCAATTTCTTTCTACAATATCTTTGTAAAATGTTAAACATAAATGACGATCATATTATTTTGTAATCATTTACAGAAATAAAGCTTTAGCCAGCTAATAATATATTTCCGAAAATACCACTGACACTATGAAATTTTTTTAACAATTACCCTTTAATGTTTGAGTAGTTTCAGTTGAAATTTCTGGTGTAGCTGTAGGTGTTGGTGTAACCTCGGCTGTAGTGATGACTGCTGACGACGCTGTCTGTGGAACTGTTGTTGTACTTGGAATTGACGTAGACACTGAAAAAATGAAACAATCAAAGTTTGAATAGCTTTCACCCATTTTAGTCAAGAAGAGATTTCAAACATCTTTTGGATAACAGTTTATCGACCACTACCATGCATACACATTTACCACAATTAATTCTGTACGTATAGTTTCATTTCGACAAGGAACACCAAGACATTTAACAGACAAATAGACTACACGAGTGTTAAATTGATAAGAAATACTTCTGAAGTTAAAACACATGTGGTAATATTTACTTACTGACTTCAAAACAGGCGTGAACACTTAATTGAAGCTGAACAGGTTTGTATGAATCTTCTTTGTCATCAGGTGTGATAATTACATTCACTTTTCTCACGTCAGGTTTAGTTCCAACACTTGTAGCCTTTTCGCCAACATTCACCTACAGAACAGAAAATAAAAGTTTAAAGATTTACAGGGAAAACATATTCAAGTTTCACGTACCACATTAGAAGCAATTGAATTTTCATTTGACGAAGTTAAAGTAAATTCAATGCCATTTATCTTAATGATTTAGTGAGAGTCATACTAACCTTTCTCGTTGTCACAGTTCCATCTGCATTAAAGAATTGCACTGTATATGTCTTAACATTATCAGTAGAAACCAGTTCAACATTGGCTATTGGTCTTGTCTTCGTAGGCACGTACTCTATAACCAATTTGTCTTCAGAACTTTTAAACGGTGTCTCAGACGAAGGTCGCAGATTTTCAATGTCTGCTGTCTTGTCGTTTGTTGTAATTTCAGTTGAAGGTATTGTTGTTATTGAATCCATTCCATCCGTTTCTTCACAGATGGGAGTTGTTGTCGCTATTGCTACAGAAGAAATATTTCACCATGTTACCACTTATCAAACTATATTGATAGTTCATGCATTAACACTGTAAAAAGTGAAAAGTAACTCGAGTTTCATTCATTATTTTGAACCAACAGTAGTTTAACGATGTTAAAATCTAATCAATCCATTAAGACAATACAAATCAAGAAAAACAAAAGAAACAAATGAGGGAATTATTTTAACTCCAAAAGGAGCATGATCCGGGTGCATTGACTGGGTAATAATCTTCTGTTGCAAACTTTTCAAACATTACGTTGTAAATATGCGCAAATAAAGCAAATAAATTTTACAAGTCAAACTAAAATATTCAAACTAACTTGTAATTGAAAGCCCAGGAGATGCACTTGTAGTTGACACTTGAGTTGGTGTTGTAACTTTTCCACTTGATACTGAAAAATAATTATTCAAACAGTCAAATATATCAGAACAACCGAAAATTTCCAATTGAGTTTGCATCATATTATTCCACAAATGTTGCATCTTTTAATTTCTTTCTAAAATATCTTTGTAAAATGTTAAACATTAATGACGATCATATTATTTTGTAATCATTTACAGAAATAAAGCTTTAGCCTGCTAATAATATATTTCCGAAAATACCACTGACACTATGAAAGTTTTTTAACAATTACCCTTTAATGTTTGAGTAGTTTCAGTTGAAATTTCTGGTGTAGCTGTAGGTGTTGGTGTAACCTCGGCTGTAGTGATGACTGCTGAAGACGCTGTCTGTGGAACTGTTGTTGTACTTGGAATTGACGTAGACACTGAAAAAATGAAACAATCAAAGTTTGAATAGCTTTCACCCATTTTAGTCAAGAAGAGATTTCAAACATCTTTTGGATAACAGTTTATCGACCACTACCATGCATACACATTTACCACAATTAATTCTGTACGTATAGTTTCATTTCGACAAGGAACACCAAGACATTTAACAGACAAATAGACTACACGAGTGTTAAATTGATAAGAAATACTACTGAAGTTAAAACACATGTGGTTATATTTACTTACTGACTTCAAAACAGGCGTGGACACTTAATTGAAGCTGAACAGGTTTGTATGAATCTTCTTTGTCATCAGGTGTGATAATTACATTCACTTTTCTCACGTCAGGTTTAGTTCCAACACTTGTAGCCTTTTCGCCAACATTCACCTACAGAACAGAAAATAAAAGTTTAAAGATTTACAGGGAAAACATATTCAAGTTTCACGTACCACATTAGAAGCAATTGAATTTTCATTTGACGAAGTTAAAGTAAATTCAATGCCATTTATCTTAATGATTTAGTGAGAGTCATACTAACCTTTCTCGTTGTCACAGTTCCATCTGCATTAAAGAATTGCACTGTATATGTCTTAACATTATCAGTAGAAACCAGTTCAACATTGGCTATTGGTCTTGTCTTCGTAGGCACGTACTCTATAACCAATTTGTCTTCAGAACTTTTAAACGGTGTCTCAGACGAAGGTCGCAGATTTTCAATGTCTGCTGTCTTGTCGTTTGTTGTAATTTCAGTTGAAGGTATTGTTGTTATTGAATCCATTCCATCCGTTTCTTCACAGATGGGAGTTGTTGTCGATATTGCTACAGAAGAAATATTTCACCATGTTACCACTTATCAAACTATATTGATAGTTCATGCATTAACACTGTAAAAAGTGAAAAGTAACTCGAGTTTCATTCATTATTTTGAACCAACAGTAGTTTAACGATGTTAAAATCTAATCAATCCATTAAGACAATACAAATCAAGAAAAACAAAAGAAACAAATGAGGGAATTATTTTAACTCCAAAAGGAGCATGATCCGGGTGCATTGACTGGGTAATAATCTTCTGTTGCAAACTTTTCAAACATTACGTTGTAAATATGCGCAAATAAAGCAAATAAATTTTACAAGTCAAACTAAAATATTCAAACTAACTTGTAATTGAAAGCCCAGGAGATGCACTTGTAGTTGACACTTGAGTTGGTGTTGTAACTTTTCCACTTGATACTGAAAAATAATTATTCAAACAGTCAAATATATCAGAACAACCGAAAATTTCCAATTGAGTTTGCATCATATTATTCCACAAATGTTGCATCTTTTAATTTCTTTCTAAAATATCTTTGTAAAATGTTAAACATTAATGACGATCATATTATTTTGTAATCATTTACAGAAATAAAGCTTTAGCCTGCTAATAATATATTTCCGAAAATACCACTGACACTATGAAAGTTTTTTAACAATTACCCTTTAATGTTTGAGTAGTTTCAGTTGAAATTTCTGGTGTAGCTGTAGGTGTTGGTGTAACCTCGGCTGTAGTGATGACTGCTGAAGACGCTGTCTGTGGAACTGTTGTTGTACTTGGAATTGACGTAGACACTGAAAAAATGAAACAATCAAAGTTTGAATAGCTTTCACCCATTTTAGTCAAGAAGAGATTTCAAACATCTTTTGGATAACAGTTTATCGACCACTACCATGCATACACATTTACCACAATTAATTCTGTACGTATAGTTTCATTTCGACAAGGAACACCAAGACATTTAACAGACAAATAGACTACACGAGTGTTAAATTGATAAGAAATACTACTGAAGTTAAAACACATGTGGTTATATTTACTTACTGACTTCAAAACAGGCGTGGACACTTAATTGAAGCTGAACAGGTTTGTATGAATCTTCTTTGTCATCAGGTGTGATAATTACATTCACTTTTCTCACGTCAGGTTTAGTTCCAACACTTGTAGCCTTTTCGCCAACATTCACCTACAGAACAGAAAATAAAAGTTTAAAGATTTACAGGGAAAACATATTCAAGTTTCACGTACCACATTAGAAGCAATTGAATTTTCATTTGACGAAGTTAAAGTAAATTCAATGCCATTTATCTTAATGATTTAGTGAGAGTCATACTAACCTTTCTCGTTGTCACAGTTCCATCTGCATTAAAGAATTGCACTGTATATGTCTTAACATTATCAGTAGAAACCAGTTCAACATTGGCTATTGGTCTTGTCTTCGTAGGCACGTACTCTATAACCAATTTGTCTTCAGAACTTTTAAACGGTGTCTCAGACGAAGGTCGCAGATTTTCAATGTCTGCTGTCTTGTCGTTTGTTGTAATTTCAGTTGAAGGTATTGTTGTTATTGAATCCATTCCATCCGTTTCTTCACAGATGGGAGTTGTTGTCGCTATTGCTACAGAAGAAATATTTCACCATGTTACCACTTATCAAACTATATTGATAGTTCATGCATTAACACTGTAAAAAGTGAAAAGTAACTCGAGTTTCATTCATTATTTTGAACCAACAGTAGTTTAACGATGTTAAAATCTAATCAATCCATTAAGACAATACAAATCAAGAAAAACAAAAGAAACAAATGAGGGAATTATTTTAACTCCAAAAGGAGCATGATCTGGGTGCATTGACTGGGTAATAATCTTCTGTTGCAAACTTTTCAAACATTACGTTGTAAATATGCGCAAATAAAGCAAATAAATTTTACAAGTCAAACTAAAATATTCAAACTAACTTGTAATTGAAAGCCCAGGAGATGCACTTGTAGTTGACACTTGAGTTGGTGTTGTAACTTTTCCACTTGATACTGAAAAATAATTATTCAAACAGTCAAATATATCAGAACAACCGAAAATTTCCAATTGAGTTTGCATCATATTATTCCACAAATGTTGCATCTTTTAATTTCTTTCTAAAATATCTTTGTAAAATGTTAAACATTAATGACGATCATATTATTTTGTAATCATTTACAGAAATAAAGCTTTAGCCTGCTAATAATATATTTCCGAAAATACCACTGACACTATGAAAGTTTTTTAACAATTACCCTTTAATGTTTGAGTAGTTTCAGTTGAAATTTCTGGTGTAGCTGTAGGTGTTGGTGTAACCTCGGCTGTAGTGATGACTGCTGAAGACGCTGTCTGTGGAACTGTTGTTGTACTTGGAATTGACGTAGACACTGAAAAAATGAAACAATCAAAGTTTGAATAGCTTTCACCCATTTTAGTCAAGAAGAGATTTCAAACATCTTTTGGATAACAGTTTATCGACCACTACCATGCATACACATTTACCACAATTAATTCTGTACGTATAGTTTCATTTCGACAAGGAACACCAAGACATTTAACAGACAAATAGACTACACGAGTGTTAAATTGATAAGAAATACTACTGAAGTTAAAACACATGTGGTTATATTTACTTACTGACTTCAAAACAGGCGTGGACACTTAATTGAAGCTGAACAGGTTTGTATGAATCTTCTTTGTCATCAGGTGTGATAATTACATTCACTTTTCTCACGTCAGGTTTAGTTCCAACACTTGTAGCCTTTTCGCCAACATTCACCTACAGAACAGAAAATAAAAGTTTAAAGATTTACAGGGAAAACATATTCAAGTTTCACGTTCCACATTAGAAGCAATTGAATTTTCATTTGACGAAGTTAAAGTAAATTCAATGCCATTTATCTTAATGATTTAGTGAGAGTCATACTAACCTTTCTCGTTGTCACAGTTCCATCTGCATTAAAGAATTGCACTGTATATGTCTTAACATTATCAGTAGAAACCAGTTCAACATTGGCTATTGGTCTTGTCTTCGTAGGCACGTACTCTATAACCAATTTGTCTTCAGAACTTTTAAACGGTGTCTCAGACGAAGGTCGCAGATTTTCAATGTCTGCTGTCTTGTCGTTTGTTGTAATTTCAGTTGAAGGTATTGTTGTTATTGAATCCATTCCATCCGTTTCTTCACAGATGGGAGTTGTTGTCGCTATTGCTACAGAAGAAATATTTCACCATGTTACCACTTATCAAACTATATTGATAGTTCATGCATTAACACTGTAAAAAGTGAAAAGTAACTCGAGTTTCATTCATTATTTTGAACCAACAGTAGTTTAACGATGTTAAAATCTAATCAATCCATTAAGACAATACAAATCAAGAAAAACAAAAGAAACAAATGAGGGAATTATTTTAACTCCAAAAGGAGCATGATCTGGGTGCATTGACTGGGTAATAATCTTCTGTTGCAAACTTTTCAAACATTACGTTGTAAATATGCGCAAATAAAGCAAATAAATTTTACAAGTCAAACTAAAATATTCAAACTAACTTGTAATTGAAAGCCCAGGAGATGCACTTGTAGTTGACACTTGAGTTGGTGTTGTAACTTTTCCACTTGATACTGAAAAATAATTATTCAAACAGTCAAATATATCAGAACAACCGAAAATTTCCAATTGAGTTTGCATCATATTATTCCACAAATGTTGCATCTTTTAATTTCTTTCTAAAATATCTTTGTAAAATGTTAAACATTAATGACGATCATATTATTTTGTAATCATTTACAGAAATAAAGCTTTAGCCTGCTAATAATATATTTCCGAAAATACCACTGACACTATGAAAGTTTTTTAACAATTACCCTTTAATGTTTGAGTAGTTTCAGTTGAAATTTCTGGTGTAGCTGTAGGTGTTGGTGTAACCTCGGCTGTAGTGATGACTGCTGAAGACGCTGTCTGTGGAACTGTTGTTGTACTTGGAATTGACGTAGACACTGAAAAAATGAAACAATCAAAGTTTGAATAGCTTTCACCCATTTTAGTCAAGAAGAGATTTCAAACATCTTTTGGATAACAGTTTATCGACCACTACCATGCATACACATTTACCACAATTAATTCTGTACGTATAGTTTCATTTCGACAAGGAACACCAAGACATTTAACAGACAAATAGACTACACGAGTGTTAAATTGATAAGAAATACTACTGAAGTTAAAACACATGTGGTTATATTTACTTACTGACTTCAAAACAGGCGTGGACACTTAATTGAAGCTGAACAGGTTTGTATGAATCTTCTTTGTCATCAGGTGTGATAATTACATTCACTTTTCTCACGTCAGGTTTAGTTCCAACACTTGTAGCCTTTTCGCCAACATTCACCTACAGAACAGAAAATAAAAGTTTAAAGATTTACAGGGAAAACATATTCAAGTTTCACGTTCCACATTAGAAGCAATTGAATTTTCATTTGACGAAGTTAAAGTAAATTCAATGCCATTTATCTTAATGATTTAGTGAGAGTCATACTAACCTTTCTCGTTGTCACAGTTCCATCTGCATTAAAGAATTGCACTGTATATGTCTTAACATTATCAGTAGAAACCAGTTCAACATTGGCTATTGGTCTTGTCTTCGTAGGCACGTACTCTATAACCAATTTGTCTTCAGAACTTTTAAACGGTGTCTCAGACGAAGGTCGCAGATTTTCAATGTCTGCTGTCTTGTCGTTTGTTGTAATTTCAGTTGAAGGTATTGTTGTTATTGAATCCATTCCATCCGTTTCTTCACAGATGGGAGTTGTTGTCGCTATTGCTACAGAAGAAATATTTCACCATGTTACCACTTATCAAACTATATTGATAGTTCATGCATTAACACTGTAAAAAGTGAAAAGTAACTCGAGTTTCATTCATTATTTTGAACCAACAGTAGTTTAACGATGTTAAAATCTAATCAATCCATTAAGACAATACAAATCAAGAAAAACAAAAGAAACAAATGAGGGAATTATTTTAACTCCAAAAGGAGCATGATCTGGGTGCATTGACTGGGTAATAATCTTCTGTTGCAAACTTTTCAAACATTACGTTGTAAATATGCGCAAATAAAGCAAATAAATTTTACAAGTCAAACTAAAATATTCAAACTAACTTGTAATTGAAAGCCCAGGAGATGCACTTGTAGTTGACACTTGAGTTGGTGTTGTAACTTTTCCACTTGATACTGAAAAATAATTATTCAAACAGTCAAATATATCAGAACAACCGAAAATTTCCAATTGAGTTTGCATCATATTATTCCACAAATGTTGCATCTTTTAATTTCTTTCTAAAATATCTTTGTAAAATGTTAAACATTAATGACGATCATATTATTTTGTAATCATTTACAGAAATAAAGCTTTAGCCTGCTAATAATATATTTCCGAAAATACCACTGACACTATGAAAGTTTTTTAACAATTACCCTTTAATGTTTGAGTAGTTTCAGTTGAAATTTCTGGTGTAGCTGTAGGTGTTGGTGTAACCTCGGCTGTAGTGATGACTGCTGAAGACGCTGTCTGTGGAACTGTTGTTGTACTTGGAATTGACGTAGACACTGAAAAAATGAAACAATCAAAGTTTGAATAGCTTTCACCCATTTTAGTCAAGAAGAGATTTCAAACATCCTTTGGATAACAGTTTATCGACCACTACCATGCATACACATTTACCACAATTAATTCTGTACGTATAGTTTCATTTCGACAAGGAACACCAAGACATTTAACAGACAAATAGACTACACAAGTGTTAAATTGATAAGAAATACTTCTGAAGTTAAAACACATGTGGTTATATTTACTTACTGACTTCAAAACAGGCGTGGACACTTAATTGAAGCTGAACAGGTTTGTATGAATCTTCTTTGTCATCAGGTGTGATAATTACATTCACTTTTCTCACGTCAGGTTTAGTTCCAACACTTGTAGCCTTTTCGCGAACATTCACCTACAGAACAGAAAATAAAAGTTTAAAGATTTACAGGGAAAACATATTCAAGTTTCACGTACCACATTATCAGCAATTGAATTTTCATTTGACGAAGTTAAAGTAAATTCAATGCCATTTATCTTAATGATTTAGTGAGAGTCATACTAACCTTTCTCGTTGTCACAGTTCCATCTGCATTAAGGAATTGCACTGTATATGTCTTAACATTATCAGTAGAAACCAGTTCAACATTGGCTATTGGTCTTGTCTTCGTAGGCACGTACTCTATAACCAATTTGTCTTCAGAACTTTTAAACGGTGTCTTAGACGAATGTCGCAGATTTTCAATGTCTGCTGTCTTGTCATTTGTTGTAATTTCAGTTGAAGGTATTGTTGTTATTGAATCCATTCCATCCGTTTCTTCACAGATGGGAGTTGTTGTCGCTATTGCTACAGAAGAAATATTTCACCATGTTACCACTTATCAAACTATATTGATAGTTCATGCATTAACACTGTAAAAAGTGAAAAGTAACTCGAGTTTCATTCATTATTTTGAACCAACAGTAGTTTAACGATGTTAAAATCTAATCAATCCATTAAGACAATACAAATCAAGAAAAACAAAAGAAACAAATGAGGGAATTATTTTAACTCCAAAAGGAGCATGATCCGGGTGCATTGACTGGGTAATAATCTTCTGTTGCAAACTTTTCAAACATTACGTTGTAAATATGCTCAAATAAAGCAAATAAATTTTACAAGTCAAACTAAAATATTCAAACTAACTTGTAATTGAAAGCCCAGGAGATGAACTTGTAGTTGACACATGAGTTGGTGTTGTAACTTTTCCACTTGATACTGAAAAATAATTATTCAAACAGTCAAATATATCAGAACAACCGAAAATTTCCAATTGAGTTTGCATCATATTATTCCACAAATGTTGCATCTTTCAATTTCTTTCTAAAATATCTTTGTAAAATGTTAAACATAAATGACGATCATATTATTTTGTAATCATTTACAGAAATAAAGCTTTAGCCTGCTAATAATATATTTCCGAAAATACCACTGACACTATGAAAGTTTTTTAACAATTACCCTTTAATGTTTGAGTAGTTTCAGTTGAAATTTCTGGTGTAGCTGTAGGTGTTGGTGTAACCTCGGCTGTAGTGATGACTGCTGACGACGCTGTCTGTGGAACTGTTGTTGTACTTGGAATTGACGTAGACACTGAAAAAATGAAACAATCAAAGTTTGAATAGCTTTCACCCATTTTAGTCAAGAAGAGATTTCAAACATCTTTTGGATAACAGTTTATCGACCACTACCATGCATACACATTTACCACAATTAATTCTGTACGTATAGTTTCATTTCGACAAGGAACACCAAGACATTTAACAGACAAATAGACTACACGAGTGTTAAATTGATAAGAAATACTTCTGAAGTTAAAACACATGTGGTTATATTTACTTACTGACTTCAAAACAGGCGTGGACACTTAATTGAAGCTGAACAGGTTTGTATGAATCTTCTTTGTCATCAGGTGTAATAATTACATTCACTTTTCTCACGTCAGGTTTAGTTCCAACACTTGTAGCCTTTTCGCCAACATTCACCTACAGAACAGAAAATAAAAGTTTAAAGATTTACAGGGAAAACATATTCAAGTTTCACGTACCACATTAGCAGTAATTGAATTTTCATTTGACGAAGTTAAAGTAAATTTAATGCCATTTATCTTAATGATTTAGTGAGAGTCATACTAACCTTTCTCGTTGTCACAGTTCCATCTGCATTAAAGAATTGCACTGTATATGTCTTAACATTATCAGTAGAAACCAGTTCAACATTGGCTATTGGTCTTGTCTTCGTAGGCACGTACTCTATAACCAATTTGTCTTCAGAACTTTTAAACGGTGTCTTAGACGAAGGTCGCAGATTTTCAATGTCTGCTGTCTTGTCATTTGTTGTAATTTCAGTTGAAGGTATTGTTGTTATTGAATCCATTCCATCCGTTTCTTCACAGATGGGAGTTGTTGTCGCTATTGCTACAGAAGAAATATTTCACCATGTTACCATTTATCAAACTATATTGATAGTTCATGCATTAACACTGTAAAAAGTGAAAAGTAACTCGAGTTTCATTTATTATTTTGAACCAACAGTAGTTTAACGATGTTCAAATCTAATCAATCCATTAAGACAATACAAATCAAGAAAAACAAAAGAAACAAATGAGGGAATTATTTTAACTCCAACAGGAGCATGATCCGAGTGCATTGACTGGGTAATAATCTTCTGTTGCAAACTTTTCAAACATTACGTTGTAAATATGCTCAAATAAAGCAAATAAATTTTACAAGTCAAACTAAAATATTCAAACTAACTTGTAATTGAAAGCCCAGGAGATGCACTTGTAGTTGACACTTGAGTTGGTGTTGTAACTTTTCCACTTGATACTGCAAAATAATTATTCAAACAGTCAAATATATCAGAACAACCGAAAATTTCCAATTGAGTTTGCATCATATTATTCCACAAATGTTGCATCTTTCAATTTCTTTCTAAAATATCTTTGTAAAATGTTAAACATTAATGACGATCATATTATTTTGTAATCATTTACAGAAATAAAGCTTTAGCCTGCTAATAATATATTTCCGAAAATACCACTGACACTATGAAAGTCTTTTAACAATTACCCTTTAATGTTTGAGTAGTTTCAGTAGAAATTTCTGGTGTAGCTGTAGGTGTTGGTGTAACCTCGGCTGTAGTGATGACTGCTAAAGATGCTGTCTGTGGAACTGTTGTTGTACTTGGAATTGACGTAGACACTGAAAAAATGAAACAATCAAAGTTTGAATAGCTTTCACCCATTTTAGTCAAGAAGAGATTTCAAACATTTTTTGAATAACAGTTTATCGACCACTACCATGTATACACATTTACCACAATTAATTCTGTACGTATAGTTTCATTTCGACAAGGAACACCAAGACATTTAACAGACAAATAGACTACACGAGTGTTAAATTGATAAGAAATACTTCTGAAGTTAAAACACATGTGGTTATATTTACTTACTGACTTCAAAACAGGCGTGGACACTTAATTGAAGCTGAACAGGTTTGTATGAATCTTCTTTGTCATCAGGTGTGATAATTACATTCACTTTTCTCACGTCAGGTTTAGTTCCAACACTTGTAGCCTTTTCGCCAACATTCACCTACAGAACAGAAAATAAAAGTTTAAAGATTTACAGGGAAAACATATTCAAGTTTCACGTACCACATTAGCAGCAATTGAATTTTCATTTGACGAAGTTAAAGTAAATTCAATGCCATTTATCTTAATGATTTAGTGAGAGTCATACTAACCTTTCTCGTTGTCACAGTTCCATCTGCATTAAAGAATTGCACTGTATATGTCTTAACATTATCAGTAGAAACCAGTTCAACATTGGCTATTGGTCTTGTCTTCGTAGGCACGTACTCTATAACCAATTTGTCTTCAGAACTTTTAAACGGTGTCTTAGACGAAGGTCGCAGATTATCAATGTCTGCTGTCTTGTCATTTGTTGTAATTTCAGTTGAAGGTATTGTTGTTATTGAATCCATTCCATCCGTTTCTTCACAGATGGGAGTTGTCGTCGCTATTGCTACAGAAGAAATATTTCACCATGTTACCACTTATCAAACTATATTGATAGTTCATGCATTAACACTGTAAAAAGTGAAAAGTAACTCGAGTTTCATTCATTATTTTGAACCAACAGTAGTTTAACGATGTTAAAATCTAATCAATCCATTAAGACAATACAAATCAAGAAAAACAAAAGAAACAAATGAGGGAATTATTTTAACTCCAAAAGGAGCATGATCCGGGTGCATTGACTGGGTAATAATCTTCTGTTGCAAACTTTTCAAACATTACGTTGTAAATATGCTCAAATAAAGCAAATAAATTTTACAAGTCAAACTAAAATATTCAAACTAACTTGTAATTGAAAGCCCAGGAGATGAACTTGTAGTTGACACATGAGTTGGTGTTGTAACTTTTCCACTTGATACTGAAAAATAATTATTCAAACAGTCAAATATATCAGAACAACCGAAAATTTCCAATTGAGTTTGCATCATATTATTCCACAAATGTTGCATCTTTCAATTTCTTTCTAAAATATCTTTGTAAAATGTTAAACATAAATGACGATCATATTATTTTGTAATCATTTACAGAAATAAAGCTTTAGCCAGCTAATAATATATTTCCGAAAATACCACTGACACTATGAAAGTTTTTTAACAATTACCCTTTAATGTTTGAGTAGTTTCAGTTGAAATTTCTGGTGTAGCTGTAGGTGTTGGTGTAACCTCGGCTGTAGTGATGACTGCTGACGACGCTGTCTGTGGAACTGTTGTTGTACTTGGAATTGACGTAGACACTGAAAAAATGAAACAATCAAAGTTTGAATAGCTTTCACCCATTTTAGTCAAGAAGAGATTTCAAACATCTTTTGGATAACAGTTTATCGACCACTACCATGCATACACATTTACCACAATTAATTCTGTACGTATAGTTTCATTTCGACAAGGAATACCAAGACATTTAACAGACAAATAGACTACACGAGTGTTAAATTGATAAGAAATACTTCTGAAGTTAAAACACATGTGGTTATATTTACTTACTGACTTCAAAACAGGCGTGGACACTTAATTGAAGCTGAACAGGTTTGTATGAATCTTCTTTGTCATCAGGTGTGATAATTACATTCACTTTTCTCACGTCAGGTTTAGTTCCAACACTTGTAGCCTTTTCGCCAACATTCACCTACAGAACAGAAAATAAAAGTTTAAAGATTTACAGGGAAAACATATTCAAGTTTCACGTACTACATTAGCAGCAATTGAATTTTCATTTGACGAAGTTAAAGTAAATTCAATGCCATTTATTTTAATGATTTAGTGAGAGTCATACAAACCTTTCTCGTCGTTACAGTTCCGTCTGCATTAAAGAATTGTACTTTATACGTCTTGATATTATCAGTAGAAACCAGTTCAACATTGGCTATTGGTCTTGTCTTCGTAGGCACGTACTCTATAACTAATTTGTCTTCAGAACTTTTAAAAGGTGTCTTAGACGAAGGTCGCAGATTTTCAATTTCTGCTGTCTTGTCATTTGTTGTAATTTCAGTTAAAGGTATTGTTGTTATTGAATCCATTCCATTTGTTATTTTACAAACGGGTGTGGTTGTCGATATCTCTACAAAACAAACATGTCATGTTAAAACTATTTATAACATATACTAAACTGGTTGTGAAAATAACATTTTTGCATTAACATTGCTATTTTTGAAAACTTATTTGCATTTCATTCAATGAATTTTCAAAAAAATATTTGCTAATGAGTTAACATAGGAGAAACGAAACAATAAATAAAAATCAATTATCATTCTTACTTGTACTTGAAATACCAGGAGAAGGACTTGTAGTTGATACTTGAGTTGCTGTTGTCTCTTTTCTAGTTGATCCTATCACGAAAATGTTTAAAAATACAAATATATCAAACAAAATAATTATTCAATAATATTTAACACATGAATCATCTTCCCATTTTGCATAATAATATTCAACAATGTATCATATTTGATATGCTTCGTGAAATGTCTTTTTAAATGAAGAATAAAAGCAGGCGGTCATTCTGGTTTTGTAATATTTTACATCAATATAAATTAAACCTGCTATTTTCTTTCAGAAAAGGAATACAATTAAAATCCATTACCTTTTAATGTTGTAGTAGATTCACTTATTATTGTGGGTGTAGCTGTAGGTGTGGGTGTAACCTCGGCTGTAGTGATAACTGCTGATGTTACTTTTTGTGGAACTTTTGTTGTACTTGGAAATGGCGTAGAAGCTAAAAAAGAAGGAAAAGGAGTTAATCTATTATTAACAGCAAACAACTCATTTGTAATAAGGACAAATCAAACACCCGCCACAAGTAGATTTTAACAAGAAACAGATTAACATGAAAGAACTTTATCAAACCAAATTTTTACTCATAGTTTTATTTCAACAAGGCACACATAAAATCTTCACAATACATCTCATTTATAAACTGTTACTACATACATTACATATTGCTGCAGCTAAAACTACTATGGTCTTTTTCTACTTACTGACTTCAAAACAGGCATGGACGCTTAGTTGGAGCTGTACAGGTCTGTAAGAATCTTCTTTGTCATCAGGTGTAACAATTACAGTAACCTTTCTCACATCAGGCTTAGTTCCAATGCTTGTAGCCTTTTCGCCTACTTTAACCTACATAATGGAAAGTATAAGTTTCAAAGTTAACATGGCATTATCGTCCTTGTTTCATGTTCCGAATAAACAGCAGTCACATTTTCTTTTTCAAGAAGAATCAATAAAATTGATAAGTGATAAGCTTAAACTCATACAAACCTTTCTCGTCGTTACAGTTCCGTCTGCATTAAAGAATTGTACTGTATACGTCTTGATATTATCAGTAGAAACCAATTCAACATTGGCTATTGGTCTTGTCTTTGTAGGCACGTACTCTATAACCAATTTTTCTTCAGAGCTTTTAAAAGGTGTCTTAGAGGAAGGTCGCAGATTTTCAATATCTGCCTTCTTGTCATTAGTTGTAATTTCTGTTGAAGGTATTGTTGTTATTGAATCCATTCCATCTGTTATTTCACAAACGGGCGTGGTTGTCGATATCTCTAAAAAAACAAACATGTCACGTTATAACCACTTTTAACATATACTGTACTGGTTCTATAAATACCATTTTTCCATTAACATTGCTATTCTTGAAAAAATATTTGCATTTCATTCAATGAATTTTCCAAAAAATATTTTCTTAATTCGTTAACATGAGAGAAACGAAACAACTAATAAAAAATCAATTATCATTCTTACTTGTACTTGAAATACCAGGAGAGGGACTTGTAATTGGTACTTGAGTTGCTGTTGTCTCTTTTCCAGTTGATCCTATGACAAAAATGATTAAAAATAATAATAATTGAATAATATTCAAAAAAATGTATCATCTTTCCTTTTTGCATAATAATATTCAACACATGAATCCTCTTTCCTTTTTGCATTATAATATTCAACACATGTATTATCTTTCCTTCTTCTAAAATAATATTCAACAAATGTATCTTTCATAAACTTCGTTAAATGTCTTTTCAAATGAAGAATAACAACAGGCGGTCATTCTGGTTTTGTAGTATTTTACATAAATATACATCAAACCTGCTACTTTCATTCAGAAAAGGAATACAATTCAAATCCATTACCTTTCAATGTTGTGGTAGATTCACTTATTATTGTGGGTGTAGCTGTAGGTGTGGGTGTAACCTCGGCTGTAGTGATAACTGCTGATGATACTTTTTGTGGAACTGTTGTTGTACTTGGAATTGGCGTAGAAGCTAAAAAAGAAGGAAAAGGAGTTTATCTATTATTAACAGCAAACAACTCATTTGTAACAAGGACGAATCAAACACCCGCCACAAGCAGGTTTTAACAAAAAACAGATTAACATGAAAGAACTTTACCAAACCAAATTAAGTACTCATAGTTTTATTTCAATAAGGCACACATAAAATCTTCACAATACATCTCATTTATACAACTGTTACTACATACATTACATATTGCTGCAGTTAAAACTACTGTGGTCTTTTTCTACTTACTGACTTCAAAACAGGCATCGACGCTTAGTTGGAGCTGTACAGGTCTGTAAGAATCTTCTTTGTCATCAGGTGTAACAATTACAGTAACCTTTCTCACATCAGGCTTAGTTCCAATGCTTGTAGCCTTTTCGCCTACTTTAACCTACAAAATGGAAAATATAAGTTTCAAAGTTAACATTTCAAAATTGTCCTTGTTTCATGTTCCGAATAAGCAGCAGTCACATTTTCTTTTTCAAGAACAATCAATAAAATTGATAAGTTTAAACTTGAAGATTATTGCAAGTCATACAAACCTTTCTCGTCGTTACAGTTCCGTCTGCATTAAAGAATTGTACTGTATACGTCTTGATATTATCAGTAGAAACCAATTCAACATTGGCTATTGGTCTTGTCTTCGTAGGCACGTACTCTATAACCAATTTTTCTTCAGAGCTTTTAAAAGGTGTCTTAGAGGAAGGTCGCAGATTTTCAATATCTGCTTTCTTGTCATTAGTTGTAATTTCTGTTGAAGGTATTGTTGTTATTGAATCCATTCCATCTGTTATTTCACAAACGGGCGTGGTTGTCGATATCTCTAAAAAACAAACATGTCACGTTATAACCACTTTTAACATATACTGTACTGGTTCTATAAATACCATTTTTCCATTAACATTGGTATTCTTGAAAAAATATTTGCATTTCATTCAATGAATTTTCCAAAAAATATTTTCTGAATTCGTTGACAAAAGAGAAACAAAACAACTAATAAAAAATCAATAATCATTCTTACTTGTACTTGAAATACCAGGAGAGGGACTTGTAATTGGTACTTGAGTTGCTGTTGTCTCCTTTCCAGTTGATCCTATGACAAAAATGTTTGAAAATACAAATATATCAACAAAAATAATAATTGAAAAATATTCAAAAAAATGTATCATCTTTCCTTTTTGCATAATGATATTCAACACATGAATCACCTTTCCTTTTTGCATTATAATATTCAACACATGTATTATCTTTCCTTATTCTGAAATAATATTCAACAAATGTATCTTTCATAAACTTCGTTAAATGTCTTTTCAAATGAAGAATAACAACAGGCGGTCATTCTGGTTTTGTAGTATTTTACATAAATATACATCAAATCTGCTACTTTCATTCAGAAAAGGAATACAATTCAAATCCATTACCTTTCAATGTTGTGGTAGATTCACTTATTATTGTGGGTGTAGCTGTAGGTGTGGGTGTAACCTCGGCTGTAGTGATAACTACTGATGATACTTTTTGTGGAACTGTTGTTGTACTTGGAATTGGCGTAGAAGCTAAAAAAGAAGGAAAAGGAGTTTATCTATTATTAACAGCAAACAACTCATTTGTAACAAGGACAAATCAAACACATGCCACAAGCAGGTTTTATCAAAAAACAGATTAACATGAAAGAACTTTACCAAACCAAATTAAGTACTCATAGTTTTATTTCAACAAGGCACACATAAAATCTTCACAATACATCTCATTTATACAACTGTTACTACATACATTACATATTGCTGCAGTTAAAACTACTGTGGTCTTTTTCTACTTACTGACTTCAAAACAGGCATCGACGCTTAGTTGGAGCTGTACAGGTCTGTAAGAATCTTCTTTGTCATCAGGTGTAACAATTACAGTAACCTTTCTTACATCAGGCTTTGTTCCAATGCGTGTAGCCTTTTCGCCTACTTTAACCTACAATATGGAAAATATAAGTTTCAAAGTTAACATAGCAAAATTGTCCTTGTTTCATGTTCCGAATAAGCAGCAGTCACATTTTCTTTTTCAAGAACAATCAATAAAATTGATAAGTTTAAACTTGAAGATTTTGTGCAAGTCATACAAACCTTTCTCGTCGTTACAGTTCCGTCTGCATTAAAGAATAGTACTGTATACGTCTTGATATTATCAGTAGAAACCAATTCAACATTGGCTATTGGTCTTGTCTTCGTAGGCACGTACTCTATAACCAATTTTTCTTCAGAGCTTTTAAAAGGTGTCTTAGAGGAAAGTCGCAGATTTTCAATATCTGCTTTCTTGTCATTAGTTGTAATTTCTGTTGAAGGTATTGTTGTTATTGAATCCATTCCATCTGTTATTTCACAAACGGGCGTGGTTGTCGATATCTCTAAAAAAACAAACATGTCACGTTATAACCACTTTTAACATATACTGTACTGGTTCTATAAATACCATTTTTGCATTAACATTGGTATTCTTGAAAAAATATTTGCATTTCATTCAATGAATTTTCCAAAAAATATTTTCTGAATTCGTTAACAAAAGAGAAACAAAACAACTAATAAAAAATCAATTATCATTCTTACTTGTACTTGAAATACCAGGAGAGGGACTTGTAATTGGTACTTGAGTTGCTGTTGTCTCCTTTCCAGTTGATCCTATGACAAAAATGTTTAAAAATACAAATATATCAAAAAAAATAATAATTGAATAATATTCAAAAAAATATATCATCTTTCCTTTTTGCATAATGATATTCAACACATGAATCACCTTTCCTTTTTGCATTATAATACTCAACACATGTCTTATCTTTCCTTATTCTAAAATAATATTCAACACATGTATCTTTCATAAACTTTGTTAAATGTCTTTTCAAATGAAGAATAACAGCAGGCGGTCATTCTGGTTTTGTAGTATTTTACATAAATATACATCAAATCTGCTACTTTCATTCAGAAAAGGAATACAATTCAAATCCATTACCTTTCAATGTTGTGGTAGATTCACTTATTATTGTGGGTGTAGCTGAAGGTGTGGGTGTAACCACGGCTGTAGTGATAACTGCTGATGATACTTTTTGTGGAACTGTTGTTGTACTTGGAATTGGCGTAGAAGCTAAAAAAGAAGGAAAAGGAGTTTATCTATTATTAACAGCAAACAACTAATCTGTAACAAGAACAAATCAAACACCCGCCACAGGCAGGTTTTAACAAAAAACAGATTAACATGAAAGAACTTTACCAAACCAAATTAAGTACTCATAGTTTTATTTCAACAAGGCACACATAAAATCTTCACAATACATCTCATTTATACAACTGTTACTACATACATTACATATTGCTGCAGTTAAAACTACTGTGGTCTTTTTCTACTTACTGACTTCAAAACAGGCATCGACGCTTAGTTGGAGCTGTACAGGTCTGTAAGAATCTTCTTTGTCATCAGGTGTAACAATTACAGTAACCTTTTTCACATCAGGCTTAGTTCCAATGCTTGTAGCCTTTTCGCCTACTTTAACCTACATAATGGAAAATATAAGTTTCAAAGTTAACATGGCAAAATCGTCCTTGTTTCATGTTCCGAATAAAAAGCAGTCACATTTTCTTTTTCAAGCAGAATCAATAAAATTGATAAGTTTAAACTTAAAGATTTTGTGCAAGTCATACAAACCTTTCTCGTCGTTACAGTTCCGTCAACATTAAAGAATTTTACTGTATACGTCTTGATATTATCAGTAGAAACCAGTTCAACATTGGCTATTGGTCTTGTCTTCGTAGGCACGTACTCTATAACCAATTTTTCTTCGGAGCTTTTAAAAGGTGTCTTAGAGGAAGGTCGCAGATTTTCAATATCTGCCTTCTTGTCATTAGTTGTAATTTCTGTTGAAGGTATTGTTGTTATTGAATCCATTCCATCTGTTATTTCACAAACGGGCGTGGTTGTCGATATCTCTAAAAAACAAACATGTCACGTTATAACCACTTTTAACATATACTGTACTGGTTCTATAAATACCATTTTTCCATTAACATTGCTATTCTTGAAAAAATATTTGCATTTCATTCAATGAATTTTCCAAAAAATATTTTCTTAATTCGTTAACATGAGAGAAACGAAACAACTAATAAAAAATCAATTATCATTCTTACTTGTACTTGAAATACCAGGAGAGGGACTTGTAATTGGTACTTGAGTTGCTGTTGTCTCTTTTCCAGTTGATCCTATGACAAAAATTTTTAAAAATACAAATACGTCAAACAAAATAATATTTGAATAATATTCAAAAAAATATATCATCTTTCCTTTTTGCATAATGATATTCAACACATGAATCACCTTTCCTTTTTGCATTATAATATTCAACACATGTATTATCTTTCCTTATTCTAAAATAATATTCAACAAATGTATCTTTCATAAACTTCGTTAAATGTCTTTTCAAATGAAGAATAACAACAGGAGGTCATTCAGGTTTTGTAGTATTTTACATAAATATACATCAAATCTGCTACTTTCATTCAGAAAAGGAATACAATTCAAATCCATTACCTTTCAATGTTGTGGTAGATTCACTTATTATTGTGGGTGTAGCTGTAGGTGTGGGTGTAACCTCGGCTGTAGTGATAACTGCTGATGATACTTTTTGTGGAACTGTTGTTGTACTTGGAATTGGCGTAGCAGCTAAAAAAGAAGGAAAAGGAGTTTATCTATTATTAACAGCAAACAACTCATTTGTAACAAGGACAAATCAAACACCCGCCACAAGCAGGTTTTAAAAAAAAACAGATTAACATGAAAGAACTTTACCAAACCAAATTAAGTACTCATAGTTTTATTTCAACAAGGCACACATAAAATCTTCACAATACATCTCATTTATACAACTGTTACTACATACATTACATATTGCTGCAGTTAAAACTACTGTGGTCTTTTTCTACTTACTGACTTCAAAACAGGCATGGACGCTTAGTTGGAGCTGTACAGGTCTGTAAGAATCTTCTTTGTCATCAGGTGTAACAATTACAGTAACCTTTTTCACATCAGGCTTAGTTCCAATGCTTGTAGCCTTTTCGCCTACTTTAACCTACATAATGGAAAATATAAGTTTCAAAGTTAACATTGCAAAATCGTCCTTGTTTCATGTTCCGAATAAAAAGCAGTCACATTTTCTTTTTCAAGCAGAAACAATAAAATTGATAAGTTTAAACTTAACGATGTTGTGCAAGTCATACAAACCTTTCTCGTCGTTACAGTTCCGTCAACATTAAAGAATTTTACTGTATACGTCTTGATATTATCAGTAGAAACCAGTTCAACATTGGCTATTGGTCTTGTCTTCGTAGGCACGTACTCTATAACCAATTTTTCTTCAGAGCTTTTAAAAGGTGTCTTAGAGGAAGGTCGCAGATTTTCAATATCTGCTTTCTTGTCATTAGTTGTAATTTCTGTTGAAGGTATTGTTGTTATTGAATCCATTCCATCTGTTATTTCACAAACGGGCGTGGTTGTCGATATCTCTAAAAAAACAAACATGTCACGTTATAACCACTTTTAACATATACTGTACTGGTTCTATAAATACCATTTTTCCATTAACATTGCTATTCTTGAAAAAATATTTGCATTTCATTCAATGAATTTTCCAAAAAATATTTTCTTAATTCGTTAACATGAGAGAAACGAAACAACTAATAAAAAATCAATTATCATTCTTACTTGTACTTGAAATACCAGGAGAGGGACTTGTAATTGGTACTTGAGTTGCTGTTGTCTCTTTTCCAGTTGATCCTATGACAAAAATTTTTAAAAATACAAATACGTCAAACAAAATAATATTTGAATAATATTTAAAAAAATGTATCATCTTTCCTTTTTGCATAATGATATTCAACACATGAATCACCTTTCCTTTTTGTATTATAATACTCAACACATGTATTATCTTTCCTTATTCTAAAATAATATTCAACAAATGTATCTTTCATAAACTTCGTTAAATGTCTTTTCAAATGAAGAATAAAAGCAGGCGGTCATTCTGGTTTTGTAGTATTTTACATAAATATACATCAAATCTGCTACTTTCATTCAGAAAAGGAATACAATTCAAATCCATTACCTTTCAATGTTGTGGTAGATTCACTTATTATTGTTGGTGTAGCTGTAGGTGTGGGTGTAACCTCGGCTGCAGTGATAACTGCTGATGATACTTTTTGTGGAACTTTTGTTGTACTTGGAATTGGCGTAGAAGCTAAAAAAGAAGGAAAAGGAGTTTATCTATTATTAACAGCAAACAACTCATTTGTAACAAGGACAAATCAAACACCCGCCACAAGCAGGTTTTAAAAAAAAACAGATTAACATGAAAGAACTTTACCAAACCAAATTAAGTACTCATAGTTTTATTTCAACAAGGCACACATAAAATCTTCACAATACATCTCATTTATACAACTGTTACTACATACATTACATATTGCTGCAGTTAAAACTACTGTGGTCTTTTTCTACTTACTGACTTCAAAACAGGCATGGACGCTTAGTTGGAGCTGTACAGGTCTGTAAGAATCTTCTTTGTCATCAGGTGTAACAATTACAGTAACCTTTTTCACATCAGGCTTAGTTCCAATGCTTGTAGCCTTTTCGCCTACTTTAACCTACATAATGGAAAATATAAGTTTCAAAGTTAACATTGCAAAATCGTCCTTGTTTCATGTTCCGAATAAAAAGCAGTCACATTTTCTTTTTCAAGCAGAAACAATAAAATTGATAAGTTTAAACTTAACGATGTTGTGCAAGTCATACAAACCTTTCTCGTCGTTACAGTTCCGTCAACATTAAAGAATTTTACTGTATACGTCTTGATATTATCAGTAGAAACCAGTTCAACATTGGCTATTGGTCTTGTCTTCGTAGGCACGTACTCTATAACCAATTTTTCTTCAGAGCTTTTAAAAGGTGTCTTAGAGGAAGGTCGCAGATTTTCAATATCTGCTTTCTTGTCATTAGTTGTAATTTCTGTTGAAGGTATTGTTGTTATTGAATCCATTCCATCTGTTATTTCACAAACGGGCGTGGTTGTCGATATCTCTAAAAAAACAAACATGTCACGTTATAACCACTTTTAACATATACTGTACTGGTTCTATAAATACCATTTTTCCATTAACATTGCTATTCTTGAAAAAATATTTGCATTTCATTCAATGAATTTTCCAAAAAATATTTTCTTAATTCGTTAACATGAGAGAAACGAAACAACTAATAAAAAATCAATTATCATTCTTACTTGTACTTGAAATACCAGGAGAGGGACTTGTAATTGGTACTTGAGTTGCTGTTGTCTCTTTTCCAGTTGATCCTATGACAAAAATTTTTAAAAATACAAATACGTCAAACAAAATAATATTTGAATAATATTTAAAAAAATGTATCATCTTTCCTTTTTGCATAATGATATTCAACACATGAATCACCTTTCCTTTTTGTATTATAATACTCAACACATGTATTATCTTTCCTTATTCTAAAATAATATTCAACAAATGTATCTTTCATAAACTTCGTTAAATGTCTTTTCAAATGAAGAATAAAAGCAGGCGGTCATTCTGGTTTTGTAGTATTTTACATAAATATACATCAAATCTGCTACTTTCATTCAGAAAAGGAATACAATTCAAATCCATTACCTTTCAATGTTGTGGTAGATTCACTTATTATTGTTGGTGTAGCTGTAGGTGTGGGTGTAACCTCGGCTGCAGTGATAACTGCTGATGATACTTTTTGTGGAACTTTTGTTGTACTTGGAATTGGCGTAGAAGCTAAAAAAGAAGGAAAAGGAGTTTATCTATTATTAACAGCAAACAACTCATTTGTAACAAGGACAAATCAAACACCCGCCACAAGCAGGTTTAAAAAAAAAACAGATTAACATGAAAGAACTTTACCAAACCAAATTAAGTACTCATAGTTTTATTTCAACAAGGCACACATAAAATCTTCACAATACATCTCATTTATACAACTGTTACTACATACATTACATATTGCTGCAGTTAAAACTACTGTGGTCTTTTTCTACTTACTGACTTCAAAACAGGCATCGACGCTTAGTTGGAGCTGTACAGGTCTGTAAAAATGTTCTTTGTCATCAGGTGTAACAATTACAGTAACCTTTCTCACATCAGGCTTAGTTCCAATGCTTGTAGCCTTTTCGCCTACTTTAACCTACAAAATGGAAAATATAAGTTTCAAAGTTAACATAGCAAAATTGTCCTTGTTTCATGTTCCGAATAAGCAGCAGTCACATTTTCTTTTTCAAGAACAATCAATAAAATTGATAAGTTTAAACTTGAAGATTTTGTGCAAGTCATACAAACCTTTCTCGTCGTTACAGTTCCGTCTGCATTAAAGAATTGTACTGTATACGTCTTGATATTATCAGTAGAAACCAATTCAACATTGGCTATTGGTCTTGTTTTCGTAGGCACGTACTCTATAACCAATTTTTCTTCAGAGCTTTTAAAAGGTGTCTTAGAGGAAGGTCGCAGATTTTCAATATCTGCTTTCTTGTCATTAGTTGTAATTTCTGTTGAAGGTATTGTTGTTATTGAATCCATTCCATCTGTTATTTCACAAACGGGCGTGGTTGTCGATATCTCTAAAAAACAAACATGTCACGTTATAACCACTTTTAACATATACTGTACTGGTTCTATAAATACAATTTTTGCATTAACATTGGTATTCTTGAAAAAATATTTGCATTTCATTCAATGAATTTTCCAAAAAATATTTTCTGAATTCGTTAACAAAAGAGAAACAAAACAACTAATAAAAAATCAATTATCATTCTTACTTGTACTTGAAATACCAGGAGAGGGACTTGTAATTGGTACTTGAGTTGCTGTTGTCTCCTTTCCAGTTGATCCTATGACAAAAAATTTTAAAAATACAAATACGTCAAACAAAATAATAATTGAATAATATTCAAAAAAATATATCATCTTTCCTTTTTGCATAATGATATTTAACACATGAATCACCTTTCCTTTTTGCATTATAATACTCAACACATGTCTTATCTTTCCTTATTCTAAAATAATATTCAACACATGTATCTTTCATAAACTTCGTTAAATGTCTTTTCAAATGAAGAATAACAACAGGAGGTCATTCTGGTTTTGTAGTATTTTACATAAATATACATCAAATCTGCTACTTTCATTCAGAAAAGGAATACAATTCAAATCCATTACCTTTCAATGTTGTAGTAGATTCACTTATTATTGTGGGTGTAGCTGTAGGTGTGGGTGTAACCTCGGCTGTAGTGATAACTGCTGATGATACTTTTTGTGGAACTGTTGTTGTACTTGGAATTGGCGTAGAAGCTAAAAAAGAAGGAAAAGGAGTTTATCTATTATTAACAGCAAACAACTCATTTGTAACAAGGACAAATCAAACACCCGCCACAAGCAGGTTTTAACAAAAAACAGATTAACATGAAAAAACTTTACCAAACCAAATTAAGTACTCATAGTTTTATTTCAACAAGGCACACATAAAATCTTCACAATACATCTCATTTATACAACTGTTACTACATACATTACATATTGCTGCAGTTAAAACTACTGTGGTCTTTTTCTACTTACTGACTTCAAAACAGGCATGGACGCTTAGTTGGAGCTGTACAGGTCTGTAAGAATCTTCTTTGTCATCAGGTGTAACAATTACAGTAACCTTTTTCACATCAGGCTTAGTTCCAATGCTTGTAGCCTTTTCGCCTACTTTAACCTACATAATGGAAAATATAAGTTTCAAAGTTAACATTGCAAAATCGTCCTTGTTTCATGTTCCGAATAAAAAGCAGTCACATTTTCTTTTTCAAGCAGAAACAATAAAATTGATAAGTTTAAACTTAACGATGTTGTGCAAGTCATACAAACCTTTCTCGTCGTTACAGTTCCGTCAACATTAAAGAATTTTACTGTATACGTCTTGATATTATCAGTAGAAACCAGTTCAACATTGGCTATTGGTCTTGTCTTCGTAGGCACGTACTCTATAACCAATTTTTCTTCAGAGCTTTTAAAAGGTGTCTTAGAGGAAGGTCGCAGATTTTCAATATCTGCTTTCTTGTCATTAGTTGTAATTTCTGTTGAAGGTATTGTTGTTATTGAATCCATTCCATCTGTTATTTCACAAACGGGCGTGGTTGTCGATATCTCTAAAAAAACAAACATGTCACGTTATAACCACTTTTAACATATACTGTACTGGTTCTATAAATACCATTTTTCCATTAACATTGCTATTCTTGAAAAAATATTTGCATTTCATTCAATGAATTTTCAAAAAAATATTTTCTTAATTCGTTAACATGAGAGAAACGAAACAACTAATAAAAAATCAATTATCATTCTTACTTGTACTTGAAATACCAGGAGAGGGACTTGTAATTGGTACTTGAGTTGCTGTTGTCTCTTTTCCAGTTGATCCTATGACAAAAATTTTTAAAAATACAAATACGTCAAACAAAATAATATTTGAATAATATTTAAAAAAATGTATCATCTTTCCTTTTTGCATAATGATATTCAACACATGAATCACCTTTCCTTTTTGTATTATAATACTCAACACATGTATTATCTTTCCTTATTCTAAAATAATATTCAACAAATGTATCTTTCATAAACTTCGTTAAATGTCTTTTCAAATGAAGAATAAAAGCAGGCGGTCATTCTGGTTTTGTAGTATTTTACATAAATATACATCAAATCTGCTACTTTCATTCAGAAAAGGAATACAATTCAAATCCATTACCTTTCAATGTTGTGGTAGATTCACTTATTATTGTTGGTGTAGCTGTAGGTGTGGGTGTAACCTCGGCTGCAGTGATAACTGCTGATGATACTTTTTGTGGAACTGTTGTTGTACTTGGAATTGGCGTAGAAGCTAAAAAAGAAGGAAAAGGAGTTTATCTATTATTAACAGCAAACAACTCATTTGTAACAAGGACAAATCAAACACCCGCCACAAGCAGGTTTTAAAAAAAAACAGATTAACATGAAAGAACTTTACCAAACCAAATTAAGTACTCATAGTTTTATTTCAACAAGGCACACATAAAATCTTCACAATACATCTCATTTATACAACTGTTACTACATACATTACATATTGCTGCAGTTAAAACTACTGTGGTCTTTTTCTACTTACTGACTTCAAAACAGGCATCGACGCTTAGTTGGAGCCGTACAGGTCTGTAAAAATCTTCTTTGCCATCAGGTGTAACAATTACAGTAACCTTTCTCACATCAGGCTTAGTTCCAATGCTTGTAGCCTTTTCGCCTACTTTAACCTACAAAATGGAAAATAAAAGTTTCAAAGTTAACATAGCAAAATTGTCCTTGTTTCATGTTCCGAATAAGCAGCAGTCACATTTTCTTTTTCAAGAACAATCAATAAAATTGATAAGTTTAAACTTGAAGATTTTGTGCAAGTCATACAAACCTTTCTCGTCGTTACAGTTCCGTCTGCATTAAAGAATTGTACTGTATACGTCTTGATATTATCAGTAGAAACCAATTCAACATTGGCTATTGGTCTTGTCTTCGTAGGCACGTACTCTATAACCAATTTTTCTTCAGAGCTTTTAAAAGGTGTCTTAGAGGAAGGTCGCAGATTTTCAATATCTGCTTTCTTGTCATTAGTTGTAATTTCTGTTGAAGGTATTGTTGTTATTGAATCCATTCCATCTGTTATTTCACAAACGGGCGTGGTTGTCGATATCTCTAAAAAACAAACATGTCACGTTATAACCACTTTTAACATATACTGTACTGGTTCTATAAATACCATTTTTGCATTAACATTGGTATTCTTGAAAAAATATTTGCATTTCATTCAATGAATTTTCCAAAAAATATTTTCTGAATTCGTTAACAAGAGAGAAACAAAACAACTAATAAAAAATCAATTATCATTCTTACTTGTACTTGAAATACCAGGAGAGGGACTTGTAATTGGTACTTGAGTTGCTGTTGTCTCCTTTCCAGTTGATCCTATGACAAAAATGTTTAAAAATACAAATATATCAAAAAAAATAATAATTGAATAATATTCAAAAAAATATATCATCTTTCCTTTTTGCATAATGATATTCAACACATGAATCACCTTTCCTTTTTGCATTATAATATTCAACACATGTATTATCTTTCCTTATTCTAAAATAATATTCAACAAATGTATCTTTCATAAACTTCGTTAAATGTCTTTTCAAATGAAGAATAACAACAGGAGGTCATTCTGGTTTTGTAGTATTTTACATAAATATACATCAAATCTGCTACTTTCATTCAGAAAAGGAATACAATTCAAATCCATTACCTTTCAATGTTGTGGTAGATTCACTTATTATTGTGGGTGTAGCTGTAGGTGTGGGTGTAACCTCGGCTGTAGTGATAACTGCTGATGATACTTTTTGTGGAACTGTTGTTGTACTTGGAATTGGCGTAGAAGCTAAAAAAGAAGGAAAAGGAGTTTATCTATTATTAACAGCAAACAACTCATTTGTAACAAGGACAAATCAAACACCCGCCACAAGCAGGTTTTAAAAAAAAACAGATTAACATGAAAGAACTTTACCAAACCAAATTAAGTACTCATAGTTTTATTTCAACAAGGCACACATAAAATCTTCACAATACATCTCATTTATACAACTGTTACTACATACATTACATATTGCTGCAGTTAAAACTACTGTGGTCTTTTTCTACTTACTGACTTCAAAACAGGCATGGACGCTTAGTTGGAGCTGTACAGGTCTGTAAGAATCTTCTTTGTCATCAGGTGTAACAATTACAGTAACCTTTTTCACATCAGGCTTAGTTCCAATGCTTGTAGCCTTTTCGCCTACTTTAACCTACATAATGGAAAATATAAGTTTCAAAGTTAACATTGCAAAATCGTCCTTGTTTCATGTTCCGAATAAAAAGCAGTCACATTTTCTTTTTCAAGCAGAAACAATAAAATTGATAAGTTTAAATTTAACGATGTTGTGCAAGTCATACAAACCTTTCTCGTCGTTACAGTTCCGTCAACATTAAAGAATTTTACTGTATACGTCTTGATATTATCAGTAGAAACCAGTTCAACATTGGCTATTGGTCTTGTCTTCGTAGGCACGTACTCTATAACCAATTTGTCTTCGGAGCTTTTAAAAGGTGTCTTAGAGGAAGGTCGCAGATTTTCAATATCTGCCTTCTTGTCATTAGTTGTAATTTCTGTTGAAGGTATTGTTGTTATTGAATCCATTCCATCTGTTATTTCACAAACGGGCGTGGTTGTCGATATCTCTAAAAAACAAACATGTCACGTTATAACCACTTTTAACATATACTGTACTGGTTCTATAAATACCATTTTTCCATTAACATTGCTATTCTTGAAAAAATATTTGCATTTCATTCAATGAATTTTCTAAAAAATATTTTCTTAACTCGTTAACATGAGAGAAACGAAACAACTAATCAAAAAATCAATTATCATTCTTACTCGTACTTGAAATACCAGGAGAGGGACTTGTAATTGGTACTTGAGTTGCTGTTGTCTCTTTTCCAGTTGATCCTATGACAAAAATTTTTAAAAATACAAATACGTCAAACAAAATAATATTTGAATAATATTCAAAAAAATGTATCATCTTTCCTTTTTGCATAATGATATTCAACACATGAATTCCTTTCCTTTTTGCATTATAATACTCAACACATGTATTATCTTTCCTTATTCTAAAATAATATTCAACAAATGTATCTTTCATAAACTTCGTTAAATGTCTTTTCAAATGAAGAATAAAAGCAGGCGGTCATTCAGGTTTTGTAGTATTTTACATAAATATACATCAAATCTGCTACTTTCATTCAGAAAAGGAATACAATTCAAATCCATTACCTTTCAATGTTGTGGTAGATTCACTTATTAATGTTGGTGTAGCTGTAGGTGTGGGTGTAACCTCGGCTGTAGTGATTACTGCTGATGATACTTTTTGTGGAACTGTTGTTGTACTTGGAATTGGCGTAGAAGCTAAAAAAGAAGGAAAAGGAGTTTATCTATTATTAACAGCAAACAACTCAATTGTAACAAGGACAAATCAAACACCCGCCATGAGCAGGTTTTAACAAAAAACAGATTAACATGAAAGAACTTTACCAAACCAAATTAAGTACTCATAGTTTTATTTCAACAAGGCACACATAAAATCTTCACAATACATCTCATTTATACAACTGTTACTACATACATTACATATTGCTGCAGCTAAAACTACTGTGGTCTTTTTCTACTTACTGACTTCAAAACAGGCATCGACGCTTAGTTGGAGCTGTACAGGTCTGTAAGAATCTTCTTTGTCTTCAGGTGTAACAATTACAGTAACCTTTCTCACATCAGGCTTAGTTCCAATGCTTGTAGCCTTTTCGCCTACTTTAACCTACAAAATGGAAAATATCAGTTTCAAAGTTAACATAGCAAAATTGTCCTTGTTTCATGTTCCGAATAAGCAGCAGTCACATTTTCGTTTTCAAGAACAATCAATAAAATTGATAAGTTTAAATTTGAAGATTTTGTGCAAGTCATACAAACCTTTCTCGTCGTTACAGTTCCGTCTGCATTAAAGAATTGTACTGTATACGTCTTGATATTATCAGTAGAAACCAATTCAACATTGGCTATTGGTCTTGTCTTCGTAGGCACGTACTCTATAACCAATTTTTCTTCAGAGCTTTTAAAAGGTGTCTTAGAGGAAGGTCGCAGATTTTCAATATCTGCTTTCTTGTCATTAGTTGTAACTTCTGTTGAAGGTATTGTTGTTATTGAATCCATTCCATCTGTTATTTCACAAACGGGCGTGGTTGTCGATATCTCTAAAAAACAAACATGTCACGTTATAACCACTTTTAACATATACTGTACTGGTTCTATAAATACCATTTTTGCATTAACATTGGTATTCTTGAAAAAATATTTGCATTTCATTCAATGAATTTTCCAAAAAATATTTTCTGAATTCGTTAACAAAAGAGAAACAAAACAACTTATAAAAAATCAATTATCATTCTTACTTGTACTTGAAATACCAGGAGAGGGACTTGTAATTGGTACTTGAGTTGCTGTTGTCTCCTTTCCAGTTGATCCTATGACAAAAAATTTTAAAAATACAAATACGTCAAACAAAATAATAATTGAATAATATTCAAAAAAATATATCATCTTTCCTTTTTGCATAATGATATTCAACACATGAATCACCTTTCCTTTTTGCATTATAATACTCAACACATGTCTTATCTTTCCTTATTCTAAAATAATATTCAACACATGTATCTTTCATAAACTTCGTTAAATGTCTTTTCAAATGAAGAATAACAACAGGAGGTCATTCTGGTTTTGTAGTATTTTACATAAATATACATCAAATCTGCTACTTTCATTCAGAAAAGGAATACAATTCAAATCCATTACCTTTCAATGTTGTAGTAGATTCACTTATTATTGTGGGTGTAGCTGTAGGTGTGGGTGTAACCTCGGCTGTAGTGATAACTGCTGATGATACTTTTTGTGGAACTGTTGTTGTACTTGGAATTGGCGTAGAAGCTAAAAAAGAAGGAAAAGGAGTTTATCTATTATTAACAGCAAACAACTCATTTGTAACAAGGACAAATCAAACACCCGCCACAAGCAGGTTTTAACAAAAAACAGATTAACATGAAAGAACTTTACCAAACCAAATTAAGTACTCATAGTTTTATTTCAACAAGGCACACATAAAATCTTCACAATACATCTCATTTATACAACTGTTACTACATACATTACATATTGCTGCAGTTAAAACTACTGTGGTCTTTTTCTACTTACTGACTTCAAAACAGGCATGGACGCTTAGTTGGAGCTGTACAGGTCTGTAAGAATCTTCTTTGTCATCAGGTGTAACAATTACAGTAACCTTTTTCACATCAGGCTTAGTTCCAATGCTTGTAGCCTTTTCGCCTACTTTAACCTACATAATGGAAAATATAAGTTTCAAAGTTAACATTGCAAAATCGTCCTTGTTTCATGTTCCGAATAAAAAGCAGTCACATTTTCTTTTTCAAGCAGAATCAATAAAATTGATAAGTTTAAACTTAAAGATTTTGTGCAAGTCATACAAACCTTTCTCGTCGTTACAGTTCCGTCAACATTAAAGAATTGTACTGTATACGTCTTGATATTATCAGAAGAAACCAGTTCAACATTGGCTATTGGTCTTGTCTTCGTAGGCACGTACTCTATAACCAATTTTTCTTCGGAGCTTTTAAAAGGTGTCTTAGAGGAAGGTCGCAGATTTTCAATATCTGCTTTCTTGTCATTAGTTGTAACTTCTGTTGAAGGTATTGTTGTTATTGAATCCATTCCATCTGTTATTTCACAAACGGGCGTGGTTGTCGATATCTCTAAAAAAACAAACATGTCACGTTATAACCACTTTTAACATATACTGTACTGGTTCTATAAATACCATTTTTGCATTAACATTGCTATTCTTGAAAAAATATTTGCATTTCATTCAATGAATTTTCCAAAAAATATTTTCTTAATTCGTTAACAAAAGAGAAACAAAACAACTAATAAAAAATCAATTATAATTCTTACTTGTACTTGAAATACCAGGAGAGGGACTTGTAATTGGTACTTGAGTTGCTGTTGTCTCTTTTCCAGTTGATCCTATGACAACATTTTTTAAAAATACAAATACGTCAAACAAAATAATAATTGAATAATATTCAAAAAAATGTATCATCTTTCCTTTTTGCATAATGATATTCAACACATGAATCACCTTTCCTTTTTGCATTATAATACTCAACACATGTCTTATCTTTCCTTATTCTAAAATAATATTCAACAAATGTATCTTTCATAAACTTCGTTAAATGTCTTTTTAAATGAAGAATAACAACGGGCGGTCATTCTGGTTTTGTAGTATTTTACATAAATATACATCAAACCTGCTACTTTCATTCAGAAAAGGAATACAATTCAAATTCTTACCTTTCAATGTTGTAGTAGATTCACTTATTAATGTGGGTGTAGCTGTAGGTGTGGGTGTAACCTCGGCTGTAGTGATAACTGCTGATGATACTTTTTGTGGAACTGTTGTTGTACTTGGAATTGGCGTAGAAGCTTAAAAAGAAAAAAAAAGGAGTTTATGTATCATTAACAGCAAACAACTCATTTGTAACAACGACAAATCAAACACCCGCCACAAGCAGGTTTTAACAAAATACAGATTAGCATGAAAGAACTTTACCAAACCAAATCAATTACTCATAGTTTTACTTCAACAAGGCACACATAAAATCTTCACAATACATCTCATTTATACAACTGTTACTACATACATTACATATTGTTGCAGCTAAAACTACTATGGTCTTTTTCTACTTACTGACTTCAAAACAGGCATGGACACTTAGTTGAAACTGAACAGGTCTGTAAGAATCTTCTTTGTCATCAGGTGTAATTATTACAGTAACCTTTCTCACATCAGGCTTAGTTCCAATGCTTGTAGCCTTTTCGCCTACTTTAACCTACAGAAAAGAAAATATAAGTTTCAAAGTTAACATGGCAAAATCGTCCTTGTTTCATGTTCCGAATAAACAGCAGTCACATTTTCTTTTTGAAGAAGAATCAACAAAATTGATAAGTTTAAACTCGAAGATGTTTTGCAAGTCATACAAACCTTTCTCGTTGTTACAGTTCCGTCTGCATTAAAGAATTGTACTGTATACGTCTTGATATTATCAGTAGAAACCAGTTCAACATTGGCTATTGGTCTTGTCTTTGTAGGCACGTAGTCTATAACCAATTTTTCTTCGGAGCTTTTTAAAGGTGTCTTAGAGGAAGGTCGCAGATTTTCAATATCTGCCTTCTTGTCATTAGATGTAATTTCTGTTGAAGGTATTGTTGTTATTGAATCCATTCCATCTGTTTTTTCACAAACGGGCGTGGTTGTCGATATCTCTAAAAAACAAACATGTCACGTTATTACCACTTTTAACATATACTGTACTGGTTCTATAAATACCATTTTTGCATTAACAATGCTATTCTTGAAAAATATTTGCATTTCATTAAATGAATTTTCCAAAAAATATTTGGTTAATTCGTTAACATAAGAGAAACGAAACAACTAATAAAAATTCAATTATCATTCTTACTTGTACTTGAAATACCAGGAGAGGGACTTGTAATTGGTACTTGAGTTGCTGTTGTCTCTTTTACAGTTGATCCTATAACAAAAATGTTTAAAAATACAAATATATAAAACAAAATAATAATTTAATCATATTAAAAAAAATGTATCATTATTCCTTTGTGCATAATAATATTCAACACATGAATCATCTTTCCTTTTTGCATTATAATATTCAACACATGTATTATTTTTCCTTATTCTAAAATAATATTCAACAAATGTATCTTTCATAAACTTCGTTAAATGTCTTTTTAAATAAAGAATAACAACAGGCGGTCATTCTGGTTTTGTAGTATTTTACATAAATATACATCAAACCTGCTACTTTCATTCAGAAAAGGAATACAATTCAAATCCATTACCTTTCAATGTTGATGTAGATTCACTTATTATTTTGGGTGTAGCTGTAGGTGTGGGTGTAACCTCGGCTGTAGTGATAACTGCTGATGATACTTTTTGTGGAACTGTTGTTGTACTTGGAATTGGCGTAGAAGCTACAAAATAAAAAAGTTTATCTATTATTAACAGCAAACGACTCATTTGTAAAAAGGACAAATCAAACACCCGGCACAAGCAGGTTTTAAAACAAACACAGATTAGCATGAAAGAACTTTACCAAACCGAACTAATTACTCATAGTTTTATTTCAACAAGGCACACATATAATCTTCACAATACATCTCATTTATACAACTGTTACTACATACATTACATATTGCTGCAGCTAAAACTACTATGGTCTTTTTCTACTTACTGACTTCAAAACAGGCATCGACGCTTAGTTGGAGCTGTACAGGTCTGTAAGAATCTTCTTTGTCATCAGGTGTAACAATTACAGTAACCTTTCTCACATCAGGCTTAGTTCCAATGCTTGTAGCCTTTTCGCCTACTTTAACCTAAATAATGGAAAATATAAGTTTCAAAGTTAACATGGCAAAATCGTCCTTGTTTCATGTTCCGAATAAACAGCAGTCACATTTTCTTTTTCAAGAAGAATCAATAAAATTGATAAGTTTAAACTTGAAGATTTTGTGCAAGTCATACAAACCTTTCTCGTTGTTACAGTTCCGTCTGCATTAAAGAATTGTACTGTATACGTCTTGATATTATCAGTAGAAACCAGTTCAACATTGGCTATTGGTCTTGTCTTCGTAGGCACGTACTCTATAACCAATTTTTCTTCAGTGCTTTTAAAAGGTGTCTTAGAGGAAGGTCGCAGATTTTCAATATCTGCCTTCTTGTCATTAGTTGTAATTTCTGATGAAGGTATTGTTGTTATTGAATCCATTCCATCTGTTATTTCACAAACGGGCGTGGTTGTCGATATCTCTAAAAAACAAACATGTCACTTTATTACCACTTTTAACATATACTGTACTGGTTCTATAAATACCATTTTTGCATTAACATTGCTATTCTTGAAAAAATATTTGCATTTCATTCAATGAATTTTCCAAAAAATTAGTTAATTCGTTAACATAAGAGAAACGAAACAACTAATAAAAATTCAATTATCATTCTTACTTGTACTTGAAATACCAGGAGAGGGACTTGTAATTGGTACTTGAGTTGCTGTTGTCTCTTTTCCAGTTGATCCTATGACAAAAATGTTTAAAAATACAAATATATAATTTAATCATATTCAAAAAAATGTATCATCATTCCTTTTCGCATAATAATATTCAACACATGAATCATCTTTCCTTTTTGCATTATAATATTCAACACATGTATTATCTTTCCTTATTCTAAAATAATATTCAACAAATGTATCTTTCATAAACTTCGTTAAATGTGTTTTTAAATGAAGAATAACAACAGGCGGTCATTCTGGTTTTGTAGTATTTTACATAAATATACATCAAACCTGCTACTTTCATTCAGAAAAGGAATACAATTCAAATCCATTACCTTTCAATGTTGTAGTAGATTCACTTATTATTGTGGGTGTAGCTGTAGGTGTGGGTGTAACCTCGGCTGTAGTGATAACTGCTGATGACACTTTTTGTGGAACTGTTGTTGTACTTGGAATTGGCGTAGAAGCTTAAAAAGAAAAAAAAAAAGGAGTTTATGTATTATTACCAGCAAACAACTCATTTCTAACAAGGACAAATCAAACACCTGCCACTAGCAGGTTTTAACAAAAAACAGATTAGCATGAAAGAACGTTACCAAACCAAATTAATTACTCATAGTTTTATTTCAACAAGGCACACATAAAATCTTCATAATACATCTCATTTATACAACTGTTACTACATACATTACATATTGCTGCAGCTTAAACTACTATGGTCTTTCTCTACTTACTGACTTCAAAACAGGCATGGACGTTTAGTTGGAGCTGTACAGGTCTGTAAGAATCTTCTTTGTCATCAGGTGTAACAATTACAGTAACCTTTCTCACATCAGGCTTAGTTCCAATGCTTGTAGCCTTTTCGCCAACTTTAACCTACATAATGGAAAATATAAGTTTCAAAGTTAATACGGCAAAATCGTCCTTGTTTCATGTTTCGAATAAACAGCAGTCACATTTTCTTTTTCAAGAACGATCAATACAATTGATAAGTTTAAACTTAAAGATTTTGTGCAAGTCATACAAACCTTTCTCGTCGTTACAGTTCCGTCTGCATTAAAGAATTGTACTGTATACGTCTTGATATTATCAGTAGAAACCAGTTCAACATTGGCTATAGGTTTTGTCTTCGTAGGCACGTACTCTATAACCAATTTTTCTTCAGAGCTTTTAAAATGTGTCTTAGAGGAAGGTCGCAGATTTTCAATATCTGCCTTCTTTTCATTAGTTGTAATTTCTGTTGAAGGTATTGTTGTTATTGAATCCATTCCATCTGTTATTTCACAAACGGGCGTGGTTGTCGATATCTCTAAAAAAACAAATATGTCACTTTATTACCACTTTTAACATATACTGTACTGGTTCCATAGATACCATTTTTGCATTAACATTGCTTTTCTTGAAAAAATATTTGCATTTCATTCAATGAATTTTCCAAAAAATATTTGGTTAATTCGTTAACATAAGAGAAACGAAACAACTAATAAACATTCAATTATCATTCTTACTTGTACTTGAAATACCAGGAGAGGGACTTGTAATTGGTATTTGAGTTGCTGTTGTCTCTTTTGCAGTTGATCCTATGACTAAAATGTTTAAAAATACAAATATATAAAACAAAATGATAATTTAATGATTTTCAAAAAAATGTATCATCATTCCCTTTCGCATAATAATATTCAACACATGAAACATCTTTCCTTTTTGCATTATAATGTTCAACACATGTATTATCTTTCCTTATTCTAAAATAATATTCAACAAATGTATCTTTCATAAACTTCGTTCAATGTCTTTTTAAATGAAGAATAACAACAGGCGGTCATTCTGGTTTTGTAGTATTTTACATAAATATACATCAAACCTGCTACTTTCATTCAGAAAAGGAATACAATTCAAATCCATTACCTTTCAATGTTGTGGTAGATTCACTTATTATTGAGGGTGTAGCTGTAGGTGTGGGTGTAACCTCGGCTGTAGTGATAACTGCTGATGATACTTTTTGTGGAACTGTTGTTGTACTTGGAATTGGCGTAGAAGCTAAAAAGAAACAAAAGGAGTTTATGTATTATTAACAGCAAACAACTCATTTGTAACAAGGACAAATCAAACACCCGCCACAAGCAGGTTTTAACAAAAAAACAGATAAGCATGAAAGAACTTTACCAAACCAAATTAATTACTCATAGTTTTATTTCAACAAGGCACACATAAAATCTTCATAATACATCTCATTTATACAACTGTTACTACATACATTACATATTGCTGCAGCTAAAACTACTATGGTCTTTTTCTACTTACTGACTTCAAAACAGGCATGGACGCTTAGTTGGAGCTGTACAGGTCTGTAAGAATCTTCTTTGTCATCAGGTGTAACAATTACAGTAACCTTTCTCACATCAGGCTTAGTTCCAATGCTTGTAGCCTTTTCGCCTACTTTAACCTACATAATGGAAAATATAAGTTTCAAAGTTAACATGGCAAAATCGTCCTTGTTTCATGTTTCGAATAAACAGCAGTCACATTTTCTTTTTCAAGAACAATCAATACAAGTGATCAGTTTAAACTTGAAGATTTTGTGCAAGTCATACAAACCTTTCTCGTTGTTACAGTTCCGTCTGCATTAAAGAATTGTACTGTATACGTCTTGATATTATCAGTAGAAACCAGTTCAACATTGGCTATTGGTCTTGTCTTCGTAGGCACGTACTCTATAATCAATTTTTTTTCAGAGCTTTCAAAAGGTGTCTTAGAGGAAGGTCGCAGATTTTCAATATCTGCCTTCTTGTCATTAGTTGTAATTTCTGATGAAGGTATTGTTGTTATTGAATCCATTCCATCTGTTATTTCACAAACGGGCGTGGTTGTCGATATCTCTAAAAAAACAAACATGTCACTTTATTACCACTTTTAACATATACTGTTCTGGTTCTATAAATATCATTTTTGCATAAATATTGCTATTCTTGAAAAAAAATATTTGCATTTCATTCAATGAATTTTCCAAAAAATATTTTGTTAATTCCTTAACATAAGAGAAACGAAACAACTAATAAAAAATCAATTATAATTCTTACTTGTACTTGAAATGCCAGGAGAGGGACTTGTAATTGGTACTTGAGTTGCTGATGTCTCTTTTGCAGTTGATCCTGTGACAAAAATGTTTGAAAATACAAATATATCAAACAAAATAATAATTTAATGATATTCAAAAAAATGTATCATCATTCCTTTTCGCATAATAACATTCAACACATGAAACATCTTTCCTTTTTGCATTATAATGTTCAACACATGAAACATCTTTCCTTTTTGCATTATAATGTTCAACACATGTATTATCTTTCCTTATTCTAAAATAATATTCAACAAATGTATCTTTCAGAAACTTCGTTAAATGTCTTTTTAAATGAAGAATAACAACAGGCGGTCATTCTGGTTTTGTAGTATTTTACATAAATATACATCAAACCTGCTACTTTCATTCAGAAAAGGAATTCAATTCAAATCCATTACCTTTCAATGTTGTAGTAGATTCACTTATTATTTTGGGTGTAGCTGTAGGTGTGGGTGTAACCTCGGCTGTAGTGATAACTGCTGATGATATTTTTTGTGGAACTGTTGTTGTACTTGGAATTGGCGTAGAAGCTACAAAATAAAAAAGTTTATCTATTATTAACAGCAAACAACTCATTTGTAACGAGGACAAATCAAACTCCCGCCACAAGCAGGTTTTTTAACAAAAACACAGATTAGCATGAAAGAACTTTACCAAACCAAACTAATTACTCATAGTTTTATTTCAACAAGACACACATAAAATCTTCATAATACATCTCATTTATACAACTGTTACTACATACATTACATATTGCTGCAGCTAAAACTACTATGGTCTTTTTTTACTTACTGACTTCAAAACAGGCATGGACGCTAAGTTGGAGCTGTACAGGTCTGTAAGAATCTTCTTTGTCATCAGGTCTAATAATCACAGTAACCTTTCTCACATCAGGCTTAGTTCCAATGCTTGTAGCCTTTTCGCCTACTTTAATCTACAGAAAGGAAAATATAAGTTTCAAAGTTAACATGGCAAAATCGTCCTTGTTTTATGTTTCTAATAAACGGTAGTCACATTTTCTTTTTCAAGAAGAATCAATAAAATTGATAAGTTTAAACTTGAAGATTTTGTGCAAGTCATACAAACCTTTCTCGTCGTTACAGTTCCGTCTGCATTAAAGAATTGTACTGTATACGTTTTGATATTATCAGTAGAAACCAGTTCAACATTGGCTATTGGTCTTGTCTTCGTAGGCACGTACTCTATAACCAATTTTTCTTCAGAGCTTTTAAAAGGTGTCTTAGAGGAAGGTCGCAGATTTTCAATATCTGCCTTCTTGTCATTAGTTGTAATTTCTGTTGAAGGTATTGTTGTTATTGAATCCATTCCATCTGTTATTTCACAAACGGGCGTGGTTGTCGATATCTCTAAAAAAAAAACAACCATGTCACGTTATAACTACTTTTAACATATACTGTACTGGTTCTATAATATCATTTTTGCATAAATATTGCTATTCTTGAGAAAAAATATTTGCATTTCATTCAATGAATTTTCCAAAAAATAGTTTGTTAATTCGTTAACATAAGAGAAACGAAACAACTAATAAAAAATCAATTATAATTCTTACTTGTACTTGAAATGCCAGAAGAGGGACTTGTAATTGGTACTTGAGTTGCTGTTGTCTCTTTTCCAGTTGATCCTGTGACAAAAATGTTTAAAAATACAAATATATCAAACAAAATGATAATTTAAAAATATTAAAAAAAATGTATCATCTTTCCTTTTTGCATAATAATATTCATCACATGAATCATCTTTCCTTTTTGAATTATAATATTCAACACATGTATTATCTTTCCTTATTCTAAAATAATATTCAACAAATGTATCTTTCATAAACTTCGTTAAATGTCTTTTTAAATGAAGAATAACAACAGGAGGTCATTCTGGTTTGTAGTATTTTACATAAATATACATCAAACCTGCTACTTTCATTCAGAAAAGGAATACAATTCAAATCCATTACCTTTCAATGTTGTTGTAGATTCACTTATTATTTTGGGTGTAGCTGTAGGTGTGGGTGTAACCTCGGCTGTAGTGATAACTGCTGATGATACTTTTTGTGGAACTGTTGTTGTACTTGGAATTGGCGTAGAAGCTAAAAAAGTAAAAAGGAGTTTATCTATTATAAACAGCAAACAACTCATTTGTAACAAGGACAAATCAAACACCAGCCACAAGCAGGTTTTAACAACAAAAAAACCAGATTAGCATGAAAGAACTTTACCAAACCAAATTAATTACTCATAGTTTTATTTCAACAAGGCACACATAAAATCTTCACAATCATCTCATATATACAACTGTTACTAAATACATTACATATTGCTGCAGCTAAAACTACTATGGTCTTTTTTTACTTACTGACTTCAAAACAGGCATGGACGCTAAGTTGGAGCTGTACAGGTCTGTAAGAATCTTCTTTGTCATCAGGTGTAACAATTACAGTAACCTTTCTCACATCAGGCTTAGTTCCAATGCTTGTAGCCTTTTCGCCTACTTTAATCTACATAATGGAAAATATAAGTTTTAAAGTTAACACGGCAAAATCGTCCTTGTTTCATGTTTCGAATAAACAGCAGTCACATTCTCTTTTTCAAGAACAATCAATACAATTGATAAGTTTAAACTTGAAGATTTTGTGCAAGTCATACAAACCTTTCTCGTTGTTACAGTTCCGTCTGCATTAAAGAATTGTACTGTATACGTCTTGATATTATCAGTAGAAACCAGTTCAACATTGGCTATTGGTCTTGTCTTCGTAGGCACGTACTCTATAACCAATTTTTCTTCAGAGCTTTTAAAAGGTGTCTTAGAGGAAGGTCGCAGATTTTCAATATCTGCCTTCTTGTCATTAGTTGTAACTTCTGTTGAAGGTATTGTTGTTATTGAATCCATTCCATCTGTTATTTCACAAACGGGCGTGGTTGTCGATATCTCTAAAAAACAAACATGTCACTTTATGACCACTTTTAACATATACTGTACTGGTTCTATAGATACCATTTTTGCATTAACATTGCTTTTCTTGAAAAAATATTTGCATTTCATTCAATGAATTTTCCAAAAAATATTTGGTTAATTCGTTAACATAAGAGAAACGAAACAACTAATAAAAATTCAATTATCATTCTTACTTGTACTTGAAATACCAGGAGAGGGACTTGTAATTGGTACTTGAGTTGCTGTTGTCTCTTTTCCAGTTGATCCTATGACAAAAATGTTTAAAAATACAAATATATAAAACAAAATGATAATTTAATCATATTCAAAAAAACGTATCATCATTCCTTTTCGCATAATAATATTCAACACATGAATCATCTTTCCTTTTTGCATTATAATATTCAACACTTGTATTATCTTTCCTTATTCTAAAATAATATTCAACAAATGTATCTTTCATAAACTTCGTTCAATGTCTTTTTAAATAAAGAATAACAACAGGCGATCATTCCGGTTTTGTAGTATTTTACATAAATATACATCCAACCTGCTACTTTCATTCAGAAAAGGAATACAATTCAAATCCATTACCTTTCAATGTTGTAGTAGATTCACTTATTATTGTGGGTGTAGCTGTAGGTGTGGGTGTAACCTCGGCTGTAGTGATAACTGCTGATGATACTTTTTTTGGAACTGTTGTTGTACTTGGAATTGGCGTAGAAGCTAAAAAAGAAACAAAAGGAGTTTATGTATTATTAACAGCAAACAACTCATTTGTAACAAGGACAAATCAAACACCTGCCACCAGCAGGTTTTAACAAAAAAACAGATAAGCATGAAAGAATTTTGCCAAACCAAATTAATTACTCATAGTTTTATTTCAACAAAGCACACATAAAATCTTCATAATACATCTCATTTATACAACTGTTACTACATACATTACATATTGCTGCAGCTAAAATTACTATGGTCTTTTTTTACTTACTGACTTCAAAACAGGCATGGACGCTTAGTTGGAGCTGTACAGGTCTGTAAGAATCTTCTTTGTCATCAGGTGTAACAATTACAGTAACCTTTCTCACATCAGGCTTAGTTCCAATGCTTGTAGCCTTTTCGCCTACTTTAACCTACATAATGGAAAATATAAGTTTCAAAGTTAACATGGCAAAATCCTTTGTTTCATGTTTCCAATAAACAGCAGTCACATTTTCTTTTTCAAGAACAATCAATACAATTGATAAGTTTAAACTTGAAGATTTTGTGCAAGTCATACAAACCTTTCTCGTTGTTACAGTTCCGTCTGCATTAAAGAATTGTACTGTATACGTCTTGATATTATCAGTAGAAACCAGTTCAACATTGGCTATTGGTCTTGTCTTCGTAGGCACGTACTCTATAACCAATTTTTCTTCAGAGCTTTTAAAAGGTGTCTTAGAGGAAGGTCGCAGATTTTCAATATCTGCCTTCTTGTCATTAGTTGTAATTTCTGTTGAAAGTATCGTTGTTATTGAATCCATTCCATCTGTTATTTCACAAACGGGCGTGGTTGTCGATATCTCTAAAAAAAAAAACCATGTCACGTTATAACTACTTTTAACATATACTGTACTGGTTCTATAAATATCATTTTTGCATAAATATTGCTATTCTTGAAAAAAAATATTTGCATTTCATTCAATGAATTTTCCAAAAAATATTTTGTTAATTCGTTAAAATAAGAGAAACGAAACAACTAATAAAAAATCAATTATAATTCTTACTTGTACTTGAAATGCCAGGAGAGGGACTTGTAATTGGTACTTGAGTTGCTGTTGTCTCTTTTCCAGTTGATCCTGTGACAAAAATGTTTGAAAATACAAATATATCAAACAAAATAATAATTTAATGATATTCAAAAAAATGTATCATCATTCCTTTTCGCATAATAACATTCAACACATGAAACATCTTTCCTTTTTGCATTATAATGTTCAACACATGTATTATCTTTCCTTATTCTAAAATAATATTCAACAAATGTATCTTTCAGAAACTTCGTTAAATGTCTTTTTAAATGAAGAATAACAACAGGCGGTCAATCTGGTTTTGTAGTATTTTACATAAATATACATCAAACCTGCTACTTTCATTCAGAAAAGGAATTCAATTCAAATCCATTACCTTTCAATGTTGTAGTAGATTCACTTATTATTTTGGGTGTAGCTGTAGGTGTGGGTGTAACCTCGGCTGTAGTGATAACTGCTGATGATACTTTTTGTGGAACTGTTGTTGTACTTGGAATTGGCGTAGAAGCTAAAAAATAAAAAAGGAGTTTATCTATTATTAACAGCAAACAACTCATTTGTAACAAGGACAAATCAAACACCCGTCACAAGCAGGTTTTAACAAAAAAACAGATTAGCATGAAAGAACTTTACCAAACCAAATTAATTACTCATAGTTTTATTTCAACAAGGCACACATAAAATCTTCATAATACATCTCATTTATACAACTGTTACTACATACATTACATATTGCTGCAGCTAAAACTACTATGGTCTTTTTTTACTTACTGACTTCAAAACAGGCATGGACGCTAAGTTGGAGCTGTACAGGTCTGTAAGAATCTTCTTTGTCATCAGGTGTAAAAATTACAGTAACCTTTCTCACATCAGGCTTAGTTCCAATGCTTGTAGCCTTTTCGCCTACTTTAACCTACATAATGGAAAATATAAGTTTCAAAGTTAACATGGCAAAATTTTCCTTGTTTCATGTTCCGAATAAACAGCAGTCACATTTATTTTTCAAAAAGAATCAATAAAATTGATAAGTTTAAACTTGAAGATTTTTTGCAAGTCATACAAACCTTTTTCGTCGTTACAGTTCCGTCTGCATTAAAGAATTGTACTGTATACGTCTTGATATTATCAGTAGAAACCAGTTCAACATTGGCTATTGGTCTTGTCTTCGTAGGCACGTACTCTATAACCAATTTTTCTTCAGAGCTTTTAAAAGGTGTCTTAGAGGAAGGTCGCAGATTTTCAATATCTGCCTTCTTGTCATTAGTTGTAATTTCTGTTGAAGGTATTGTTGTTATTGAATCCATTCCATCTGTTATTTCACAAACGGGCGTGGTTGTCGATATCTCTAAAAAAAAAAACAACCATGTCACGTTATAACTACTTTTAACATATACTGTACTGGTTCTATAAATATCATTTTTGCATAAATATTGCTATTCTTGAAAAAAAATATTTGCATTTCATTCAATGAATTTTCCAAAAAATATTTTGTTAATTCGTTAACATAAGAGAAACGAAACAACTAATAAAAAATCAATTATAATTCTTACTTGTACTTGAAATGCCAGGAGAGGGACTTGTAATTGGTACTTGAGTTGCTGTTGTCTCTTTTGCAGTTGATCCTGTAACAAAAATGTTTGAAAATACAAATATATCAAACAAAATAATAATTTAATGATATTCAAAAAAATGTATTATCATTCCTTTTCGCATAATAACATTCAACACATGAAACAACTTTCCTTTTTGCATTATAATGTTCAACACATGTATTATCTTTCCTTATTCTAAAATAATATTCAACAAATGTATCTTTCAGAAACTTCGTTAGACGTCTTTTTAAATGAAGAATAACAACAGGCGGTCATTCTGGTTTTGTGGTATTTTACATAAATATACATCAAACCTGCTACTTTCATTCAGAAAAGGAATTCAATTCAAATCCATTACCTTTCAATGTTGTAGTAGATTCACTTATTATTTTGGGTGTAGCTGTAGGTGTGGGTGTAACCTCGGCTGTAGTGATAACTGCTGATGATACTTTTTGTGGAACTGTTGTTGTACTTGGAATTGGCGTAGAAGCTACAAAATGAAAAGTTTATCTATTATTAACAGCAAACAACTCATTTGTAACAAGGACAAATCAAACTCCCGCCACAAGCAGGTTTTAACAAAAACACAGATTAGCATGAAAGAACTTTACCAAACCAAACTAATTACTCATAGTTTTATTTCAACAAGGCACACATAAAATCTTCACAATACATCTCATTTATACAACTGTTACTACATACATTACATATTGCTGCAGCTAAAACTACTATGGTCTTTTTTTACTTACTGACTTCAAAACAGGCATGGACGCTAAGTTGGAGCTGTACAGGTCTGTAAGAATCTTCTTTGTCATCAGGTCTAATAATCACAGTAACCTTTCTCACATCAGGCTTAGTTCCAATGCTTGTAGCCTTTTCGCCTACTTTAATCTACAGAAAGGAAAATATAAGTTTCAAAGTTAACATGGCAAAATTGTCCTTGTTTTATGTTTCTAATAAACGGTAGTCACATTTTCTTTTTCAAGAAGAATCAATAAAATTGATAAGTTTAAACTTGAAGATTTTGTGCAAGTCATACAAACCTTTCTCGTTGTTACAGTTCCGTCTGCATTAAAGAATTGTACTGTATACGTCTTGATATTATCAGTAGAAACCAGTTCAACATTGGTTATTGGTCTTGTCTTCGTAGGCACGTACTCTATAACCAATTTTTCTTCAGAGCTTTTAAAAGGTGTCTTAGAGGAAGGTCGCAGATTTTCAATATCTGCCTTCTTGTCATTAGGTGTAATTTCTGTTGAAGGTATTGTTGTTATTGAATCCATTCCATCTGTTATTTCACAAACGGGTGTGGTTGTCGATATCTCTAAAAAAAAAAAAACAACCATGTCACGTTATTACCACTTTTAACATATACTGTACTGGCTCTATAATTTTCATTTTTGCATAAATATTGCTTTTCTTGAAAAAAAATATTTGCATTTCATTCAATGAATTTTCCAAAAAAATATTTTGTTAATTCGTTAACATAAGAGAAACGAAACAACTAATAAAAAATCTATTATCATTCTTACTTGTACTTGAAATACCAGGAGAGGGACTTGTAATTGGTACTTGAGTTGCTGTTGTCTCTTTTCCAGTTGATCCTATGACAAAAATGTTTAAAAATACAAATATTTCAAATAAAATAATTATTGAATAATATTCAAAAAAATGTATCATCTTTCCTTTTTGCATAATAATATTCAACACATGAATCATCTTTCCTTTTTGCATTTTAATATTCAACACATGTATTATCTTTCCTTATTCTAAAATAATATTCAACAAATGTATCTTTCATAAACTTCGTTAAATATCTTTTTAAATGAAGAATAACAACAGGATGTCATTCTGGTTTTGTAGTATTTTACATAAATATACATCAAACTTGCTACTTTCATTCAGAAAAGGAATACAATTCAAATCCATTACCTTTCAATGTTGTAGTAGATTCACTTATTATTTTGGGTGTAGCTGTAGGTGTAGGTGTAACCTCGGCTGTAGTGATAACTGCTGATGATACTTTTTGTGGAACTGTTGTTGTACTTGGAATTGGCGTAGAAGCTAAAAAATAAAAAGGAGTTTATCTTTTATTAACAGCAAACAACTCATTTGTAACAAGGACAAATCAAACACCCGCCACAAGCAGGTTTTAACAAAAAACAGATCAACATTAAAGAGTTTTACCAAACCAAATTAATTACTCATAGTTTTATTTCAACAAGGCACACATAAAATCTTCACAATCATCTCATCTATACAACTGTTACTAAATACATTACATATTGCTGCAGCTTAAACTACTATAGTCTTTTTTTACTTACTGACTTCAAAACAGGCATGGACGCTTAGTTGAAGCTGAACAGGTCTGTAAGAATCTTTTTTGTCATCAGGTGTAATAATTACAGTAATCTTTCTCACATCAGTTCTAATGCTTTTAGCCTTTTCGCCTACTTTAAGCTACAGAAAGGAAAATACAAGTTTCAAGTTAACATGGCAAAATCATCCTTGTTTCATGTTCCACAAAAACAGCAGTCACCTTTTCTTTTTCAAAAAGAATCAATAAAATTAATAAGTTTAAACTTGAAGATTTTGTGCAAGTCATACAAACCTTTCTCGTTGTTACAGTTCCGTCTGCAATAAAGAATTGTACTGTATACGTCTTGATATTATCAGTAGAAACCAGTTCAACATTGGCTATTGGTCTTGCATTCGTAGGCACGTACTCTAAAACCAATTTTTCTTCAGAGCTTTTAAAGGGTGTCTTAGAGGAAGGTCGCAGATTTTCAATATCTGCCTTCTTGTCATTAGTTGCAATTTCTGTTGAAGGTATTGTTGTTAGTGAATCCATTCCATCTGTTATTTCACAAACGGGCGTGGTTGTCGATATCTCTACAAAACAAACATGTCACGTTATAACCACTTTTAACATATTATACTGTACTGGTTCTATAAATACCACTTTTGCATTAACATTCCTATTTTTGAAAAAAATATTTGGATTTCATTCAATGAATTTTCCAAAAAAATATTTTATTAATTCGTTAACATAAGAGAAACGAAACAACTAATAAAAATTCAATTATCATTCTTACTTGTACTTGAAATACCAGGAGAGGGACTTGTAATTGGTATTTGAGTTGGTGTTGTCTCTTTTCCAGTCGATCCTATGAGAAAAATGTGTAAAAATACAAATATATCAAACAAAATAATAATTTAATAATATTCAAAAAATGTATCATCTTTCCTTTTTGCATAATAATATTCAACACATGAATCATCTTTCCGTTTTGCACTTAAACACTACAAACCAGTAAAAGTCTGAAATGGCCTATATCTGTACCTAGACTGTACTGATTTCTACTCGACCATTCTGAAATTTACTTATTTACTTAACAGTCTGAACTTGTACTCGACCTTTACTCGACCAGTACTTAACAATTTTATATGTGTCTGAACCATACTCGACAAGGTCTCAACCATTCTCGAACAAGTCTGAACCATGCTCGACCTAGTCTGAACCATACTTGACATAGTCTGAACCATACTCGACCAAGTCTCAACCAAGCTAGACCTACTTTTTGTATCTATCTATTATATTTCATCAATTAAGTACTGTTTTTTACAACAGATATTTCCCTTGGCTAGAAATTTGAACAACAATTTGAAATGCAAAAATGTATTTAATATAGCATGAAACCAAAATTTAACAATAAACATAATATAATCATCAACACCATATATATATATATATATACAATGTATATCGCCTTTAAAATAAAAATAAAACAAGATGATCAAAGGAAGTAATTTTTGGTCAGATTAAAAACATATAATGTAATAAATTAAGATTTCGGTTAAATGAATTTTTATATACATGATATAATGTTCACATTGAATTATGTACATCAAAAATACTAGAACTTTCGACCATTATTCAAATATCTTAAATGGTATTTCAATTTTTTTGAATGTTTTTCAGATATATTTTATGGTTACTGGAAAATTTTCAACACTAACTTAAGCCTGGTATAGATTTATGGTGTCAGTCATGTTCAGTTAATAACGCAGTGAACATTTATCTTTTATTGTATATAAAGCAACTTAATAAATTTGAAAATGACACCTCTGTTTTGTTAAATGAAGTCTTTACTATGAAAGCACTTCCATAGCAATACTTGATAAAACCTTTTAAAAAGAGAATTGTGTTCCAAATTAGCAGTTAAAGTTTAGGTTGATTAATCAGGTTTTGTCAAAATTAAAGACATGGCATACAAGAAGCACTTTTATAAGGTTTAATTACCTCAGTACAGGTGTGTTTTACAGGTAAAAAGAAAATCCTGTTTTTCTTAAACTCGTGTATTACTTATCTAGTGAATTCAAAAAGCCTTGTGATTTAAGTTTTACAGGATGTTGTTTAATTTTCAATGGATGTTATTTAAAATTTATTACTTTCTGATCAGGTTTGATCTTTTTAATAAGTGTGCCAAAAGCAGGAGGTATTACCTTATAGTTAACCCCTAATCAGAAGAACAATTTTAATAATTTCTTTAATTTATTATCCCTTTTAGATGCCAAATTATGATAAGAATAGATTTATTTCTGATATAAGGTTAAACAATTTCAGTGATTTTGTTGGCTATTACCTCAGTTAAAAAGATAATTATATAACTATTGTATGTACAACCATGAAACCTATTTATTTTCTTTATTTAAGAATTTAGGTGAATTAAGTTTTGAATGTCATTTTATAACCACTTTTTACATACACTGTACTGGTTCTATAAATACCATTTTTGCATTAACATTCCTGTTCTTGAAAAACTATTTGCATTTCATTCAATGAATTTTCCAAAAAACATATTTTGTAAATTCGTTAACATAAGAGAAACGAAACAACTAATACAAAATCAATTATCATTCTTACTTGTACTTGAAATACCAGGAGAGGGAATAGTTGTATATACTTGAGTTGCTGTTGTACCTTTTTTAGTTTATCCTATCACAAAAATGTTTAAACATAGAAATATATCAAACAAAATAATAATTTGATAATATTCAAAAGATGTATCATCTTTCCTTTTTGGAATAATAATATTCAACATATTCATCATATCTTTTTGCATAATAATATTCAACATATGTTATCTTTCATATGCTTCGTTAAATGTCTTTTTAAATGAAAAAAAAAGAACAGGCGGTCATTCTGGTGTTGAAATATTTTACATAAATATAAACCTGTTACTTTCTTTCAAAAAAGGAATATAATTACCTTGCAATGTTGTAGTAGCTTCACTTATTTTTATTGGTGTAGCTGTAGGTGTTGGTGTTACTTCAGCTGTAGTGATAACTCCTGACGAACTTGTTTGTGGAAATGTTGCTGTACTGGGAACTTGCGTAGTAGCTTAACAAGGAAAAAGAAGGTTGATCTACAGAATTTTTGTAATTCAATTTTAATAAAAGAGGACAAACAAATAGATCTATATCACTATGGTCAATGTTATAATCAAATAAAAGAGCAGAAGCAACGACTGGTCTTCTTATACAGTAATTATTTGAAAGGTGTATTTGTTATTTTACTGTGATTATTTTCCTGGATAGTCAGAAGAGTGTGACAGGGTACATCAAGAAAAGAATAGACCCTTGGTGAGTTTCGTAACAAGCAGGAGTTGATGAACAGATATGATTACGTTGTTACAAATCAAAATATATACCATGTAGACAGTTTTACATATTCTTATACTAAACTAAACTAAAAGCTCGTCATATATTAGGTATTTCTCAACAGAAATACTTAATCAATAATGTGTAATTTTTATTGGCAATATAAGAACACAAACCTGAATAGTTTTTTTTCAATTAAGCCGCAAAGCGTATTTTATAATATTCAGAAAGACATACTAACAGCAATCACTGGATCAGAAATTTCTGAGCAGCACAAACTTGTCAATGCTACAGTTTCATGTACTGATGTTATAATTTACATACCAATCGAAGATTGCTCTAAATGTCTATCTGTCATTTTCACTGATGTTTCAGTTGTTGCAACAATAGGAGTAGTTTGTCTACTTGTTTTCTTTATGGTTGTTTCCCCAATAAAGGGCACAGGGGAAGTAACTCCCTCTGATGAAATAATACCAGTCGTATGTTTGACTTCTCCTGTCGTAGTTGTAGCTTTCGTTTTTCCACCAGGTGTTGTTTTTTCACTCGATATTCCTTCAGTGGATTTCGCTGATGACACGATCATGGTGCTTTTTGCTGATGATGGCCCACCTGCAGTTGTCATCTTACCAGCTGTTGACGTCACTGGTGATTCTACTCTTACACTCGTTTTACTTGAAGCAACAGACGGCGTAGAAACAATTGACGGTATTTCAATAGTTGTTGTCCCTATAAAGATAGAAATCATGCTTTATCTTTTCTCAAAATTAAAAGTTACGGGTTGTATTTTTTCCGAATCAAGGTGAAATAAGTCATCAAAGATTCAAGGCTTATACTTTGGTACACCAGACACGTGAAGGCTGTATTCTTTCTGCCTATTTGTGTTTATAAATCTTTTTGAGAACATCATTTTGGTACTGACATGATTTATAACAAACCATTCTAAAATTGTTCGTTGATAAATTTTGAAATTATTGGAAACTAAGGTTTCAACTCCCCCAGGAAAAGTTGACCTTAGTTCGATTTGGCTATTTTTTATGTCCTTTTTGGTAATATACCTCTTCAACTATTTCGTTTCTTATACATCCTTGGCTTTCAAATATTTGGCTTTGAGCGTTCCTGATGAAGGTTAATCCAGAAAAGCGCTTCGGACGCATGAAATTTATAACGTGTTGCTTTCATTTTTTACAGCACTGGGTCGATACCTTTGCTTGTGGACTACTAGTCCCGGAGGTTATCATCAGCCCAGTAGTCAGTACTTCGGTACTGACATGATTTATAAAAAACCTTTCTAAAATTGTCCGTTAATAAATTTTGTAATTATTAGAAACTCAGGTTTCAACTCCCTCAAGCAAAGTTGACCTTAGATGGATTTGGCTTTATTTAGGTTCTTTTTGGAAGTATAGCTGTTCAACTATTCCAGTTCTTAAACATCCTTGGCCTTTCAGTTATTTGGCAATGAGTGTTCCTGATGAAGTTGAATCTACATCTACATATGTATATATGTGTATTATATTTTATGGATATATATAGTATATAAATAACATTTTACTTAAATTTATATATATATATAAACAAGTCTAAATTGAAAACAACGTTCAAACCTATGATTGCGTTGGATAAAAACCGCAATTTTTATACGTGTGCATGCAAAACAAATTTCTTGGTAGAGTGGTCTAAATACAGCACAAACAACATTTTCCAAAAAACCAAAAAGTGAAAAAGTATATTTTAACAAAACGCATTTGACTAGCAGGTCGAACAACGGATGTTCTTAAACCCTGCTGATTGCCATGGCGATTGCCAAATAAACGGATCACCGGATGTAAAAATGAATCTTAATTTATAAATTAAATACAAAACAGAAAACAATAAACTTGCGGAAAAGATGGTATACCGCAAACATGAGGTGCAAAAATTTGTACACCATATCCGGATTTCGACAATTAATGTCTCTTCAGTGATGTTAGAAATCGAAACGGTATTTGGAAGGCCATATAATTTACCTCAATTTGGGATTGACTCTTGAATTTTGAAGAGTCAAAATAGGATGAACGGATCATATAAGCCCGAAGGCAAATATAATACAAGCCCAAACGAAAAAATATAAACAAGTCTAAATTGAAAACAACGTTCAAACCTATGATTGCGTTGGATAAAAACCGCAATTTTTATACGTGTGCATGCAAAACAAATTTCTTGGTAGAGTGGTCTAAATACAGCACAAACAACATTTTCCAAAAGACCAAAAAGTGAAAAAGTATATTTTAACAAAACGCATTTGACTAGCAGGTCGAACAACGGATGTTCTTAAACCCTGCTGACTGCCATGGCGATTGCCAAATAAACGGATCACCAGATGTAAAAATGGATCTTAATTTATAAATTAAATACAAAACAGAAAACAATAAACTTGCGGAAAAGATGGTATACCGCAAACATGAGGTGCAAATATTTGTACACCATATCCGGATTTCGACAATTAATGTCTCTTCAGTGATGTTAGGAATCGAAACGGTATTTGGAAGGCCATATAATTTACCTCAATTTGGGATTGACTCTTGAATTTTGAAGAGTCAAAATAGGATGAACGGATCATATAAGCCCGAAGGCAAATATAATACAAGCCCAAACGAAAAAATATAACAAGTCTAAATTGAAAACAACGTTCAAACCTATGATTGCGTTGGATAAAAACCGCAATTTTTATACGTGTGCATGCAAAACAAATTTCTTGGTAGAGTGGTCTAAATACAGCACAAACAACATTTTCCAAAAGACCAAAAAGTGAAAAAGTATATTTTAACAAAATGCATTTGACTAGCAGGTCGAACAACAGATGTTCTTAAACCCTGCTGACTGCCATGGCGATTGCCAAATAAACGGATCACCAGATGCAAAAATGGATCTTAATTTATAAATTAAATACAAAACAGAAAACAATAAACTTGCGGAAAAGATGGTATACCGCAAACATGAGGTGCAAAAATTTGTACACCATATCCGGATTTCGACAATTAATGTCTCTTCAGTGATGTAAGAATCGAAACGGTATTTGGAAGGCCATATAATTTACCTCAATTTGGGATTGACTCTTGAATTTTGAAGAGTCAAAATAGGATGAACGGATCATATAAGCCCGAAGGCAAATATAATACAAGCCCAAACGAAAAAATATAAACAAGTCTAAATTGAAAACAACGTTCAAACCTATGATTGCGTTGGATAAAAACCGCAATTTTTATACGTGTGCATGCAAAACAAATATATCATAGAAGATACAGCTTAACTGCTTTCATTGTAAGAACGCTAATTCAATGCTGTAAAATCTGTATTTTGGTAGTAGAAATATAATAAAGAAACTATGACAACTATACATGTTGATTATTTCATTTCGTAATTTTATGGTATTTCTCTCAAAATCTACATTCTAAAAGGATGTTTTCTAATCACATATATTTATATGGATGTTGAGTAATCAATTACAAATACATATTTTACAAAATAAAATCTACATTCTTACAATAAAAGCAGTAAAGCTCTATCTTCTATGAATGTTCTCTTATATCCATATATATATATTGATTTATCAGCATCCATGACAATTAATATCATTAAAAAACAACCTTTTAGAAGATAGATCTTGAGAGAAAAAAAAATATTACGAAATGAGATAATCAACTATTTATTAGTATGTCAATTGGGTTCAATGTTCCAGTTTTTATTCAAAGTGACAACTTATAGGTTGGAGATATTTTAAGTCGTAGTTTGATATGATTTAAATGTTTTATAATGAGGAGCAATGAAAATATTTGTCTAAAGACGGTGGAAGATAGTTGATCTTTTGACGACAAGTACCAATTATAATTATATGTTTCAACTTACCCGTTGGTGTGAGTGATGGGACTGCACTTGTCGTCGACACAACAATTTCAGTCGTTGTACCTGCAGAAGTTTCATACATTTACACATATGAATAACACTTCCATACTATAAATCTAACTATCAAGTGTTATACTTTTGTCTCTAGGCAACTACTTAAGATGAACAGAAAAAACAAAATGCAGTTGATCTCTATATAATGACTATCAAGTTTCGTATGAATACTTATTTATCAAGTATGTATTCAGTTATGACTTAGATACTTACAAATACACATCCGTTGGCATTGCTGTTGATCAGATATTACATAAAACAACCGATCGTTTTTCTCACTTTAGAGATTTAACTTATGTAATATAAATTATTGAAAAATACATTAAAAGCTCACGACCCATTATGTATTTCTGAACAACAATGCTTAATACAGTATGCGGTTTTTTTTGGGTTTTTTCTTGCAATATATATATGCGAGACTTGATAAATTTTTAAGAATAAAAAAAAACATCTGCATACCTATTGGAGTCACTTGTTTTGTAGACCCTCTCAAAGGTGTTGTGTGCTCTGATGTCACCTTTTCAGTGGACTGTTCACTTGTCAATTTCACTGATGTTTCAGTTGTTGCAACAAAAGGAGTAGTTTGTCTACTTATTTTCTTTATAGTTGTTTCCCCAGTAGAGGGCACAGGGGGAGTAACTCCTTCTGATGAAATAATACCAGTCGTATGTTTCATTCCTCCTGCTGTAGTTGTAACTTTCGTTTTTCCAGCAGGTGTTGTTTTTTCACTCGATATTCGTTCAGTGGATTTAGCTGATGACACGATAATGGTGCTTTTTGCTGATGATGGCCCACCTGCAGTTGTCATCTTACCAGCTGTTGATGTCACTGGTGATTCTGCTCTTTCACTCGTTTTAGTTGCAGAAACAGACGGTGTAGAAACAATTGACGGTATTTCAATAGTTGTTGTCCCTATAAAGATAGAAATTATGCTTTGTCTTTCCTTAAAATTTAAAGTTACTGGCTTTATTTTTGAAAATCAAGGTGAAATAAGTCATCAAAGATTCAAGGCTTATACATTGTTCCGCCAGACACTTGAAAGCTGTGTTCTTTCTGCCTATTAGTGTTCATAAATCTTTTTGAGAACATCAATTTTCACCGCTTTTTTGTCACATGAACTTGATTAGCTACATATACATTTATATATATATATATATATATATATATATATAATATAAATAAATGAAATTAACAAACTACTCATGCACATATATATATCATTAAAAGATTGAATAATAGTAGAATAGCTGCGTAGTTATAACACATTAAATATTGTCTATTTCTTCTAGGCTAACGTTTTCATGTCTTCTTGGACATCCATCAGGCTGTTGTTTATGCATATGTTAGCGGCAATAAGTGAAATTGGACATAAGCTTAAATCCTAGGCAATAAGCTAATGCCTAGGCAGTAAGTTTATTGCCTAAATGATGTAAGGCATTATTCTTAAATCCTAGGATTTAAGCTTAAATCCTGAAAAATGTTTCTAGGCATTAATCTTAATAATTAAAATGTAAATGCGAGTAAATAAAATGACATTAATTCAAAGTTAAAATACATCTGGTACATGATAGTATGATAAGAACTGAAGTATAAAATGTCATTTATTTGTCTTTGTTCTATTGATAATATTACTTTTACTGTTTGGTCTGTTTTCTGTGATATCCATTTGACGTGGCTCGGTACTTATACATCCCGTCAATGTGTTTGTATTATCTTTCATTTTTGCTGGTGTGTTTTGTACGTTGTGACTTTATGTGTTTCTTTGGTACATATGACGTGGCTCTGTACTTTTAAAGATCCCGCCATTTTGTTATTGTTCTATTATAATACCATTATGTTATTGTTCTATTATAATTTTGAAAATACTTTGAACGACAAAATTATTTTACTTGCGTAGTGGTATTAACCATATGTGGATTCTTAAAAATTCTAAAGAACTTCTGGATAATTTTAAATCTCGGTCTTTTTCTGAAATTAGTTCTAACAAAAACTTTTGATTTTTCAACCCTGTATACCACCATTCCCCATGTGAAATTATAATTTTGAAAATACTTTGAACGACAAAATTATTTTATATTTCTTCCTGTGTGACGTTTACAATTTCTTGCGTCAAACACGCGACTCTACACTAAGAGTAGATGTGAATGCAGTCACAGGACTTTAAATATTTCAATCCTTTATGGGTTGATTTGAAATACATATATAAGTAAGCAATGAATGTGGTTGTTAAATGTGATAGATGTTTTTTGTGCTTCTTTGTTAAATGTTTGTTTGTTTTGAGATTGTGACACAGTGATGAATGCTGTACCCATATTTTGACAATGTTACCTATTATGTCTGTTTTGTTCACGCATCGTTGTAAATATAATGGAATTTGATGCGACTGTCATACAAGTGAGAGGTTTAGCGCTATAAAACCAGGTTCAATCCACCATTTTCTACATTTGAAAATGCCTGTACCAAGTCAGGAATATGACAGTTGTTGTCCATTCGTTTGATGTGTTTAATCATTTGATTTTGCCATTTGATTAGGGACTTTCCGTTTTGGATTTTCCTCGGAGTTCAGTATTTTTGTGATTTTACTTTTTACCTGCAATAAAGTCACTAGTTCTAGCCACTTTAGTTTTAACTCGGATATAACCAAAGCTGTAAATGCACGACCATTGTCATTTTGCAGTTTATGGGGCACACCAAAACTTGTGAAAACATCAATTAAATTAAAAGTCACCTCTGAAGCACATTTTTACGTAAGAGCTCTAATATTACAAACCTTTAGTTAGGTGATTTTATAGAAATTTATAGTTTCCATATAGGTTTGATTGGAAATCCATTAAACCAACCTGTCATCTACTGTTGGACTCTTAGGATAAAATGGGTTTCACTAGTACTCCATTCCATAAATACTTTTCTTTATTTTACAATGTTCACAAAGTGAAAGAAATAGTTCAATGGAATCACGAGAAAAATTTGCATGACCATGGAGTCACGAGAAATATTTGCATAGGCATTATTAAGTTGGTTAAATCATACAGTCTCTGTCACCACGACCAATTTATGTACCTTTTTTCAAATTAAAGTACCATACAGTTTCGCTAGAAATACATTTTTTTTAAATAATGTTCCTCCTTTTTCCTTTCAAAGTCTCCTATGCTAAAAATGTTATACCTTTTTAATTGTATTAGTCTATAGTTGCCGTCTTTTTTGGGGTGGTAAAAGTTCAATCTTTGCCAAAAGAGATCATTGTACTATATATCTTGTATATATGCTCCTTGTTTTCACTGATTCAAATTAAGGCCGTAAAGATTCACGTCATTTGTCTTCAGTAGACATGTAAATGCTAATAATACAAATTATGAAGTAAACAAGACAAGATTGCCTGGGGGCATTTTAAATAAATGTTTAACAGTAATGTTTTACATTTCCAATAAAATCAATGGAAAGATGATGTGAATAAAAACTCATATCTACATTTGTCTACTTTTGACCAGTCCAAAACCTGCTCGACCAGTGAGTTCGAATTTTCTTCAAATAATTTTCAGATAGAATCACCAACCCCCTTCCTTTCATTAGCTACGATCACTTGTTTGAAACATTGATTGTAACACCACAAAGAAATACAAGTTAATTCGGTTATAAATATGAAAAAATACTAAAATTTGAAGATCTGTTATATTAATGTGTATTAATATTAGGAATATAATACAAACACTTCTTTACATGAAGAATATTTCACCGAATGTACATTTACATGGAATATAAAGCAAAAATCCCAAAGTTCACTTATTGCCTGAAATGATGTTTGGCAATAGGTTGAATAATCATCATTACATTTCCGGAAATAAGCTAAATGTCTGAAAATTTCAGGCAATAACTTAATGCCTAGGCGTTAGCTTATTGACTAGGATTTAAGCTTAATGGCTAATTTTACTTATTGCCGCTAACATATATATAACAGATTCAAATACTGAGGACAATGAAGAAGACACGCTCATCCCGAAGTTCGTGGAAACCACCAAAAAGTAAAAACGAAAACTTTGAGTCATTTATTAACTACGGGTGAGGTCTGATATAAAATTCTGCATAACAAATAAAAGAAATTATAATTTATCAATATCAGAAAGCATCGCTTTGAAAACACCATAAGAACAAGAGAATATTGTAATAGAAACCTGCCGACAAAGGGGGCGCTGTGGTTGTTATGAATAAAATAGATTACATAGAAGAAGGGAATCGTCAACTGTTAAACTCAAATTATTAAAAGCAATTGACCACTGTTCCAACACAAAATACTATTTGAAATATCAACACCACCCTTCAAGAGATGTACGACCAAAATCATATCGATAATGACACCATTGATTATTTTCGACCGCTTGACAACGAAGCCAAGGCAGGAAGATTCTATATGTTGCCTAAAATGCACAAAAATGGCAATCCAGGTCAACCAATTGTTTCAGCAAATAGTCACCCAATTGAAAAGATATCTGAATGTATAGACCATCACTTAAGACCTCATGTGAAAGAACTCCCCTCTTACATTCAAGAAACGAAATATACAAAAGGGATATTCAAACTCATAAGTCGAACAACAGTACACAAAACACAACATAGAAAACTAAAGATTGAGCAACACGATCCCCACTTAAAACTGGGGGTGATCTCAGGTGCTCCGGAAGGGTAAGCAGATCCTGCTCCAAATGTGGCACCCGTCGTGTTGCTCATGTTAGTACAAACCCGGTAATAAGTCTAATTCGGTAGGTCACATTCGGGAAAAGGGGACGGGATTGTAGTTACGACAATTGGAACATATTCGCTATCATCTGTGAAACAAATATTTCATAATGGTCAACCAACTCGTGATGGCGTCCGTAAAATTTACGAAGGGATGATTTCAATTTCACCACTTGGAACTCTTGGTTTAATAGCTTCCTTGCGAGCAGCAACCTTCTATCAAGGAAATCATGATAGGAAATACAAGCCCTGGAATATCGTATTAACAGGGAGATATATACTGCGTATGCAGGTGCTGCTGGAATGTTGCTACATAGAAATGGAAAGTTCACAATTTGGAAGCTGAAATTATCTCTTTTGTCGTAAAGTTTTGTTTTCAACCGACCTTCATTGTCAATTTCTGGATGTAAGTCAAGATATTAGGCAACTTAACTGTATCTGTTGTATCCTTTATCTCAAATTCGATGGGATAGATGCGTTCAACATAGTCACCAAATTTTGGATTATTTAGTGAGAGAACATCATCTATATAGCAGAAAGTAAAGTTAAATGATACTGCTAACTTCTTTTCTTTCTTCCTAAGAAGTTCCTGTATGAAGTCAGTCTCATATGAATAAAAGACCAAGTCGGCATGAAGAGGAGCACAGTTAGTTCCCATGAGACTGATTATTTAAAGAAAATAGAAATCTTTAATTTTTTACCAAACAATACATCCATGGACGTGTCTTCTTTATATACAAATATTCGATAGGACGAAGGAATAGCAGCGTGTGGAGAGGTATGGAACAATCGCAGTGACAAAAATCCTCCAACTGAGTGTCTTGTTACACTTCTGAAACTAGTGCTGGAGAACAACAACTTCTCTTTCAATGACACACACTATCTACAGATAGACGGTACTAGTATGGGCACAAAAATGACCACGTCATATGCCAACATATTTATGGGCCAACTTGAAAAAACACCTCTTGGCTAGTGCTCCATACCAGCCATTAACATAGTTTCGATTTATTGATGATATTGATTTTAAAAGAACAGATTCACTAGACCATCTGAATGAATTTCTTGAACACTGTAACTCTTTCCACCATTCAATTAAATTTACACTCGAAACATCAATGGAGATAATTAACTTCCTTGATACTACGAGTTACATTCAGAACGGAACCATGATAACAGATCTCCATACGAAGAAAACTGACAAACATCAATTTCTCTCCCAAACACATGGGTCCGTGATATCCCTTTCAGTCAGGCATTGCGAATCAAGAGAATATGATCAACAGAAAATAAGCAGCATGCTAGACTTGGACAACTACGTAAACATCTAGTTGTTGGAGGATACAATAACAACAGTATTGATACAGCTTTTGAAAAAGCAACCAGAACTATCCGTAAAGAACGTTTGGAGTACAAGGATAAGAATAAAGGAGTCAACAGAACACCCATTATACTCACTTACCATCCTGATTTCAAAAATGTGTCGTCCATTGTTCGAAAGCATTGGAAATTATAGAAAATCACTCCAATTTGAAAAACGTATTTTCCTCACCACCAGTCATGGCCTTCAGAAGACCTTAAAGCATCCGTGACAAATTAGTGATATCTGTACTAACAAAGCAACCTACTCCACCTCCTGGTTGCTACAAACAATGTGGGAAACGAAATTGTTTATGTTGTAAAGCTGCCAATACTAGCAGTTCTTTCATCAGCTCCTTTACAAAACATAGTTATACCATCTATGTAAATGCCAACTGTAAAACAGAGAACTCAATTCATAACTAACATGTAACACCTGTGGCATTCAGTACGTGACAGAAACAATGGACAAATTTAATATTCGGCTATATAACCATCGATCATGGTACAAAACCAACAAAAACTGTCCCCTCACAAGACATGTTCGCTCAAAGAAACATCCTTTTGATAATGTTACTTTTCAAATCACAGAAGTGAACCCTGAGTGGGACACCACGGCGAGAAGGAGAAGAGAAAATTTTTGGATCCACCAGCTCCATACTTTAGAACCTGATGGTCTAAATGAAAAAGGCGAGAAAAAATACTGGAAAGATAAAGAATAATTAATTATGAAGCATCGTCCTGAACATTTCTTTAATATTGGCCAATAGACGTTGCAAACTTACTTCAACAATAAATAATCTTGAACTTCATTCAAATTTTTAATTTATTTATTAAGCAGTAAAATTTCACTGTACAATGAGCTGCAAAAGTTTCTTATCTGCATCCGATTTAATCTGGACAGATGCACGCTCGATGAAGCTAGTTTGTTATTGCGGTTTTTTTTTTTTTATCGCATTGTAAATCTTTTTAACGTTTTAATATTTACATACTAAACGGTGTGTTAAAATTACATTGTTAGGTATTTCATAATTTCATTTGTAAAATTGTATTAATTTTTGAACTGATTAATCCACACTCACATAGATTTGTATGTTATGTGTTTTTATTAATCTTTGTACTGATTAATCCACACTCACATAGATTTGTATGTTATGTGTTGCTATTTATAGGCACACATATCTATTTATTATATATATTTGGATAAGGAAACATTCATAGAAAATACAGCTTAACATCTTGCATTGTAAGAATGCAATTTGAATGTTGTAAAATTTGTATTTCGTAACTGATTTATCAACATCTATACAAATTTATATGATTAGAAAACAACCTTTAAAGAGATACATCTTGAGAGAAAAACACTAACATACACTGAACGAATAAATTTGATCTATAGTTGTCATATTCTTTATTGTATATTTCTACTTCTAATGCATGGTAGTAAATGTTTTTACCTAAATGTAATTCGATTCCTCTTATTTCATAAATACATTTGCAAAGACAAAACGACTATATACATCCTCGCACTTTAGTAGATTTGGATAGTAATCTCATTGGCAATAATAACACACCTGTTTTTTGTACTGTTTGTGTTTCTGTCGATTAAATCGGGAGTGTTCAATAGAGAATGATATGTTTATATTTATTGAATTTGATATCTGGTCTCAAGTCAGAACGATTACTAGTTTGGCGTATTAAAATACACTTTTTCATGAGTTAATAAAATTACAATGATCTTTAGTTATTTTGTTGTATTTTCAGTTTTCTGTCTCATTTGACGTAACCGGACGTTTTTCTTTGTCTATGGGCAGATTATTTATCCCAATGTCAGTCCATATTACATGTAAAAATTGTTTTACCTATTTCATGGCATGCAAATATTTTCAGTTGAAGATGAACTGGCTGATAAGAACTTTTCTTATCTTCAGGACTGATCAAGATTTGTATTTTCTTCACATTAGGATTTCCAGCTACATTGATTGCAGTTTCTGTAACTTTCACCTAAAATAATTCAAATTTGTTAGGCTTATTCAATTGAGTGTCAATCCCAATCTTAATAATTTTATATTAAGCAATTTTACACCTTTTCCACTGTAGATTTATTGTATCAGTGTAAGAGAGTGTATAATGTAGTCAAATGTACAAATTATATACTGACCTTTATCGACACCCGACATACAAAACATCTAGTGTTGTTTTCGCGCATTATGTACACCTTTGAGTAAAAGATGATGACTTTGTCAATTTTCACATACTTAAAGTAACGTTTGAATAGTGACCATACTTACAGTTCTTTTTATCGTGGTTCCTCCAGCATTGAAAAATGTCACAGTGTACGATATTATATTGTCTGTCGATACTAATTCTACTCTTTGCACGGACTTGGCACTTGAAGGTGTGTATTGTATTACCAGTGTAGGCTTAGAACTCATCATGGGTCCCAAACCCCCTGGTCGTAAGTTTTCTATCTTTGCCATGTCATCATTTACTTTTATTTCACTAGATGGAATTGTTGTTGGTGACACCATTCCCTCTGATAATTCACATACTGGTGTGGTACTTGAAACTATTAAAACAAGTGTTCAAATTCAACTATTTATTATTATGCCAACTGGGTTCAATGATCCAATCTTTTATTCAAAGTGACAACTTATAGGTAGGAGATATTTTTAGTCATAGTTTTAGATGTTTTAAATATTTTATAATGATGAGCATGGAATATATTTGTCTAAAGACGGTGTAAGATATTTGATCTTTTGATGAGAAGTACCAAGTGTAATTATATGTTTCAACTTACCTGTTGATGTGAGTGATGGGACTGCACTTGTCGTCGACACAATACTTAATACTTTCATTTCAGTCGTTGTACCTGTAGAAGTTTCATACAAATTCACATATAACACTTCCATACTATAAATCTAGCTATCAAGTGTTATACCTTTGTCTTAAGTCAATTTATTTAAGATAAACAGAAAATACAAAATTTAGTTGATCTCTATATAATGACTATCAAGTTTCGTATGAATACTTATTTATCAAGTATTTATTCAGTTATGACTAAGATACATCCAAATACACATTGAGATCATTTTTTCAATTTTTCTAATCCGTTTGCATTGCTGTTGATCAGATATTACATATAACAACTGATAGTTTTTCTCAATATTAAAATTTAACTTATGTAATATAAATTTTTAAAAAATACATTAAAAGCTCACGGCCCATTATGTATTTCTGAATTAACAATGAAGTTCAGCCTACATACATTTCTTTGTTTGTAGACTCATAGAAATAAACAAATGGCAATCCAGGATAAGGGTAGTTTTAACAGCAAACACTTGTCAGTTCGACAGTTTAGTATACTGATGAAAAAAAATCATCTGCATACCTATTGGAGTCACTTGTTTTGTAGACCCTCTCAAAGGTGTAGTGTGCTCTGACGTCACCTTTTCGGTGGACTGTTCACTTGTCATTTTCACTGATGTTTCAGTTGTTGCAACAATAGGAGTAGTTTGTCTACTTGTTTTCTTTATGGTTGTTTCGACAGTAGAGGGCACAGGGGAAGTAACTCCTACTGATGAAATAATACCAGTCGTATGTTTGATTCCTCCTGCCGTAGTTGTAACTCTCGTTTCGCCAGCAGGTGTTGTTTTTTCACTCGATATTCCTTCAGTGGATTTCGCTGATGATACGATCATTGTGCTTTTTGCTGATGATGGCCCACCTGCAGTTGTCGTCTTACCAGCTGTTGACGTCACTGGTGATTCTACTATTACACTCGTTTTAGTTGAAGCAATAGACGGTGTAGAAACAATTGACGGTATTTCAATAGTTGTTGTCCCTATAAAGATAGAAATCATGCTTTATCTTTCCGCAAAATTTAAAGTTACCGACTTTATTTTTGCAAATCAAGGTGAAATAAGTCATCAAAGATTCAATGTTCATACTTTGGTACGCCAGACACTTGGAAGATGTATTCTTTCTGCCTATTTGTGTTCATAAATCTTTTTAAGAGCAAGAATTTTCAACGTTATTTTGTCTTTGTCACATGAACTTGATTAGCTACATATACATTTAGGGACCGGTCGAAATTTCTCAAGACATGGGACCGGTGCAAAACCAAAATGAACTATAAAAAAAACTTGAAGTCCCATGGTTATGCAAGTGAAGAAAATGTGTTGTCCTATTCTATTTTGCAACAAAAAAAGTTGGTGTCCCATATTAATTCAAACAGTATAAACTCACACAAAGTCCTTCAAACCAATGTGCCAGACAAGCATACATCATTCAAATAATGCTGAATTTAATTTTTTGAAGTTATTATCTAAGTTTATTTATTTTATTTTTTTTTTTGGCTATTTGTTTACTTTTATATGTCCCGCCAATTTTGTTGTACAGCAATTAGTTATTTTAAAAAATCGTTTTGCTACGCCAGAGACATATATACGCATGTGTATATATGTCTCTGACCACGCAAATATTTATTATAGAAAAAGTTTTTGTCCAGCTTTAGTTTATTGAAAAAAAAGTTCTCGCCCTGCTATTAAATAATCAGAAAACTTAAATATATATATATATATATATATATATATATATATATATATATATATATATATATATATCAAAATTTAATATGTTAATTTTTTTTAACTAAAATGTGTATATACTTCAAATTAAATAAAATATTCTGATTGTTCTCGTGTTCACTTGTCATCCAATTACAAGAAAATCTCCAATATCAACTTTGGACCTGTATGGAAATATACTGCATTCAGATTGTATTACCAGTACATGTACTTATAGGGACTCTTTATTTGTAGGAGGGATGGGCCAGTCCATTCTCATTTTTACTGAATATTATATTTATTTGTGTACATGTAATTCAACATCATTTTAATCGAGTAACCATATCTATTCTTTTTATTTTTCTAATTACACTAAAAGATTCTTTCTTATACAATTTGTTACTTCATCTTTCCTGATACTGTGGAATAATTATTATTCGTTGGATACCAATTTTCGTGCTTTTCGTGGATATAGATGAACCACGAATTTCAATGTTCAACGAATTATAAATTTTCTATCAGGTTATAGGTTGCATTTCTGTTAATATTGACAATGCAATGTCCCATTGGAACTCTTTTTACGACTAAAACTGTACCACTTTTACTATGAAGTTTTGAAAAAAATCATATCCTAGAATGGAAAGTTCATATGCACTTCAATTTTTTTCAAAGGTCAAAATATAGGGCTGTGCGGCACATTTTCAACGTTTATATGCCCCGAACTTCTAAGAGTTTAAACTAACACTAAATTTCTTAACTATCCCTACCTTGACTGTAGGATTACCACAGATTTCTATATAGACAATATGCATATGTATATTTACTGGCAACATTCCCAAGTTATGTCTCTATGAGATGAAACCTAGAGATTATAACTGGGAACCAGTATGTAAACAAAATTAATTATCTATGAATATTCTATATCTCCCCAAAAGAGGCGTGGTTTGAGAAACAGCTCTATTTACAAAGTGCAACCTATATGCAGACTTTGGCAAAATCACGAAATCATATATTAACGAAAAGGCAAAATTTCTTCAATCCACGAAAATAAATGAATCCACAGTACATGATACTTAATACATCACTCTGTGTTATAATTTTGGAAAATTCATTTGGATGAATATTAAATTATTGATATGGGTATAAAAGCGAAAATTTACTCTTGGTTTTAATTTAATAGAATCATGGATGGAACAAAGTAAATCAGATTTTAAATTGTTTTCTGATCATGCTGATTATTGATGGGGAATCTCTTTAAATTCTGTTTTCCTTGTCGGTAGTAAAATTATAGAATATATTTATGAAAATTCAATGTTCTGACCACTGCACAGAAAATATTGACTTTGTCCCCACCCTTTCAAAAAAAATACCAAAAACAAAAACGAATTCTTTCGAAATATCCAACCTTAGAATCATACAAAAGAGATAATTCTAGATAAAAATACTATCCTGTTTCATAACCTTATTTTACACAATGTTTTCACTAAAACTCCCTATTCACATCAATAACACTCTTATGTACATCCCCCCATAACAAAGCAAATCAAACAGCCCTGAAATTCAAGAGACTTGTAACCATTTAATACTAGTAGATATTTGTATAAAGGAACTACAATATCAACTCACAACTAAGGCTTTTTGAAGTATCAACCTAAATATGTCAAATATAGTACCACATCCTGTGTTTGTTTTCCTTCTAGGGGCCGAATAGGTGCAGGGGAGTGAAACATAGGCTCTTCCTCATTCTTGTGGGACAGATATAGATCCCAGGTTTTATGCAGATGAAATTGGAATAACAAATTGTAAAAAGGTAAAAACTTGTGACGAAAAAAAGACTTATTGCATACATTTATATTCTAATTTGAAAATAAACTTTAAATTCATTAAGATATTTTGCTCTCCATTGTTATAAATTTAATCAATATGTGAAAAAATTATTCTTTTCAGTTGGGATTAAATTCATATAGTTGACTTTAAAATTTTCTTCAACTGTTTCAAATCATCTGGGATTTTCATAAAGCTTGACCGCTACAAAATCTGTTTTTCATGTAGATTTATTACTGTCAATTCTTATGCTTTATAAAAAGGTAAACATTTCAGTTGGGAATAAATTCAGATACCAATAGTCATCTTTGAGAATTTTTTTATCTTTTTAAAATGACCTGAGATTTTCATAAATATGGGCCATTATGTCATGTATATACTGTTCTTACAATATGCCAAATTTTAATTCATTTGGAGATCTACTGTGTTAAATAGGCAAATTATATAATTGTTTTCAGTAAACGATGATTGTCAATGATAGATATTATCATTTTCTTTTCAAATTGTTTAAGATTGTTATAGACCTTTACAAGTATAAACGGTCCCTAATTAAAAACAAGTCAATGTACCATGCACATCTAACTTGAAAAAAATTCAGGTCCCATGGAAATTTTGCTTAAAAAAAGTGCATCTCCCATGCGAATTTGCACCGGTCACATGCCTTGAGAAAATTTGACCAGTACTTATAAATTAATAAAAATTACAAACTACTCATGCACAGATACATATCAGTATGTATCATTAATAATCAAAATAATAGTAGAATGGATGCGTTGTTATAACACATTAAATATTGTCTATTTCTTCTAAGCTAACGTTTTCATCAAGCTGTTGTATATGCATATATATATATATATATATATATATATATATATATATTGTATATATATTTGAATAAGGAAACATTCATAGAAAATACAGCTTAACATCTTGCACTGTTAGAATGCAATTTGAATGTTGTAAAATTTGTATTTTGCAATTTATTTATCAACATCTATACAAATTTATATGATTAGAAAACAACCTTTTAGAATAAAGATCTTGAGAGAAATACACTAAAATTACGAAATGAGATAATCAACATTTATAGTTGTCATAGATTCTTTATTATATATTTCTACTTCAAATGCATGGTAGTAAATGTTTTTACCTTAATGTAATTCGATTCCTCTTATATCACAAAAACATTTGCAAAGACAAAACCACTATATACACCCTCGCACGTTAGAATATTTGGATAGTAATCTCATTGGCAATAACAACACACCTGTTTTTTGTACTGTTTATGTTTCTGTCGATTACATAGGGAGTGTTCAATAGAGAAAGATATGTTTATATTTATTGAATTTGATATCTGGTCTCAAGTCATAACAATTACTAGATTGACGTATTAAAAAACACTTTTTCATTAGTTAAAACATTTACAATGGTCTTTAGTTATTTTGTTGCAAATTTTAGTTTTCTGTCTCATTTGACGTAACCGCACGTTTCTCTTTGTCTATGGGCAGAATATTTATCCCAATATTAGTCCATATTACATGTAAACATTGTTTTACCTATTTCATGGCATGCAAATATTTTCAGTTGAAGATGAACTGGCTGATAAGAACTTTTCTTATCTTCGGGAGTGATCAAGATTTCTATTTTCTTCACATTAGGATTTCCAGCTACATTGATTGCACTTTCTGTAACTTTCACCTAAAATAATTCAAATGTGTTAGGCTGGTTTCAATTAAAGTTTCAATTCCTATCTTAATAATTATATATTAAGCAATTTTACACCTTTTCCACTGTAGATTTATTGTATCAGTGTAAGAGAGTGTATAATGTAGTCATATGTACAAATTATATACTGACCGTTATCGAGAACCGACATATAAAACAGCTACAGTGTTGTTTTCGCGCATACCGAACACCTTTGAGTAAAAGATGATGACTTTGTCAATTTTCACATATTTAAAGTAACGTTTGAATAGTGAACATACTTACCGTTCTTTTTATCGTGGTTCCTTCGGCATTGAAAAATGTCACAGTGTACGATATTATATTCTTTGCCGATACTAATTCTACTCTTTGCACGGACTTGGCACTTGAAGGTGTGTATTGTATTACCAGTGTAGGCTTAGAACTCATCATGGGTACCAAACCCCCTGGTCGTAAGTTTTCTATCTTTGCTATGTCATCATTTACTTTTATTTCACTAGATGGAATTGTTGTTGGTGATTCCATTCCCTCTGATATATCACATACTGGTGTGGTACTTGAAACTATTAAAACAAGTGTTCAAATTCAACTATTCATTATTATGTCAACTGGGTTCAATGATCTGATTTTTTATTCAAACTGGCAACTTATAGGTTGGAGATAGTTTTAGTCATAGTTTTAGATGTTTTAAATATCTTATAATGATGAGCATGAAATATATTTGCCTAAAGACGGTGTAAGATATTGATCTTTTGATGAGAAGTACCAAGTGTGATTATATTTTTCAACTTACCTGTTGATGTGAGTGATGGGACTGCACTTGTCGTCGACACAACACTTACTACTTTCATTTCAGTCGTTGTACCTGTAGGAGTTTCATACAAATTCACATATGAATAACACTTCCATACAATAAATCTAGCTATCAAGTGTTATACCTTTGTCTTAAGTCAATTTCTCAAGATAAACAGAAAATACAAAATTTAGTTGATCTCTATATAATGACTATCAAGTTTCGTATGAATACTTATTTATCAAGTATTTATTCAGTTATGACTAAGATACATACAAATACACATTGAGATCATTTTTTCAATTTTTCTAATCCGTTTGTATTTCTGTTGATCAGATATTACATATAACAACCGATAGTTTTTCTCACTATAGAGATTTAACTTATGTAATATGGTTTTTTCTAGAAATACATTAAAAGTTCAAGGCCCATTATGTATTTCTGAATGACAATGCTTAAAACAGTATGCATTTTTTTTTTGTTGGCAATATATATATATATATATATATATATATGCAAGACTTGATCATTTTTGAAATTAAGCCTACATACATTTTTTTGTTTGCAGATTCATGGAAATAAACAAATGGCAACCCAGGATAAGGGTAGTTTTAACAGAAAACACTTGTCAGTTCTACAGTTTAATATACTGATGAATAAAAAAATCATCTGCATACCTATTGGAGTCACTTGTTTTGTAGACCCTCTCAAAGGTGTAGTGTGCTCTGAAGTCACCTTTTCGGTGGACTGTTCACTTGTCATTTTCACTGAAGTTTTAGTTGTTGCAACAATAGGAGTAGTTTGTCTACTTGTTTTCTTTATGGTTGTTTCCACAGTAGAAGGCACAGGGGAAGTAACTACCTCTGATGAAATAATACCAGTCGTAAGTTTGATTCCTCCTGCCGTAGTTGTGACTCTCGTTTCGCCAGCAGGTGTTGTTTTTTCACTCGATATTCCTTCAGTGGATTTCGCTGATGACACGATCATTGTGCTTTTTGCAGCTGATTTCCCACCTGCAGTTGACGTCTTACCAGCTGTTGACGTCACTGGTGATTCTACTCTCACACTCGTTTTAGTTGAAGCAACAGACGGTGTAGAAACAATTGATGGTATTTCAATAGTTGTTGTCCCTATAAAGTTAGAAATTATGCTTTATCTTTCCTTAAAATTAAAAGTTACCGACTTTATTTTTGCAAATCAAGGTGAAATAAGTCATCAAAGATTCAAGGCTTATACATTGGTACGCCAGACACTTGAAAGCTGCATTCTTTCTGCCTATTTGTGTTCATAAACCTTTTTAAGAACATCAATTTTCAACGTTATTTTGTCTTTGTCAGATGAACTTGATTAGCTACATATACATTTAGGGACCGGTCGAAATTTCTCAAGGCATAGGACCGGTGCAAAACCAAAATGAACTATAAAAAAAACTTGAAGTCCCATGGTTATGCAAGTGAAAAAAAGGTGATGTCCCATTCTATTTTGCAACAAAAATAGTTGGTGTCCCATGTTAATTCATACAGTATAAACTCACATAAAGTCCTTTAAACCAATGGGCCAGATAAGCATACATCATTCAAATAATGCTGAATTTAATTTTTTGAAGTCATTATCTGAAGTTTTGTTTTTTTGTTTTTTTTTTTTTTTTTGCGATTTGTTTACTTTTTTTATGTCACGCTTATTTTGTTGTACAGCAATTAGTTATTTCAAAAAATCTTTTTGCTACGCCAAAGACATATATACATGTCTCTGTCCTCGCCAATATTTATTTTAGAAAATGTTTTTGCCAAGCTTTAGTTTATTGAAAAAAAAGTTCTCGCCCTGCTATTAAATAATCAGAAAACTTGTATATATGTAAATATGATAATTTATTTTAACTAAAATGTGTATATACTTCAAATTAAATAAATTATTCCGATTGTTTTCGTGTTCACTTGTCATCCAATTACAAGAAAATCTCCAATATCAGATATTTGGACCTGTATGGAAATATACTGCATTCAGATTGTATTACCAGTACATGTACTTATAGGGACTCTTTATTTGTAGGAGGGATGGGCCAGTCCATTCTCATTTTTACTGAATATTATATTTATTTGTGTACATGTAATTCAATATCATTTTAATCGAGTTACCATATCTATTCTTTTTATTTGTCCAATTACACTAAAAGATTCTTTCTTAAGCAATTTGTTACCTTATCTTTCCTGATACTGTGGAATCATTATTATTCGTTGGATACCAATTTTCGTGTTTTTCGTGGGTATCGGTGAACCAAGAATTTCAATGTTCAACGAATTATAAATTTTCTATCAGGTTATATGCAGACTTTGGCAAAACCACGAAATCACATATCAACGAAAAGGCAAAATTTCTTCAATCCACGAAAATAAATGAATCCACAGTACATGATACTTAATACATCACTGTGTGTTAAAATTTTGGAAAATTCATTTGAATGAATATTAAATTATTCATATGGGTATAAAAGCGAAATTTTACTCTTGGTTTTAATTTAATAGAATAATGGATGGAACAAAGTAAATCAGACTTTAAATTGTTTTTTTGATCATGCTGATTGTTGATGGGGAATCTCTTTTAATTCTGTTTTCCTTGTCGGTAATAAAATTATAGAATATATTTATGAAAATTCAATGTTCTGACCACTGCACAGAAAATACTGACTTTGTCCCCACTCCCTCAAAAAAAATATCAAAAGCAAAAACGAATTCTTTCGAAATATCATATGTTAGAATCATACAAAAGAAATAATTCTAGATAAAAATACTATCCTGTTTCATAACCTTATTTTACACAATGTTTTCACCAAAACTACCTATTCACATCAATAACACTCATATGTACATCCCCCCTTAACAAAACAAATCAAACAACCCTGAAATTCAAGAGACTTATAACCATTTAATACTAGTAGATATTTGTATAAAGGAACTAAAATATTAACTCACAACAAAGGCTTTTTGAAGTATCAACCTAAATATGTCAAATATAGTACCACATCCTGTGTTTGTTTTCCTTCTAGGGGACGAATAGGTGCAGGGGAGTGAAACATAGGCTCTTCCTCGTTCTTATGTGGGACTGATATAGATCCCAGGTTTTATGCAGATGAAATTGGAATAACAAATTGTAAAAAGGTAAAAACTTGTGAAGAAAAAAAAACTTATTGCATACATTTATATTCTAATTTGAATTATTCAGACAGTCCATCTTTGATAATGACCATTACTTTTTCAAATCAAATGGGATTTTCATAACACTTGAAAGCTATTTCCAGTATGTTCTTACAAGTAGCAAATTTTATTTACATTAAGAAATTTTGCTCTCCATTGTTATAAACTTAATCAATATGTGAAAAAATTTCTTGAACTGTTTCAAATCATCTGGGATTTTTATATAGCTTGACCGCTACCTCCTTTTTATACTGTTCTTACAAATGCCAAAATCTGTTTTTCATGTAGATTTATTACTGTCAATTTTTATGCTTTATAAAAGGTAAACATTTCAGTTGGGAATAAATTCAGATACCAATAGTCATCTTTGAGAATTTTTTTATCTTTTTAAAATGACCTGAGATTTTCATAAATAGGGGCCATTATGTCATGTATATACTGTTCTTATAATATGCCAAATTTTAATTCATTTGGAGATCTACTGTATTAAATAGGCAAATTATATAATTGTTTTCAGTAAACGATGATTGTCAATGATAGATATTATCATTTTCTTTTCAAATTGTTTAAGATTGTTATAGACCTTTACAAGTATAAACGGTCCCTAATTAAAAAAAAGTCAATGTACCATGCACATCTAACTTGAAAAAAATTCAGGTCCCATGGAAATTTTGCTTAAAAAAAGTGCATCTCCCATGCGAATTTGCACCGGTCACATGCCTTGAGAAAATTTGACCAGTACTTATAAATTAATAAAAATTACAAACTACTCATGCACAGATACATATCAGTATGTATCATTAATAATCAAAATAATAGTAGAATGGCTGCGTTGTTATAACACATTAAATATTGTCTATTTCTTCTAAGCTAACGTTTTCATCAAGCTGTTGTATATGCATATATATATATATATATATATATATATTGTATATATATTTAAATAAGGAAACATTCATAGAAAATACAGCTTAACATCTTGCACTGTTAGAATGCAATTTGAATGTTGTAAAATTTGTATTTTGCAATTTATTTATCAACATCTATACAAATTTATATGATTAGAAAACAACCTTTTAGAAGAAAGATATTGAGAGAAATACACTAAAATTACGAAATGAGATAATCAACATTTATAGTTGTCATAGATTCTTTATTATATATTTCTACTTCAAATGCATGGTAGTAAATGTTTTTACCTAAATGTAATTCGATTCCTCTTATTTCACAAAAACATTTGCAAAGACAAAACCACTATATAAACCCTCGCACGTTAGAATATTTGGATAGTAATCTCATTGGCAATAATAACACACCTGTTTTTTGTACTGTTTATGTTTCTGTCGATTACATCGGGAGTGTTCAATAGAGAAAGATATGTTTATATTTATTGAATTTGATATCTGGTCTCAAGTCAGAACAATTACTAGATTGGCGTATTAAAAAACACTTTTTCATTAGTTAAAACATTTACAATGATCTTTAGTTATTTTGTTGCATTTTTAGTTTTCTGTCTTATTTGACGTAACCGCACGTTTCTCTTTGTCTATGGGCAGATTATTTATCCCAATATTAGTCCATATTACATGTAAACATTGTTTTACCTATTTCATGGCATGCAAATATTTTCAGTTGAAGATGAACTGGCTGATAAGAACTTTTCTTATCATTGGGAGTTATCAAGATTTCTATTTTCTTCACATTAGGATTTCCAGCTACATTGATTGCACTTTCTGTAACTTTCACCTAAAATAATTCAAATGTGTTAGGCTGGTTTCAATTAAAGTTTCAATCCCAATCTTAATAATTTTATATTAAGCAATTTTACACCTGTTCCACTGTAGATTTATTGTATCAGTGTAAGAGAGTGTATAATGTAGTCATATGTACAAATTATATACTGACCGTTATCGACAACCGACATATAAAACAGCTACAGTGTTGTTTTCGCGCATACCGAACACCTTTGAGTAATAGATGATGACTACTTAAAGTAACGGTTGAATAGTGAACATACTTACCGTTCTTTTAATCGTGGTTCCTTCAGCATTGAAAAATGTCACAGTGTATGATATTATATTCTCTGTCGATACTAATTCTACTCTTTGTACGGACTTGGCACTTGAAGGTGTGTATTGTATTACCAGTGTAGGCTTAGAACTCATCATGGGTACCAAACCCCCTGGTCGTAAGTTTTCTATCTTTGCCATGTCATCATTTACTTTTATTTCACTAGATGGAATTGTTGTTGGTGACACCATTCCCTCTGATATATCACATACTGGTGTGGTACTTGAAACTATTAAAACAAGTGTTCAAATTCAACTATTTATTATTATGTCAACTTGGTTCAATGATCTGATTTTTTATTCAAACTGGCAACTTATAGGTTGGAGATAGTTTTAGTCATAGTTTTAGATGTTTTAAATATCTTATAATGATGAGCATGAAATATATTTGCCTAAAGACGGTGTAAGATATTGATCTTTTGATGAGAAGTACCAAGTGTGATTATATGTTTCAACTTACCTGTTGATGTCAGTGATGGGACTGCACTTGTCGTCGACACAACACTTAATACTTTCATTTCAGTCGTTGTACCTGTAGAAGTTTCATACAAATACACATATGAATAACACTTCCATACAAGAAATCTAGCTATCAAGTGTTATACCTTTGTCTTAAGTCAATTTCTCAAGATAAACAGAAAATACAAAATTTAGTTGATCTCTATATAATGACTATCAAGTTTCGTATGAATACTTATTTATCAAGTATTTATTCAGTTATGACTAAGATACATACAAATACACATTGAGATCATTTTGTCAATTTTTCTAATCCGTTTGCATTGCTGTTTATCAGATATTACATATAACAACCGATAGTTTTTCTCACTATAGAGATTTAACTTATGTAATATGTTTTTTTTTAGAAATACATTAAAAGCTCACGGCCCATTATGTATTTCTGAATGACAATGCTTAACACAGTATGCAGTTTATTTTTGTTGGCAATATATATATATATATATATATATATATATGTGAGACTTGATCATTTTTGAAATTAAGCCTACATACATTTTTTTGTTTGCAGATTCGTGGAAATAAACAAAAGCCAACCCAGGATAAGGGTAGTTTTAACAGAAAACACTTGTCAGTTCTACAGTTTAATATACTGATGAATAAAAAAATCATCTGCATACCTATTGGAGTCCCTTGTTTTGTAGACCCTCTCAAAGGTGTAGTGTGCTCTGAAGTCACCTTTTCGGTGGACTGTTCACTTGTCATTTTCACTGATGTTTTAGTTGTTGCAACAATAGGAGTAGTTTGTCTACTTGTTTTCTTTATGGTTGTTTCCACAGTAGAGGGCACAGGGGAAGTGACTCCTACTGATGAAATAATACCAGTCGTATGTTTGATTCCTCCTGCCGTAGTTGTGACTCTCGTTTTACCAGCAGGTGTTGTTTTTTCACTCGATATTCCTTCAGTGGATTTCGCTGATGACACGATCATTGTGCTTTTTGCAGCTGATGTCCCACCTGCAGTTGTCGTCTTACCAGCTGTTGACGTCACTGGTGATTCTACTCTTACTCTCGTTTTAGTTGAAGCAACAGACGGTGTAGAAACAATTGACGGTATTTCAATAGTTGTTGTCCCTATAAAGTTAGAAATTAAGCTTTATCTTTCCTTAAAATGAAAAGGTACCGACTTTCTTTTTGCAAATCAAGGTGAAATAAGTCATCAAAGAATCAAGGCTTATACATTGGTACGCCAGACACTTGAAAGCTGCATTCTTTCTGCCTATTTGTGTTCATAAATCTTTTTAAGAACATCAATTTTCAACGTTATTTTGTCTTTGTAACATGAACTTGATTAGCTACATATACATTTAGGGACCGGTCGAAATTTCTCAAGGCATAGGACCGGTGCAAAACCAAAATAAACTATAAAAATAACTTGAAGTCCTATGGTTATGCAAGTGAAGAAAAGGTGATGTCCCATTCTTTTTTGCAACAAAAAAAGTTGGTGTCCCATATTAATTCAAACAGTATAAACTCACATAAAGTCCTTCAAACCAATGGGCCAGACAAGCATTCATCATTCAAATAATGCTAAATTTAAATTTTTGAAGTTATTATCTGAGTTTGCTTCTTTTTTTTTTTGCGATTTGTTTACTTTTTCATAAATTGAGGTAAATTTTATGGCCTTCCAAATAACGTTTCAATTCTTAACATCACTGAAGAGACATTAATTGTCGAAATCCGGATATGGTGTACAAATTTTTGCACCTCATGTTTGCGGTATACCATCTTTTCCGCAACTTTATTGTTTTCTGTTTGGTATTAAATTAATAATAAAGATCCATTTTGTTACATCTTGTGATCCGTTTATTTGGCAATCGCCAATGGCAGTCAGCAGGGTTTAAGAACATCCGTTGTTCGACCTAATAGTCAAATTCGTTTTGTTTAAATATACTTTTTCACTTTTTTGGTCTTTTGGAAAATGTTGTTTGTGCTGTATTAAGACCCCTCTACCAAGAAATTTGTTTTGCATGCACACGTATAAAAATTGCGGTTTTTATCCAACGCAATCATAGGTTTGAACGTTGTTTTCAATTGAGACTTAATTATATATATCATATATATATTTGGATAAGGACATATTAAAAGAAAATTCAGCTTAACATCTTGCATTGTAAATAAACTCATCATAGATACTAGGATTAAATTTTGTATTTGCGCCAGACGCGCGTTTCGTCTACAAAAGACTCATCAGTGACGCTGGAAGAATGCAACTTGAATGTTGTAAAATTTGTATTTTGTAATTGATTTATAAACATCTATACAAATTTATATGATTAGAAAACAACCTTTTAGAAGAAAGATCTTGAGAGAAATACACTAAAATTACGAAATGAGATAATCAACATTTATAGTTGTCATAGATTCTATATTATATATTTCTACTTCAAATGCATAGTAGTAAATGTTTTTACCAGAATGTAATTCGATTCCTCTTATTTCATAAATACAATTGCAAAGACAAAACGACTATATACACCCTCGCACTTTAGTAGATTCGGATAGTAATCTCATTGGCAATAATAAGATTTTTATTTTTGTACTGTTTATGTTTCTGTCGATTACATGGGGAGTGTTCAATAGAGAAGAATATGGTTTTATCCTGCAATTGGGTGTCTTATCATACATTTACATCCCAACAGATATCTCTAGGCTGTATCTGTATACAGATATCGCTTTAAAGCTCCGCCAACTGCCGGACTATGTTTGTGTATTGCTGTTGACGAGTGTTGTATGAACCTGCGTGACCTCAGAATGTGTATTGCAGTCGCACTCCAGTGACGTATTGCTTGACCTCATGCGAACTATAGATTAATTTACGTTCTGTTTGTTTTCAAGCATTTCGTTACTGCAATATGAATTAAACCCATTTTCTGCTAACAGACAAACACGAACAGAAGGATTAACTCCATTTTATACGGCACCAATCATCGAGGACAAATCATACACTTTTGTTTTAAATCGGACAATGTTTTGATATTCTAATTTACTGTTGAAATTAGTTGTTATGTTACAATAAATAATTATTTACTTTGAGCGATGTATTATTGTTGACCGTTCGAGATTCTTTTCTGCGAACCCGTCTTCAGCTGAATGTGTGATTTTAATATTACTACGCGGGCCTCAAAGGATTTAAAATCGAAAATAAATGCATTAAATGTGAGTTTTTATGTCTTTCAAAGCAAAAACAATATACAAAATTAATTGCAGGATAAAGACAATAACTGTTTAGTGTCTTTAAATATCAGCTGTATTTGTACTCGGCTCGAAACAGGAGTGATAGCTCGCTGAAGCTCGCATTACACCTGTTTCTGAGCCTCGTACAAATACAGCTGATATTTAAAGACACTAAACAGTTATTGTCTATATATTTATTGAATTTGATATCTGGTCTCAAGTCAGAACGATTACTAGATTGGCGTATTAAAAACACTTTTTCATTAGTTAACACATTTACAATGGTCTTTAGTTATATTGTTGTATTTTCAGTTTTCTGTCTCATTTGACGTAACCGCACATCTCTCTTTGTCTATGGGCAGATTATGTATCCCAATGTCAGTCCATATTACATGTAAAAATTGTTTTACCTATTTCATGGCATGCAAATATTTTCAGTTGAAGATGAACTGGCTGATAAGAACTTTTCCTATCTTCGGGAGTGATCAAGATTTCTATTTTCTTCACATTAGGATTTTCAGCTACATTGTTTGCACTTTCTGTAACTTTTACCTAAAATAATTCAAATGTGTTAGGCTGGTTTTAATTAGAGTTTCAATCTTAATAATTTTATATTAAGCAATTTTACACCTTTTCCACTGTAGATTTATTGTATCAGTGTAAGAGGGTGTATGATGAAGTCAAATGTTCGAATCATATACTGACCGTTATCGACACCCGACATATAAAACATCTACAGTGTTGTTTTCGCGCATACCGAACTCCTTTGAGTAAAAGATGATAACTTTGTCAATTTTCACATACTTAAAGTAAGGTGTGTTTGAATAGTGAACATACTTACCGTTCTTTTTATCGTGGTTCCTTCAGCATTGAAAAATGTCACAGTGTACGATATTATATTCTCTGTCGATACTAATTCTACTCTTTGCACGGACTTGGCACTTGAAGGTGTGTATTGTATTACCAGTGTAGGCTTAGAACTCATCATGGGTACCAAACCCCCCGGTCGTAAGTTTTCTATCTTTGCCATGTCATCATTTACTTTTATTTCACTAGATGGAATTGTTGTTGGTGATACCATTCCCTCTGATATATCACATACTGGTGTGGTACTTGAAACTATAAAAACAAGTGTTCAAATTTAACTATTTATTATTATGTCAACTGGGTTCTATGATCTAATTTTTTATTCAAACTGACAACCTTTAGGTAGATACTTTTAGTCACAGTTTTAGATGTTTTAAATATCTTATAATTATGAGCATGAAATATATTTGTCTAAAGACGGTGTAAGATATTTGATCTTTTGATTAGAAGTACCAAGTGTGATTATATGTTTCAACTTACCCGTTGATGTGAGTGATGGGACTGCACTTGTCGTCGATACAACACTCAGAACTTTCATTTCAGTCGTTGTACCTGTAGAAGTTTCATACAAATACACATATGATTAACACTTCCATTCTATAAATCTAGCTGTCAAGTTTTATACCTTTGTCTTAAGTCAATTTCTTAAGATGAACAGAAAAAATAAATTTAGTTGATCTCTATATAATGACTATCAAGTTTCGTATGAATACTTATTTATCGAGTATTTATTCAGTTATAACTAAGATACATACAAATACACATTGAGACAATTTTTTCAATTTTCCTAATCCGTTTGCATTGCTGTTGATCAGATATTACAAATAACAACCGATAATTTTTCTCACTATAGTCTTAACTTATGTTATATAATGCTTCTGCTGTTGTCTGTTCTATGGTCGGGTTGTTGTCTCTTTGACACATTCCCCATTTCCATTCTCAATTTTATTAAAACAGTATTCTTTTTTTGTTGGCAGTATATATATATGCGAGACTTGATAATTTTTTAAGTTAAGCCTACGTACATATTTTTGTTTGCGAGTCAAGCAAATATACAAATGGCGCTGCTCAGTTTCAAAATAACAAGCTTTTCGAATCACTGGTAAATATTGATAGGGGATTGATAAAGGAACTAAAACAGCAAAAAACATTATATGTCCGTGTCCTTGTTTTAGAGATATAAGCTATTACAAATATGGCAGGGAGCATATACTCTCTTAATTTTTCATAGCTTTATAATTGACACGTTTTATTTCTCAAAATATATTAGAAAATAACAAGGATTATATAAGATTTTTACAAATGGCTTCTTATCTTGTATGTAAAAGATTTATGAAAAGAAAAAGTAGTGTTAGTAAATATCTTATGGCATTCAAATAGATATAACCAGATGATTCCGAAAATCTGACAAAAACTCTAAAGCATGGCTAGCAAACATCCTTAACAGCAAAGACTATTCAGTTCTACAGTTTAATATACTGACGAATAGAAAAATCACATGCATACCTTTTGGAGTCACTTGTTTTGTAGATCCTCTCAAAGGTGGAGTGTGCTCTGAAGTCAATTTCTCAGTGGACTGTACGCTTGTCATTTTCACCGATGTTTCAGTTGTTGCAACAATAGTAGTTTTTTTACTTGTTTTCTTTATGGTTGTTTCCACAGTAGTGGGCACAATGGAAGTAACTCCCTCTGATGAAATAATACCAGTGGTATGTTTGATTCCTCCTGCCGTAGTTGTAACTTTTGTTTTACCAGCAGGTGTTGTTTTTTCACTCGATATTCCTTCGGTGGATTTCGCTGATGACACGATCATTGTGCTTTTTGCTGATGTCGTCTTACCAGCTGCTGACGTCACTGGTGATTCTACTCTTTCACTCGTTTTAGTTGAAGCAACAGACGGTGTAGAAACAATTGACGGTATTTCATTAGTTGTTGTCCCTATAAAGATAGAAATTATGCTTTGTCTTTCCTTAAAATTAAAAGTTACCTGCTTTGTTTTTGCAAATCAAGGGGAAATAAGTCATCAAAGTTTCAAGGCTTATACTTTGGTACGCCAGACAGGTGAAAACTGTATTCTTTCTGCCTATTTCTGTTTATAAATATTTTTCAGAATATCATTTTTCAACGCTAATTTTTCTTTGTCACATGAACTTGATAAGCTAAATAAACATTTATATATATATATATATATGTATATTGCGGAAGCAAATTTTTGTTCTTACCTCGCCGGGATTCGAACTACATATATAAATAAAACTTATAAACTTCTCATGCACAGATATATATATTTTAAAAAATGCAAATAGTAGTAGAATGGCTACGTGGTTATAACACATTACACTGTCTATTTCTTCTAAGCTAACGTTTTCATGTCTTCTTGGAGAATCATCAGGATTATATACATCTTTGGTAGATTTGGATAGTAGTACCATTTGCAATAATACCACACCTGCTTTTTATACTGTTTATGTTTCTGTCAATTACATCTGGTGTGTTCAAGAGAGAAAGATATGTTTATATTTTTTGAATTTGATATCTAGTCTCAAGTCAACACAAATACTAGCTTGGCGTATTAAAAAACACTTTTTCATTAGTTGAAAACTTTACAATGCTCTTTAGTTATTTTGTTGTATTTTTTTTCAGTTTTCTGTCTCATTTGACGTAATCGCACATCTCTTTTCACCTATGAGGAGTTTATTTATCCCAATGTCAGTCCAAATTACATGTAAAAATTGTTTTACCTATTTCATGGCATGCAAATATTTTCAGTTGAAGATGAACTGGCTGATAAGAACTTTTCTTATCTTCAGGAGTAATCAAGATTTCTATTTTCTTCACATTAGGATTTCCAGCTACATTGTTTGCACTTTCTGTAACTTTCACCTAAAATAATTCAAATGCGTTAGGCTGGTTTCAATTAAGTTGCAATCCCAATCTTAATAATTTTATATTAAACAATTTTCACATACATAAAGTAACGTTTAAATAGTGAACATACTTACCGTTCTTTTTATCGTCGTTCCTTCAGCATTGAAAAATGTCACAGTGTACGATATTATATTCTCTGTCGATACTAATTCTACTCTTTGCACGGACTTGGCACTTGAAGGTGTGTATTGTATTACCAGTGTAGGCTTAGAACTCATCATGGGTATCAAACTTCCTGGTCGTAAGTTTTCTATCTTTGCCATGTCATCATTTACTTTTATTTCACTAGATGGAATTGTTGTTGGTGACACCATTCCCTCTGATATATCACATACTGGTGTGGTACTTGAAACTATTAAAACAAGTGTTCAAATTCAACTATTAATTATTATGTCAACTGGGTTCAATGATCTGATTTTTTATTCAAGGTGACAATTTATAGGTAGGAGATATTTTTAGTCATAGTTTTAGATGTTTTAAATATTTTATAATGATGAGCATGGAATAAATTTGTCTAAAGACGGTGTAAGATATTTGATCTTTTGATGAGAAGTACCAAGTGTAATTATATGTTCCAACTTACCCGTTGATGTGAGTGATGGGACTGCACTTGTCGTCGATACAACACTTAGTACTTTCATTTCAGTCGTTGTACCTGTAGAAGTTTCATACAAATACGCATATGAATAACATTCCCATACAATAAATCTAGCTATCAAGTGTTATACCTTTGTCTTAAGTCAATTTCTCATGATAAACAGAAAATACAAAATTTAGTTAATCTCTATATAATGACTATCAAGTTTCGTATGAATACTTATTTATCAAGTATTAATTCAGTAATGATTTAGATACCTACAAATACACATTGAGAGAAATGTCTTTTAATTTTTCTAATCTGTTTGGATTGCTGTTCATCAGATATTACATATAACAACCAATAGTTTTTATCACTAAAGAGACTTAGCTTATGTTATATAAATTTTTAAAAAATACATTAAAAGCTCAAAATCCATTATGTTTTTCTGAACAACAATGATTTCAACAGTATGGGTTTTTTTTTTCTTGGCAATAAATATATGCGAGACTTGATAATTTTTTAAGTTAAGCCTACATACATATTTTTGTTTGCAGATTCATGCAAATGGACAAATGGCAATACAGGATTAGAGTAGTTTTAACAGCAAACACTTGTCAGTTCTACAGTTTAATATACTGATGAATAAAAAAAAAATCAACTGCATACCTATTGGAGTCACTTGTTTTGTAGACCCTCTCAAAGGTGCAGTGTGCTCTGAAATAACCTTTTCAGTGGATTGTTCACTTGTCATTTTCACTGATGCCTCAGTTGTTGCAACAATAGGAGTAGTTTGTCTACTTGTTTTCTCTATGGGTGTTTCCACAGTAGAGGACACAGGGGAAGTAACTCCTACTGATGAAATAATACCAGTCGTATGTTTGATTCCTCCTGCCGTAGTTGTAACTCTCGTTTTACCAGCAGGTGTTGTTTTTTCACTCGATATTCCTTCAGTGGATTTCGCTGATGACACGATCATTGTGCTTTTTGCTGATGATGGCCCACCTGAAGTTGTCGTCTTACCAGCTGCTGACGTCACTGGTGATTCTACTCTTACACTCGTTTTTGTTGAAGCAACAGACGGTGTAGAAACAATTGACGGTATTTCAATAGTTGTTGTCCCTATAAAGATAGAAATTATGCTTTGTCTTTCCTTAAAATTAAAAGTTACCGACTTTATTTTTGCAAATCAAGGTGAAATAAGTCATCAAAGATTCAAGGCTTATACTTTGGTACGCCAGACAGGTGAAAACTGTATTCTTTCTGCCTAATTGTGTTTATAGAACTTTTTGAGAACATCATTTTTCAACGCTATTGTGTATTTGTCACATGAACTTGATTAGCTACATAAACATATATTAGACGAGTTGTATATATATATATATATATATATATATATATATATATAGATATAAAATAAATTACAAACTACTCATGCACAGATATATATATATATATATATACTTTTATAAATTGTTACTTGGATGTAGAGTTGTCTCATTGGCACTCATACCACATCTTCCTATATCTATATATATTAAAAATCCAAATAGTAGAATGGCTGCGTAGTTATAATACATTAAATATTATCTATTTCTTCTAAGCTAACGTTTCATGTCTTCTTGGAGAATCATCAGGATTATATACATCCTTGCACTTTGGTAGATTTGGATAGCAGTGTCATTTGCAATAATAACACACCTGCTTTTTATTCTGTTTATGTTTCTGTCGATTACATCGGGTGTGTTCAACAGAGAAAGATATGCTTATATTCATTGAATTTGATATCTAGTCTCAAGTCAGAACGATTACTAGATTGGCCTATTAAAAAACACTTTTTCATTAGTTAATAAAGTTACAATGATCTTTAGTTATTTTGTTGTATTTTCAGTTTTCTGTCTCATTTGACGTAACCGGACGTTTCTCTTTGTCTATGGGCAGATTATTTATCCCAATGTCAGTCTATGTTACATGTAAAAATTGTTTTACCTATTTCATGGCATGCAAATATTTTCAGTTGAAGATGAACTGGCTGATAAGAACTTTTCTTATCCTCGGGAGTGATCAAGATTTCTATTTTCTTCACATTAGGATTTCCAGCTACATTGTTTGCACTTTCTGTAACTTTCACCTAAAATAATCCAAATCTGTAAGGCTGGTTTCAATTAGTTTCAATCCCAATCTTAATAATTTTATATTAAGTAATTTCACACCTTTTCCACTGTAGATTTATTGTATCAGCGTACGAGAGTGTATAATGAAGTCAAATGTACAAATTATATACTGACCGTTATCGACACCCGACATATAAAACATCTACAGTGTTGTTTTCGCGCATACCGAACACCTTTGAGAAAAAGATGATGACTACTTAAAGTAACGGTTGAATAGTGAACATACTTACCGTTCTTTTAATCGCGGTTCCTTCAGCATTGAAAAATGTCACAGTGTACGATATTATATTCTCTGTCGATACTAATTCTACTCTTTGCACGGACTTGGCACTTGAAGGTGTGTATTGTATTACCAGTGTAGGCTTAGAACTCATCATGGGTATCAAACCTCCTGGTCGTAAGTTTTCTATCTTTGCCATGTCATCATTTACTTTTATTTCACTAGATGGAATTGTTGTTGGTGACACCATTCCCTCTGATATATCACATACTGGTGTGGTACTTGAAACTATTAAAACAAGTGTTCAAATTCAACTATTAATTATTATGTCAACTGGGTTCAATGATGAAATTTTTTATTCAAGGTGACAACTTATAGGTTGGAGATAGTTTTAGTCATAGTTTTAGATGTTTTAAATATCTTATAATGATGAGCATGAAATATATTTGCCTAAAGACGGTGTAAGATATTGATCTTTTGATGAGAAGTACCAAGTGTGATTATATGTTTCAACTTACCTGTTGATGTGAGTGATGGGACTGCACTTGTCGTCGACACAACACTTAATACTTTCATTTCAGTCGTTGTACCTGTAGAAGTTTCATACAAATACACATATGAATAACACTTCCATACAATAAATCTAGCTATCAAGTCTTATACCTTTGTCTTAAGTCAATTCCTCATGATAAACAGAAAATACAAAATTTAGTTAATCTCTATATAATGACTATCAAGTTTCGTATGAATACTTATTTATCAAGTATTAATTCAGTAATGATTTAGATACCTACAAATACACATTGAGAGAAATGTCTTTTAATTTTTCTAATCTGTTTGGATTGCTGTTCATCAGATATTACATATAACAACCAATAGTTTTTATCACTAAAGAGACTTAGCTTATGTAATATAAATTTTTAAAAAATACATTTAAAGCTCAAAATCCATTATGTTTTTCTGAACAACAATGATTTCAACAGTATGCGGTTTTTTTTTTCTTGGCAATAAATATATGCGAGACTTGATAATTTTTTAAGTTAAGCCTACATACATATTTTTGTTTGCAGATTCATGCAAATGGACAAATGGCAATACAGGATTAGAGTAGTTTTAACAGCAAACACTTGTCAGTTTTACAGTTTAATATACTGATGAATAAAAAAATCATCTGCATACCTATTGGAGTCACTTGTTTTGTAGACCCTCTCAAAGGTGTAGTGTGCTCTGAAGTCACCTTTTCGGTGGACTGTTCACTTGTCATTTTCACTGATGTTTTAGTTGTTGCAACAATAGTAGTTTGTCTACTTGTTTTCTTTATGGTTGTTTCCACAGTAGAGGGCACAGGGGAAGTAACTCCTACTGATGAAATAATACCAGTCGTATGTTTGATTCCTCCTGCCGTAGTTGTAATTCTCGTTTTACCAGCAGGTGTTGTTTTTTCACTCGATATTCCTTCAGTGGATTTCGCTGATGACACGATCATTGTGCTTTTTGCTGATGATGGCCCACCTGAAGTTGTCGTCTTACCAGCTGCTGACGTCACTGGTGATTCTACTATTACACTCGTTTTTGTTGAAGCAACAGACGGTGTAGAAACAATTGACGGTATTTCAATAGTTGTTGTCCCTATAAAGATAGAAATTATGCTTTGTCTTTCCTTAAAATTAAAAGTTACCGACTTTATTTTTGCAAATCAAGGTGAAATAAGTCATCAAAGATTTAAGGCTTATACTTTGGTACGCCAGACAGGTGAAAACTGTATTCTTTCTGCCTAATTGTGTTTATAAAAATTTTTGAGAACATCATTTTTCAACGCTATTTTGTATTTGTCACATGAACCTGATTAGCTACATAAACATATATTAGACGAGTTGTATATATATATATATAAAATAAATTACAAACTACTCATGCACAGATATATAATATTTTTGTTTGCAGATTCATACAGAGAACTCGGCTGTGTATTTTTATATGTTGGATTAAGTTGTTTTATGTAATGTATCCGTTTTTATTCTGTAGTTAGTCCCCACTTTGGTTTGATCATGTATATCTATTATATAGTCATTTTATAAAATTTACTGTTTGCAAAATTATAAATTATTCTAAATAACAAGGATGTTCTTGTCCCAGGCATAAAATCCTGGCCGTGTTAGGCGCAACTTTTTGGAAGTTTTGGTCCTCGGTGCTCTTCAGCTTTGTACTTGTTTTGGCTTTCAAACTTTTTTTTATCTGAGCGTCACTGGTTGATCTTGTGTGGACAAGACGCACGTCTGGCGTATTGAATTTTAAGCCTAGTACCTTCTGCTATCTATTATTCGTGTGTTTCTTTGTCCTTTATGTTCTCCCATTTATTTGTATTGTGGTCCTGTCATGTGATGTTGTCGTTTTGGTGTTGTGTTTGACGTTGCCATAAAAGCGGGAGCTTTGGCATGCCACAAAACCAGGTTCAACCCACCATTTTTTTCTTAAAATGTCCTGTACCAAGTCAGGAAAATGGCCATTGTTATATTATAGTTCGTTTTTGTGTGTGTTACATTTTAATGTTGTGTTTTTGTTGTGTCGTTGTTCTCCTCTTATATTTGATGCGTTTCCCTCAGTTTTAGTTTGTAACCCGGATTTGTTTTTATCTCTATCGATTTATGAGTTTCGAACAACGGTATACTACTGTTGCCTTTATTTATATATATATATATATATATATATATATATATATATATATATATATATATATATATATACTTTTATAAATTGTTACTTGGATGTAGAGTTGTCTCATTGGCACTCATACCACATCTTCCTATATCTATATATATTAAAAATCCAAATAGTAGAATGGCTTCGTAGTTATAATACATTAAATATTATCTATTTCTTCTAAGCTAACGTTTTCGTGTCTTCTTGGAGAATCATCAGGATTATATACATCCTCGCACTTTGGTAGATTTGGATAGCAGTGTCATTTGCAATAATAACACACCTGCTTTTTATTCTGTTTATGTTTCTGTCGATTACATCGGGTGTGTTCAACAGAGAAAGAAATGCTTATATTTATTGAATTTGATATCTAGTCTCAAGTCAGAACGATTACTAGATTGGCCTATTAAAAAACACTTTTTCATTAGTTAATAAAATTACAATGATCTTTAGTTATTTTGTTGTATTTTCAGTTTTCTGTCTCATTTGACGTAACCGGACGTTTCTCTTTGTCTATGGGCAGATTATTTATCCCAATGTCAGTCTATGTTACATGTAAAAATTGTTTTACCTATTTCATGGCATGCAAATATTTTCAGTTGAAGATGAACTGGCTGATAAGAACTTTTCTTATCCTCGGGAGTGATCAAGATTTCTATTTTCTTCACATTAGGATTTCCAGCTACATTGATTGCACTTTCTGTAACTTTCACCTAAAATAATCCAAATCTGTAAGGCTGGTTTCAATTAGTTTCAATCACAATCTTAATAATTTTATATTAAGTAATTTCACACCTTTCCCACTGTAGATTTATTGTATCAGCGAAAGAGAGTGTATAATGAAGTCAAATGTACAAATTATATACTGACCGTTATCGACACCCGACATATAAAACATCTACAGTGTTGTTTTCGCGCATACCGAACACCTTTGAGAAAAAGATGATGACTAATTAAAGTAACGGTTGAATAGTGAACATACTTACCGTTCTTTTAATCGTGGTTCCTTCAGCATTGAAAAATGTCACACTGTACGATATTATATTCTCTGTCGATACTAATTCTACTCTTTGCACGGACTTGGTACTTGAAGGTGTGTATTGTATTACCAGTGTAGGCTTAGAACTCATCATGGGTATCAAACCTCCTGGTCGTAAGTTTTCTATCTTTGCCATGTCATCATTTACTTTTATTTCACTAGATGGAATTGTTGTTGGTGACACCATTCCCTCTGATATATCACATACTGGTGTGGTACTTGAAACTATTAAAACAAGTGTTCAAATTCAACTATTAATTATTATTTCAACTGGGTTCAATGATGAAATTTTTTATTCAAGGTGACAATTTATAGGTAGGAGATATTTTAAGTCATAGTTTTAGATGTTTTGAATATTTTATAATGATGAGCATGGAATAAATTTGTCTAAAGACGGTGTAAGATATTTGATCTTTTGATGAGAAGTACCAAGTGTAATTATATGTTCCAACTTGGTATCAAACCATATGGGTATGGTCGTAAGTTTTCTATCTTTGCCATGTCATCATTTACTTTTATTTCACTAGATGGAATTGTTGTTGGGGACACCATTCCCTCTGATATATCACATACTGGTGTGGTACTTGGTCCGAGTACACAGTTATTTCGTAGTGCATTTCTTTTAGACAATAAATGAAAATTAAAAAAATCCCACCTGCGCTTTCTCAATAATATTTTTACAGTGTGTTGTACTACTTTTGGGACAAATTATATCAAAATTATAGAAAACTTCATCGGCTCTAACTCAAAATATGGACAATTTTATGTTAAGGGGGTCTTCAAATCTTTTGACAGCTTCCGAAGTGCTAATTTTTAACATTTTTCAGCTGGACCAAATCACTACTTTACTTTGAAATTCATGACCCAAATTTTTTTACAGTGTCATTTCACCCCCTACTTGCTATTTGAGTCATAAAACATGGAGAAATAAATTTGGAAGGCGTATAAAATAAATTAGCAAGTAACACACTGTCCACACTAGGGACTATATTCGTGGACAACGAAAATCAAAGGACGATAACTGTGTACTCGGACCTAATAGGGTAGAAAAAATTGACCAATCTTAATAAAACTTGGTATGACCAAAGCTTAATAAATTATAAGACTGCTTACAAAGTTTCATGGCAATAGGATATATATTAAAGACAATATGACTAATTCTATATTCAACTTTGCATGTTAAATTTAGACGTTAAAATTGAAAAAATTTCAACTATCAACGTTTGGGGCTTAAAAAATTAAAATATTGCAAAAAAATATATTTGAAATGCCTTAATATATAATATATTATGTATTAAAAGCAATAGAGTACTCATTTGATTTATCAGACTTATCATAATTATTAAAAAGTCAAATTTATATGAGCCTGTGCCTAATAATGGAGGTTTTCCAATGAAGGGTGGGCCTTACATGAAGATGTAATATTTTCCAGCAATTTTAAATTTGTAAAGCTTTTTGGTTATAAATAATCCTTACATATGTATTTAATGTACTTTAAATGGAAAGAAAACTTACAAATAACATATCATATTAGTTTAAAAGGGTCTTAGGCTAAGTAAGACTGAAAATAATTTAGGGTCAATTTAGGCCGTAGCACATATTTACATTTAAAAATGCATATTGAAGCTATAGGAAATAAAAATTTGTGTCTTTTCTATCATTTCTATACTCAGGTGACATGATACAATAAATCTGAGCACAAAAAGACTCTTGCATTCAACTTTATTGCAGACAGTATGGTCTGATATAAAGATTTTTCACTTTTTAGTGAAAAACATGCATGCAATTTTAGTCTCAACAGGCTTATATTTGAACCACTTGCTATCCTACAGAAGAAAAGAAAGACATTATGTGTCATGAAACAGGTACAAAAGACATTGTTAAGTGCTTTTTATACAAATTTAGTGAGGTCTTTATTATGGACTTCAACTTTTATGTTCCAAGCTCCTCACATTTAACTTGATCCAAACAGGGCGTTAGACGAGGGTCATATATACAACACATTTTGCACATATTGTATGAGATAATCTTCTTTTCTGTAGATTCAGAGTTCACAAATGAGTAATACAACTGGATTGAAGCATAGAAACACATATATTGACACATAAAAACCTGTCAGATAGAAAGTCAGAATGCCACTTATGCATCAAAATTGAAAAAGCTATAAAATGCTTACTTTGACCATAAAATGCCCAAATTGGTCATTTTTGCAGAAATTCTATGAAATAAAAGTTTAAATACTTTAGTTTTATGCTTTTTGACAAATTGACACCATCAAATCATTCGGGGAAGTTGCCAAAGTACAGATTCTATATTTCCTGATTTCACCTCTTAGGTCCGAGTACACAGTTATTTCGTAGTGCATTTCTCTTAGACAATAAATGAAAATTAAAAAAATCCCACCTGCGCTTTCTCAATAATATTTTTACAGTGTGCTGTACTACTTTTGGGACAAATTATATCAAAATTATAGAAAACTCTTTCGGCTCTAACTCAAAATATGGACAATTTTATGTTAAGGGGGTCTTCAAATCTTTTGACAGCTTCCGAAGTGCTAATTTTTAACATTTTTCAGCTGGACCAAATCACTACTTTACTTTGAAATTCATGACCCAAATTGTTTTACAGTGTCATTTCACCCCCTACTTGCTATTTGAGTCATAAAACATGGAGAAATAAATTTGGAAGGCGTATAAAATAAATTAGCAAGTAACACACTGTCCACACTAGGGACTATATTCGTGGACAACGAAAATCAAAGGACGATAACTGTGTACTCGGACCTAATAGGGTAGAAAAAATTGACCAATCTTAATGAAACTTGGTATGACCAAAGCTTAATAAATTATAAGACTGCTTACAAAGTTTCATGGCAATAGGATATATATTAAAGACAATATGACTAATTCTATATTCAACTTTGCATGTTAAATTTAGACGTTAAAATTGAAAAAAATTCAACTATCAACGTTTGGGGCTTAAAAAATTAAAATATTGCAAAAAAATACTTTTGAAATGCCTTAATATATAATATATTATGTATTAAAAGCAATAGAGTACTCATTTGATTTATCAGACTTATCATAATTATTAAAAAGTCAAATTTATATGAGCCTGTGCCTAATAATGGAGGTTTTCCAATGAAGGGTGGGCCTTACATGAAGATGTAATATTTTCCAGCAATTTTAAATTTGTAAAGCTTTTTGGTTATAAATAATCCTTACATATGTATTTAATGTACTTTAAATGGAAAGAAAACTTACAAATAACATATCATATTAGTTTAAAAGGGTCTTAGGCTAAGTAAGACTGAAAATAAATTAGGGTCAATTTAGGCCGTAGCACATATTTACATTTAAAAATGCATATTGAAGCTATAGGAAATAAAAATTTGTGTCTTTTCTATCATTTCTATACTCAGGTGACATGATACAATAAATCTGAGCACAAAAAGACACTTGCATTCAACTTTATTGCAGACAGTATGGTCTGATATAAAGATTTTTCACTTTTTAGTGAAAAACATGCATGCAATTTTAGTCTCAACAGGCTTATATTTGAACCACTTGCTATCCTACAGAAGAAAAGAAAGACATTATGTGTCATGAAACAGGTACAAAAGACATTGTTAAGTGCTTTTTATACAAATTTAGTGAGGTCTTTATTATGGACTTCAACTTTTATGTTCCAAGCTCCTCACATTTAACTTGATCCAAACAGGGCGTTAGACGAGGGTCATATATACAACACATTTTGCACATATTGTATGAGATAATCTTCTTTTCTGTAGATTCAGAGTTCACAAATGAGTAATACAACTGGATTGAAGCATAGAAACACAAATATTGACACATAAAAACCTGTCAGATAGAAAGTCAGAATGCCACTTATGCATCAAAATTGAAAAAGCTATAAAATGCCTACTTTGACCATAAAATGCCCAAATTGGTCATTTTTGCAGAAATTCTATAAAATAAAAGTTTAAATACTTTAGTTTTATGCTTTTTGACAAATTGACACCATCAAATCATTCGGGGAAGTTGCCAAAGTACAGATTCTATATTTCCTGATTTCACCTCTTAGGTCCGAGTACACAGTTATTTCGTAGTGCATTTCTTTTAGACAATAAATGAAAATTAAAAAAATCCCACCTGCGCTTTCTCAATAATATTTTTACAGCGTGTTGTACTACTTTTGGGACAAATTATATCAAAATTATAGAAAACTCTTTCGGCTCTAACTCAAAATATGGACAATTTTATGTTAAGGGGGTCTTCAAATCTTTTGACAGCTTCCGAAGTGCTAATTTTTAACATTTTTCAGCTGGACCAAATCACTACTTTACTTTGAAATTCAAATTTTTTTACAGTGTCATTTCACCCCCCTACTTGCTATTTGAGTCATAAAACATCGAGAAATAAATTTGGAAGGCGTATAAAATAAATTAGCAAGTAACACACTGTCCACACTAGGGACTATATTCGTGGACAACGAAAATCAAAGGACGATAACTGTGTACTCGGACCACTTGAAACTATTAAAACAAGTGTTCAAATTCACCTATTTATTATTATGTCAACTGGGTTCAATGATGAAATTTGTATTCAAGGTTACAACTTTATAGGTTGGCGATATGTTTAGTTATAGTTTTAGATGTTTTAAATATTTTATAATGATGAGCATGGAATATATTTGTCTAAAGACGGTGTAAGATATTTGATCTTTTGATGAGAAGTACCAAGTGTAATTATATGTTCCAACTTACCCGTTGGCCTAAGCGATGGGACTGCACTTGTCGTCGATACAACACTTAGTACTTTCATTTCAGTCGTTGTACCTGCAGAAGTTTCATACTCATACACATATGAATAACACTCCAATACAATAAATCTAGCTATCAAGTATTATACCTTTGTCTTAAGTCAATTTCTCAAGATCAACAGAAAATACAAAATTTAGTTAATCTCTATATAATGACTATCAAGTTTCGTATGAATACTTATGTATCAAGTATTAATTCAGCAATGACTTAGATACCTACAAATACACATTGAGAGATTTTTTTTTAATTTTTCTAATTTGTTTGGATTGCTGTTCATCAGATATTACATATAACAACCAATAGTTTTTTTTCACTATAGAGACTTAACTTATGTAATATAATTTTATTTAGAAATATAGTAAAAGCTCACGACCAATTATGTATTTCTGAACAACAATGATTTAAACAGTATGCTGTTTTTTTTCTTGGCAATAAATATATTCGATACTTCATAATTGTTTGAGTTGAGCCTACATACATATTTTTGTTTGCAGATTCATGCAAATAGACAAATGGCAATCCAGGATTAGAGTAGTTTTAACAGCAAACACTTGTCAGTTCTACAGTTTAATATACTAATGAATAAAAATAAATCAGCTGCATACCTATTGGAGTCACTTGTTTTGTAGACCCTCTCGAAGTTGCAGTGTGCTTTGATATAATCTTTTCAGTGGACTGTTCATTTGTTATTTTCACTGATGTTTCGGTTGTTGCAACAATAGGAGTAGATTGTCTACTTGTTTTCTTTATGGTTGTTTCCACAGTAGAGGGCACAGGGGAAGTAACTACCTCTGATGAAATAATACCAGTCGTAAGTTTGACTTCTCCTGTCGTAGTTGTAGCTTTCGTTTTGCCAAAAGGTGTTGTTTTTTTACTAGACATTCCTTCAGTGGATTTCGCTGATGACACGATCATTGTGCTTTTTGCTGACGATGGCCCACCTGCAGTTGTTGTCTTACCAGCTGCTGACGTCACTGGTGATTCTACTCTTACACTCGTTTGAGTTGAAGCAACATACGGTGTAGAAACAATTGACTGCATTTGGATCGTTGTTGACCCTACAAAAGTACAATATATGCTCATTTTTCTTTAAATTAGCAGTCACCTGTTTAATTGTTTTAATCAAAGTGAAATAACTCACAAAGATACCTGGAACGCCAGACATGTAAAAGCGGCTTTTTGTGTTTTATAAATATATTTGAAAATACCGTTTATCAAAGTGATTTAGTCTTCGCGACATGAACATAAATATTATTTGCCACGATGTGACAGAAGCAAGGGTTCAAATCCCGCTGAGGGAAGATAAAAAATTTGCGAGCGCAAATTTACAGATCTAAAATTGTTGGGCTAAATTTGAGATGAATTATATATATATATCTATCTAAAAATAGCAACAATCAACATTCAATCTAACTAGGCGTGAATCAGATAGAAAATAAACTGATACAGTTACTAAATTAAATCATATAAATGCCTAAGAATGTAATGTTAACACGCTAATGAGTGTTATAAAAATAGTTGTTATATTTTATGTATTCAAAATAGCTCTCTCTCTGTCTTCTATTGTGATTGTCCCAATTTTTGTTTACCGCTATTATTTGAAAGGTGATATTTTAAAAAGTATGTCTTGTTCTTAAGAGGTGTAACGTGATTGGGCAGTTTCTTCCTTTGGTATAAAATGACCAGTGATTATTAAGTCTGATGTTGAATCTAGTTTCCGTTTCGCCAACAAATTGCAGCTTGCAAGTTCCACAAGTAAGAATATAAATACAATTTTCGGTTTAACAAATAAATGTTACATAGATGTTGTATCGCTTCTTTGTTACTGTGCTGGTGAAAGAGTTTTCAGTGTTGGCAACTTTACAGCACTTACAATTGCTTCTTTTGCATTGTTTGTAACACACGATTTTAGAGGTCTCTTGTTTTTTTACTTTAGATGTTAGAAGTATATCTTTGAGATTTTTGGGTCTGCGATAAGCAATAACAGGAGGTGACGGACAAATTTCTTTTAAGGAATAGTTATATTCAATAAGACTCCAGTGCTTGCGGAAAGTAGATGAAATATTTGTCAGATCGGGATGGAAGGCGACAAAAAACGGAATTCTATTTGTGCGGGTAGATATATATATTCATAGAAGATACAACTAAACTGACTGTATTGTAAGAATGCTAATTAAATGTTGAAAAAAGTTAATTTTGTAATTGATTTATCAACAACCTTGGAAGTTTATACGATTAAAAAACAACATTTTTGACAATAGATGTAGCATATAGTGATGTTTTCTGTACCATAAAATTACGAATAAAAATCATCATTTATCACTAGCCCAGTAGTCAGCACTTCAGTGTTGACATGCATTATCATTGATATCGTTGCATTTATAAAATGACTGTTTAAATACTAAGGAATTTCTACCCCAGGAATAGATTACCTTAGCTTTAATTGGAAAACCTTTCGGATTTTAGGGACCTCAATGCTCTTCAACTTCGTACTTTTTTTTGCCTTTTTTACTTTCTTGATTCGAGTGTCGCTGATGAGTTTTTTGTAGACGAAACGCGCGTCTGTCGTTCAAATTTTAATACTGGTATCTATGATGAGTTTATTGAGGATTGATATTTCAACAGACAGTCAGTATTCCAATGGGTACTAATTGTGAACCTCACTGGCCGACTTGTTTTTGTACTCGTATGAAGCAGAATTCATTCAGAAACTTCTAAAAGACAAAAAGAAAAAGCACCTTACAAAATTCTTTAATTTTACTTTCAGATATATTGATGATGTCCTATCACTGAATAACCCATATTTCAGTCAGTACTTGCATCGCATATATCCCAGTGAACTTGAAATTAAGGATACTACTGATACAAGAAAGACTGCTTCATACTCTGATCTTTTCATCAATATAGACACAGATGGACGACTTCACACTAAAATCTATGACAAACGGGATGATTTCAACTATCAATTTCCCATTTCTCAGCAGTAGCATACCCCCTGCTTAGTCGTATGGTGTTTACATATCTCAATTTATACGTTATGCTCGTGCATGTTCACACTATACTGACTTCATATACAGGAGTGTGCTCCATACGCAGAAACTGCTCCAACACAGTTATTAGGAGGAAAGATTAAAATGACACTCCGTAAATGTTATGGACACCATCACGAATTGGTTGATCGATACGATGTGTCTGTATCTAAACTAACTCGTCTGTCTGCTAAATACCGAACGTGACCTATACCCGAAGATGACTGTTATACCGAGTGTGAATTTGCATTGCTATACGAAGGTGTCTCGGTATTTTGTACATCCAACATTCATGTATTTCTTTTTGATGTTTCTGTTATGTTTCGGTTGGATAATGTGTTATGTCTTATCGTTTGTAGTCCAAATAATTATAAAACAGCCTTTCAATACCATCATTGTCATGAAAATTGTTTGGACTGGATTCGTGAAAATAATTGTATAAAGTTCGAGATTGCATGTTCGTTACGTAAGTGCGTCACTGTTTGTGATGTCCTGTGGTGTCTATCGTTGATGGAAGATGTTCGTTGTTGTTTTGCGGTTTGTATGTTGTGTCGACTATTATATTATTTGTTTGTGCGTTTCTCTGTGATGAGTGTTCTTGCGTTTGTTTGTGCTGTATTTTTGTCACGTAGTGTTGTAATTTTAGCGATATTTTTTAACATTGTCATATAAGCGGGAGGTTTGGCTAGCCTTAAAACCAGGTTCAACCCACCATTTTTTTCTTAAAATGTCCTGTACCAAGTCAGGAATATGACAGTTGTTATTAAATAGTTCGTTTCTATGTATGTTGGCGTTTTTTTTTGTGCACTTCAGTGTTCCTGTTGTTCCTTTGTTTTCCTCTGATAGTTGATGTGTTTCCCTCGGTTTTAGTTTGTTACCCGGATTTGTTTTCTCTCAATCGATTTATGACTTTTGAACACCGGTATACTACTGTTGCCTTTATTTATCATAGTTATCACTATATGTTAATGCGATGAGTTAACATATCAAACAGTTAAAACAGAAAGGTTCAATTAACATTCAACCTAAATATTTCCTTAGTTTGGACGAAGGACGTATCAAATTATAAGCCTGGTACCTTTACAAAAGTATGAATTATTCGAATTACTAAGGATTTTCTTATTCCAGGCATAGATTACCTTAGACGTATTTGGCACAACTTTTTGGAATTTTGGGTCGTCAATGCTCTTCAACTTTGTACTTGTTTTGGGTTTCAAACTATTTTGATCTGAGCGTCACTGATGAGTCTTATGTAGACGAAACGCGCGTCTGGCGTATCAAATTATAAGACTGGTACCTTTGATAACTATTTAGAGCCAACTTAAAGTTATTTGATGCATACGATTTTAGACTATTACTTATCTAAGGGAACCATCCATGAAACTTTAGTCAAAGATATACACAGGTTAAAATGTGTTATGTATATGGTTCCAGTGCCTGACAGTAATTCTATGGGCTTTACAAATGTACCCATAAAATCTAAATGAAGTGGAAAATTATCTTGTTTGAGCTCTTATTCTTACAATTCGTAAAAAAGTGAATAATAAGGGTTTTATTTTTAAATAGAATATGTCATTGATTTCAAAAAATCAAAATAAAGCTTATTGGAAACAATTACTAGTACTAATTATTGATTAATTCGCTACGCGCATTCGTCAGTTGTTGCGTTGTTCGGTAACTCTTTAAAAAACTTTTAAATTCGCACTTTAAGATTAGTTATTCTATAATTATTTTTTCATATAAAGTTTACTTAATATTCTTCTTTGATATTTTGTAATCAATGAAACAGAGATATTTGATGAAATACTGTACATCAAGATTTTTGTTAAACTGCAAGCTTTTATTACACAAGGCTATTTCACAAAGGTGCCTTAGATGTGAGGTGTTCAGTTTAAAAAATGAATCAAAGAGGCAAATGGCTGGGTTGTGCAGATTGTTTCTTAAACAGTAGAGAAGGTCTATAGTAAACATTTAAACATATGGAAATATATATATATATTTTGGCATTGCACATTGTTTTGTTTTTTCAGGCTGTTTATAATGTCTTTAAACTTAATCTATCGATTTTAGTCAAGGAAACATGATTTATTTCTTAGTTGTAATTGGCTTTAAAGTAGCCTTTAGTAACGAGTACTCTTATATCGGTACTTTGTGTCTTTAGTCTTTTCTTATCTTCTTATTTTCTTTGTGTCGATTTGATGAGTCGAGCCCTTTTTAACTGATTTTTATAGTTTGCTCTCATATTGTGCTGCTACCCCCACTGTCCCAAGTTGGGGAAGGGATGAGCGCACGGTAACCTGTTTAACCCCGAAACATTCTGTATGAGCCAGTCTAATTCAAAAGCATGTTAATCAGTGGTTGTCGTTGGTCTCCGTTTATCATATATGTTTTTTGTTTATTGTTTTGCTCATAAATCAGGCCGTTGGTATTTTCGTTTAATTTGATTGTATGTTGTCAATTTGGGGAAATTTATAGCATACTATTCGGTATAGGTTTTGTTCATTGATGAAGGCCATCAGGTGCCCTTTAGTAGTTTACATCTACGTCATTCGGTCTCTGGTGGATTGTTGTCTCATTGGAAATCATACAACATCTTATTATTTTTATTATATTGAGAGCGCTAACAATACAATGTTCAATAAAATTCATGTTTTAAAGACAAAAAACTCCTGTACCATTATCTAATTACCGCTCGTGTTCAATCTCCTCCGTAACATTACTTATAATAATCTTTAATATAAATTTCATAAAAGTACTATTAGAAATTAAAGCAGCTTGAGAGCGCTAACAGTGCAATTTTCCATATATATTTGCAAGGGCATAACTATTGTTAACATAATTGATCGGCACTGATTTTCGAATTCACATTGCTGATATAAACCTTTGATAATAATTTCTATTTCCAAAGGGAATGTTCCTTCAAAATGAATTGATCAGCACTGATTTTCCAACTCGTCAGAGACATTGCTGACAAAACAAAAATCTTCTTCGTCATACATTTTTATAAAAACCTGTTCTGAATTGTAAGT